TTTTAGAATTAGGTTGAAATAGGAAGCCAGCGGTTTCGCTAGTATATGAATGCAATCTTTAACGAAAAAACTTGGAATACCATCACATCCAGACGTCATTTTGTTCTTTAATCTTTTCGAAGCCCTGATTACGTTTTCTTCACTCATATTTTTTAAATAAATGATATCGGTAGAATTAATCGTTGGAGGAAATGACCCTAGTAGACCAGACTGGATAAAAACTGTTGAAAAGAAGGTAGCAAAACTGTCCACTATATCCTGAGACGTATCGCAGACATTGCCGTTAAGCGTCATCCTTGGGGGGATTCTAGATTGCTGTTTTTTGATCTGGGCGAATGACCAGAATTTGCTAGGATCATTGGCAATGGCATCCTCAACCGATTGGACGTAAGCGGAGTAGGCAACACTGATCTGGTTCTTAATGAGCTTCGTAAAATTACTGAACTGATCATAAGAAAACTTAGTACCGTCACGTTTCCAGTTCCTTCTTGCTATGTCCTTCTTCTTGATATTAAGTATAATTTCACGTGTGAACTATGGGGGATACGAAAACATTTTATTTTTACATTTAGGGACATGGACCTCAAAGATGTTATTGATAACTGAATACAAGGCGGTACAAGCGACATCAACATTAACTGCACTGATCACCTCCGTCCAATTAGCATCTTGCAAGGCTGTGTACATTTCAGGAAAGTTAGCTTTGCGAAAGTTAAACCGTGGAGAATTAGCAAATGGGAATTTCGTTGGAGATCCGGATGTAATGAATTCCATGATCAGTGCAGGATGATGAACGTCCTCTTTAACAGAAGGTGTATTATCTCTGAGGACTTCTATTTCGATATTTGCTAAAATTAAATCCAGTATTCGACCATTTATATTTGGAATATTATTAAAATTAGTTAAATCTAAAAACGAAATAAAGTTGCTCATTAATTGAGACTTCTGATCATTAACGTCACTGTTGAATGATGCGACATTAAAGACACCAGCAACAATTATTTTACAATTACTGAATGCATTGTTAAATACTTCCAAAGCTTCAAGGTACTGACTAAACATGTCCAAATTAATTGAAGGTGGAATATAAATAGAAAAGATAACAAAATGCTCATGGTTAATAATAAGCCTAATACATACAGTATCAATCGACGGAAAGTTTCAAAGCACTAGCGTCAATTCTAATTGCATGGAAATCGCGTTTCATGGATATCAGGACTCCTCCGCCGGAAACTAGACCAGATCGAATAAAGTCACGATCACATCTGAACACACAGTATTCGGCCGGAAATAATTCACTATCACTCACATTCACAGACAGCCACGTCTCAGTCAAGCAAATTAAATCAAATTCGTAGTCACTGACTGCATTGAAGAATGACACCGTCTTAGAATTGAGACCACGAACGTTCTGGTAGGAGCACCTTAGCTTAAGTCTCTCATGACAATTTGGTCTGTTATTGGGTTCAGTTATGCGTTTAAAGTAACAATCTTCGGAACCCCATTGAAATATTTAATTCTGAGGTTACTTTCACCTTGCGGGATCCTTTCATTAAGTTTGCCCTTTACGTAGCGATAGAGCTCCATCTGTTTTGGAGTTTTATCAAAAGCAACCGATGTATTTTTATATTTTTCATTATATTATTTATTATAATTATACCAGGAGAGGACGAGTTGCTAGCAGAAATACTAGATAATGTCAATAAACCAAGAAGTAATGAAACTACAAAGCATGGCAAAACATGAGTGAAATACACATGCAGATTGCAGCAGGTTATGATGACATTTTTAAATGCGCATACGCTCTGCACCATGTTTTACGCCAACTAGATTTCCGAGAGCACCACCATCCTTGGCGATAAGATTCGCTTCATACAATACATGTATCCCTTACGCAGTTTAACCTGCTATCTCTAGTCTGTGTGATGTTATAATATCGTGACTGGCGTTATTAACGTACTGGACCGCTGTGGTTCAGCAGCGTTGCCAGATGGATGAGAAGGAAACAAACTAGCATTAGCGTTATCAAATGGATGGGGTCTATGGAGTAAGTACCAACTGTTTACGGGCCTATTTGGTATTAATAGAAATAAACCTAAAATCATTACTATTCGCTCATATAAAAACTTTAATGAAGTTTTTGCAGGGATCTATTTGCAACCCCGTTTTTCATGCTATTTGACCAATATAGCGCCGACTCTAAAGTTGCGTTTCTTACAAACCTGCTTACAAACCTTTTTGATAGGCATTTTCCTTTGGTATCAATGAGAGTTACTAAACCTAGAGCCCCATGGCTTACAGATGTGGTGAAGCGAATGCAGAATCTCAGGGACAGGGCGCTGCTTAGATTTAGAAGAACAGGACTGAATGCTCATTTGCGATATTATCAGGACTTGCGTAATTTAGTTAATGCTGCTATCATCAGAGAAAAAAAAATCTTATTATACATACATATTAGAAAGTTGCAGTTCAACAGAAATGTGGAAAAGGTTAAGGAACAATGGAATAGTCTCTCAAAAGGATAACACCATTCCAAATTCCTTTAATGATGTCAATGAACTTAATAATTTTTTTGTTAACATTAATATAAAGCCTTCTCCTAACTTAATAAATTTCTACAGAAATACTAGGAGGAATTCTTCAAATTTTGAATTCAAAGAAGTTAATGATTTATTTGTTTATGAAGCAATTTGCCGTATTAAAACTAATGCTCGTGGTTGCGATAGTTTTAATTTAAATTTTATTAAACTATGTTGCCCTCATATAATTAATTTTTGTTTTACGCATAATCAGTTCCCTGATCTGTGGAAGCAAGCAAATGTCTGTGTTCTGCCAAAAAAACCTAATCCTTCAGATCTTAAAGATCTCAGAGGGATTAGTGTTTTACCATTTTTCTCTAAATTACTGGAGCGTGCAATGGAGGAGCAACTTTCTTATCATTTGTCACAATTTTCATTACTGCCAATTGTACAGTCTGGATTTAGGAAAAATCATAGCTGTACGGCGTCTTTACTTCATGTAACAGACGACATAATTAGAGCTACAGATCGTGGCGAGTGTACTGTTCTTGTTCTGCTGGATTTCAGCAGAGCGTTTGACACTTTAAACCATCAATTAATGCTTGCTATTTTACATCATATTGGTCTTTCTCAAAACGCTATAGATTTATTTCAGTGCTACTTCACTAAGCGGAAACAAACAGTTGTTTTAAATGGAGTTCAGTCTTTATCTTTAAATTTGAAATCCGGCGTACCCCAAGGGTCCATACTTGGACCACTCCTTTTTCTAATTTATACATCTAATTTCATGCACTTCCTTAGTCTATGTAATGTGCATTTTTACGCTGATGACACCCAAATCTATTGCAGCTTCCCCCCACAATTGATGGATCGTTTCTCGTTGATCATTAATAATGAGCTAAACTCCTTTGTAGAATGTGCGACACGCCACTGTCTTTTAATAAATCCATCAAGTCTCACGTAATTGTTTTTGGACCTAGACAACGTAAAAATGTTATAGAGAATCTTATTAAAATTGAGATAAATGGTGTAACTCTCAAAATAATGGACAATGTAAAAAATTTAGGTGTTGTGATTGATAGTAATCTTCGATTTGAGTATCACATCAACAAAATTATGCAGGAGCATATTTGTCGTTGAAATTTATTTACGGTAGACGGAAATTTCTCTCAATAAAACTTAAGATCATGCTATGTGATACTTTAGTATTATCTTTATTCAACTACGCTGATGTGCTTTACGGCCCACACTTAACTAACCTGTATCGACGTAAAGTTCAACTGGTTCAAAACTCATGCTTGCGCCTTGCATTTGGTATACAGAGGAGACATAGAATATCTCACAAATTGAAAGATGCAGGTTGGTTAAATATGGAAAATCGTAGGCTCCTCCACTCTGCTGTTTTTATCATAAATTAATTTTAGTCAGAACACCACAATATCTTTATCAAAAAATAACCTACCGGACTGACGTTCATAACATTAACGTAAGAAGTAAGGGTCTTATTTCGCCACCCAAGTTTAGAACGTCAATCTTCAAACGGAGCTTCACATACCAAATATATAAAGTCTACAACTCAGTCCGGAAGGAACTAAAATTTTCTAGAATAGATAACTTCAAAGCCATGTTTAAAAAGGAACTGCTGAAAAAACAGTAGCACCGCATGAATGAATGAATGATTGTTTTTTTTTTGTTAGCGTGTAGGTATGTCCCTCTTTTATAGTGACATGTATGTATTATCGGTTTATCGGATGTCATATGTCGTAGAGGATACTGGGCTAAGTGGAAGAGCATGTTGTTGGTACTGTGTACTAATCAAACTGAACTTCGCCTTTTATTGACACTGGATGTACTTATGTTCACTTACCATTTTGCCAATGTCTTATGTCAATAATAAAGACGGTTATTATTATTATTATTATTATTAAATTTTTTTTGTTATACATGTTTGTAGCTAGCTTAATGGGACTAACATAAGCCTTTATGAACTGAGGTCAGCATTGCGAGTAAAGTGCAGAGTCAACCTGAGTGACGCCATTTTTTCAATAAAAAATATCTGCCAGAAACAAAAACAGATCATAATTTTTATTAACCATGGTCAGATCAAACAAGTATCGTGGTAAATAGCGTAGAAGCTAGTTTTCTTTGAGAAACACCGGGTTAGAACTAGTTATGCATGATAAGCTTAAGCATTCTCGGAATAGGCTGTTATAAGGGAAGTATGATACTAATAATACGTGCAGAGTCGACCTGCTTGAGGCTGTTTTTTTTACATCAAAAATTTGTCAGAAACAAAAAAAAACTCATGATATTCCTCAACCCTGGTCAGAACCTGAAGCATCCTGGTAAATCGTCTAGAAGTCGATATATAGAACATCAGTAGTCATTGAGAAACATCAGGTTAAAACCAGTTATGCACCATGGCCTTAAACATCATTGGATCACATTTCAAGGCAAGTATGAAACCAATAACCTCCTCACCTGTTCTGAACGCTGTGTGCTTCATTATTGCCGATATGTACAGAGGCAGCAACTTCAAACAGGTGGGCGCCAAAAGACCACTTGACGGCCCGTTCATATTCAGCGACATCTTGTAACTGGACAGAATATCGATGGCGACGTTGATGAATGCTTCTCTGGCATCCGAAACACTCGCTTGCAGCGACCTGAAAATACATTGTGATTCACGTGAAAAATACTTCCTACATAATTATTATATAAAGATGGATTTATAAAGCGTACAAATATACAGGGTGTTCCTTAATGATATGCGAATATTTAAGGGTATAAATCTACATGAAAAATTAATGTTAGTTTGCTTTATAAACTATGGTCCAAGAATTTTTCCTTACAAAAACTCGGGGTGTTGAAGTATTAGGAAAAAAATGGCAATTAATTCATATTTTCAGAAACGCTTCAGATATTTCACTGATATTTAGTACGCAGTGAAAGTTAATAAATTTGCATATTTTTCAATGCAAAAATAATTTTTAGCTTTAACAGCGCTGTGCGTAGGACTTCGGTATTTTTTAAGAAAAAAATGTTACGCCAATGGTTTATGCCAAAGAAAAATTATATTTGAATTCCCCGTTCAATTTAAAACAAATGATCTCTCTTGAATTGTTTTCCTTCGATGCGACATTTTTGAGTAAAAAAATGAAAACCGTTCTATTGTCCGAGAAAATTAATGTAATAATTGAAGAATGCAATTTAGAATAAATATCTAGTTGCTCTGGAATATGTCACTGGCTTTTGACGATTGACAAGTCTTTGTTATTCCAATCTATTTGCTGTGACATCTTTTTCATTATTTAGTTTTTACAATCTTGTTAATAATGGCGAATTAGAAACGGCGGAAATGCATTACGTATATGGCCTTGCCGACGGTAATGGTGAGCAAGTCAGACGGATTTATGACCAGAGATACCCCGATCGTGCTTTGCCAGATAGTCGAACCTTTTCGTCGTCTTGTTGAAACTGGTTCTGTAAGAAAAGGAACATCTGAAGGTATACCTCTAAGTGTGAGAACACCTGAAATTGAGGAAGCAGTGCTGCTCGAAGTCGAAGAACATCCTGAAACGAGTACGCTGGACACTTAAATATTTGCCATCAAATTGTTTGGAGAATTTTAGTGGATTTTTTGTTATATCCTTACCATATTTTAAGAGTACAGGCATTACTTCCCATTGACTTTCCAAGGCCTTTTGTCAGTTGTATCTTCAAACAATTACACAAAATCCGCAATTTGAATCAATGATTCTGTTCACGGACGAAGCTAATTTTTCTCGAAATGCCATTCAGAATTTCCACAATAATCATTTGTGGACAGAAGAAAATCCCTATGTCGTAACCGAAACCCATTTCCAACACCAATTTTCGGTTAACGTATGGGCAGGAATTATTCGCAACCACTTTATTGGCCGATTCTTCTTGCTGGGACGACTTGACCGACAGTCTTACCTCAATTTTCTTCAACAACAGTTGCCTTTGCTGCTTGATGATGTTCCGTTAGTAATAAGAAATAAAATGTGGTACATGCATGATGGTGCACCAGCGCATTTCAGTGTGGCGGTTCGTTATTATTTACAAACTATTTATCCAAATCGTTCGATTGGCCGCGCTGGGCTCCAAGAATGGCCACCAAGGTCCCCAGACCTCAACAGTTTAGACTTCTTTTTGTGGGGCTATGCATACTAAGTGAAGGGGGCCATTTTCAACAATTTTGTAATCTTTTCGTTGGTTTTAATGTTATGTTTATGTTGTCAGTTGTTGTTATTCATTACCCCTAATGTGTTAATTTATCCAATTAAATTAATAATAATTTTGCAAGTTAGACAATAGAACGGTTTTTATTTTTTTACTCAAAAATGGCGGGGAATTCAAAAATAGTTTTAACTTGGCAAAAAACCATTGGCGCACCATTTTTTTCTTAAGTCATCTATCAAAAATAAAAAATCATCAGGCATTCATGAAGTTTCTTTAAATGGTATTGCTAATCTTTCACCTGATGCTCTTGATACGCTCACAGAACTTAAAATATGTGTTTGGCCAGAATTTTTAAAAACACCAATAGTTATTCCTATTTACAAAGGAGGTCCAGAAAATTATAGAACCATAAGATTAATGTTGTAGCAAATATAATAAAAAAAAATAGTTCAAATTAGATTAAGAGACTTTCTAAAAACTAAAAAAATTATAAGTGGCAATCAATTTGGATTTCAAAAACAAACAAAAAAATGTGGATGCATTACTCCAATATAGTCAAATTTAAGCAATAAACAAATTTCAATAGCTATTTTTGCGACTATTCCAAGGCTTTTGACTGTATAATTTAATAATCGAATTAAACATATATGGTTGTGTACTGGAACTCAATCATTTTAAAACATAAATAACAGTGGTCAACAATGTGATTGCAAGAAAAAATAAACAGTTAAAAAAAATTGCTAGACAAGGATTTTATTCTATTGAGTAATTTAAAATATTAAGAAAAAACACAGATCTCGTAAATCAAAAGTTATTTTTTTTTATAAATGACTTAATAATCTAAGATTTTCTTGAATATTTAGCTTCTGGTTGGTCCCTTTTAATTGTCCAGCAGTAATCTGCTAACATATTTGGGCTCCATTTGCCCTGGTACCGCTTTTCCATATTAGAAATGTCCTGATGGAACCTCTCACCGTGCTCGTCGCTGACAGCCCCTAAATTGTCAGGAAAAAAATCCAGGTGCGAGTCTAAAAAATGGATCTTAAGTGACATGTTGCAACCCAATGCTTGATATGACAATAATAGCTCGCTAACCAACTCTCTGTAGCTGTCACTCTTGTGGTTACCCAAAAAATTTGAAACAACATTTTTAAAAGCTTTCCATGCAGATGTTTCTAAATCGCTTAATGTTTCTTCAAATCTTGAATCTTTTATTAACTCCCTAATTTGAGGGCCAACAAAAATACCCTCTTTTATCTTTGCATCACTTATTTTAGGGAATTTTTCTTTTAGATACAAAAATCCACTCCATTGCGATCCATTGCCTTCACAAATTTTTTATTAATCCTAATTTGATATGCAATGGTGGTAGAAGCACATTATTTGGCTGTACAAAGGGTAAATACTTTACGTTTTTTTGCCCAGGAACTAACGATGCACGCGTAGGCCATGTTTTTTTTATATAGTGATTAGTTCTGTCTCGGCTATCCCATTCACATAAAAAGCAGCAAAACTTTGTATAACCCAGCTGAAGTCCAAGTAATAGTGCAACAACTTTAAGATCACCGCAGATTTTGAAGGAATATGTACTTTAATTTATTTTTTCAAGTAAAAGTTTCATATTTTCATAGGTTTCTTTCATATTTGCAGCATGGGCCAGAGGTACAGACGGAAGCTTATTTCCATTATGCAATAACACTGGTTTTAGACTTGCTTTCGAAGAATCAATGAATAAACGCCACTGAGAGAGATCAAAATCTATGTCCAACATTTTCATAATCTCATTTATGTTATTGCAAAACACCAAATCTCCATCCTGAGAAAAATACGTTCTGAAGTGTTGATCACGGTTTCGAAAATAGCTAACTTTTGTATTATGATGTAGCAAATTCCATTCTTTTAGACGTGATCCTAATAGTTCTGACTGCTTTTTTTGACAAATTTAAATCCCGAACCAAATCATTTAGGTCTCCTTGAGTTATCAAATGTGGCTCGTTTACAATTCCTTTTAACTCAAAGTCATCGTCCTCGTCAACACATTCACCTGAAGTGGACGGTTGTGAATTGTTCTCAACAGACGTAGTTGCAACTGGTATTAGTTCTGGCAATTTTTTACAATGAGAGACTGGTCTTATAGCCGAAGATAAGTTAGGGTAAATAACTGTGGTTTTTTTCTTGTAATTTATACCTTTTATGTCTGTGAGACAAAAATAGCAATCTGAAACGTGATCTCGCTGTTCAGTCCATATCATGGGTACAGCAAACGGCATAGGTCGTGCACCTTTCTTCCAGTCAGTTAAATTTTTCACACACGTTATGCAACAGACATGAGGGGCCCAGGATTTGTCTTGATGGGCGACAGAAAAACCAAAACATTGGTGATAACACTCCAACACAAGATTCGTAAAATTTCGACGTTGTTTTTTGAATGTTAGTTCTCCGCAGACATAACAAAAAGAGTTAGGATCATTATTACACTTCCTCGACATATTCACAGGGTTAATAAATCACAAAAAAGTGTTCAAATTCAACAACAAATATTTTTATAAGGATTTACTTGTAAGCGTTTCTGTTAATTTACTGCCGTAGTACTAGTTATGAGTATTACCGTATCACAACAAATATGAGACTAATAGACATATGACAGCTGTCATGTAATAATGAGGGTAGACTGATAAAACAAAATTAGCTGTCAAAGTTCGTGTGGCAAAACCAGTGTTGACCAGTGTAATCAATTGTAAAATTAACAAGACATTATATATCAAATAAATTAAATATAAACGCAGGGGACCTCAAGGATCAGTATTAGATCCGATCCTATTCTTAGTTTATATCAATGATTCAATAAACTTAAACATAATGATTCGTGAATATTCTTACCTATCGACTGCCATTTTGGTCAGTAATCCAATGACGCATTCTTGATCGGCAGAATAAATGACATCCTGAAGTGTTGAGGCGACAGGTAAGCATAAAGTATGGACTCGAATCCGCCGCTCTCCTTTGCTTGATGTGTATAACAAGGCTGCTTGAAAACATACCGTCTGTACATCTGATAGGCTGTCTTCGATAGATACTTGCATACCAAAAGCTGGAACATAAAACAAGCAAAAATAGATCAATTGGATTAGGAGACTTCTAAAAATCAACAAACAAAAACAAAAAATACCATAGATGCTATTTTCACATTACTCGAACAGTCAAAACCCAAATTTATCATATTTATAGCAAATAACATAACCCCCTTTACGACAATAATTCCAAAATAGAGGTAAATTTAAATAAACAATTAGAATTTCGGTCCTACATTATGGAATATCAAGTACTACTTTAATGAAGTAGGTTACTCACCTGCATCTGGATTAATGTTTGGTAACGACAGAAGATCCGTACTCCTGACAAAAAAGTTCCCATGAAACGAATGTATCGCCAAGCCTCGCGTACACCTGATTCTCATCACAGCCTCAAATCCTATTTTCCTAGTCAGATAGCGTCTGAAACTCCGCGAAAAACCTTCCTTCATCGGTATATTATTCGGCCTTAGTAGAGGGAAGTGATGTATGCAACCGCCACTAAACCTGAGTGAAAAAAGAGATTTAAAATTTCCATCACAAAAATATTCTTAATAGTTATTTAACGGGGCTCCTACAATCACGAGCACCATCTGCTGAGGTAACGGGGGGGTGAAACGGAAACGACGGTGGGCTGGCCCTAGACGGTTGTCGGCGCTACTTTAAAAGAGGACAGGATGACTGCTGGTGCATACCAAGGTAAATTTTTATAATAACAGAGTCGGATTTCGATTAGCGATCTAGCCTGTAAATTGTTTCCTATTTTGGTACTCAGCAAGTATTTTAGTATTTTTCTCCCCTTGTTATTGTTCGTCGATATTGTGTTGTTGAATTGTTGTGCTGTACTCTTGTTGGTGTGACTGTTCTTGAGTGCCTTTTTTTATCAAGGTTGATAATGGACAATAAAAGGTCATATGCGACCATTTTAATTACGAATGCAGTGAGTTTAAAGAAAATGAATAGTTTTATGGCGAATTCTTTCAAAAACCTGACATGAACGACATTGATTTGGAGGTTGCTAAGCTAGAATTTTTAGGGAAACTTGAAAAAAGTGACGACGAGATTTTGCAGATCGAACAAGTCACCAAATCACAGGACTGTACTTTGTGGCGCATTCATCGGAGGATAAGGTTGACAGCGTCTCGATGTGGCGAAGTTTGTAGAAGAAGGCAGACAACAAGCTGTAAAGTTCTAGTAAACTCCATCATATACCCAACAGAGTTTTCTAGTAAGGCAATAAGAAAGGCAATACAAAATCATTGGACATGGCAGTTCAATCTTGTGGTTTGTTTATTGGTCGCACAAATCCATTTCTGGCAGCATCGCCTCCATCTACCTATTACAGTAGACAAGAAATGTACTTAATCCAGGTATAAGCCTACCTGGTTATTGTTTTGCAAAAACTACCTAACTGTTTCCTCTTATTTTGACGTTATAAGATATTTTTATGACCCTCGTGCAATTGTTACCATGTACCACATGACCCTTGTAAACATAATTGTGTTTATTGACATGAATAAACGAATTTGCATTTGAGTTCTTGAATTTATTTTACTAAAGATATCAAATTATTTGAATACATTTTTTCTTAGTCGGAACGCACCGTCGCGTCGCTTGGACTGGCAGGACGAAACAGTATACGAATTTCGCCCAAAAACCGATTTGCACTTCACAGCTTACGTTTCATTTTTCATTATTTCCAAATTAAACTCTTGCAGCGTGCTAAAAACAAAGTCCACAGGGTGCTAACGATCCACTTTTTCGATTTTAAACACTAGGATCTTTTTAAAATATCAAGAAGTTGAGCACAAATAGTAAGCATTTCAACCCACCATAATTCTTGCACAAACGCAAATGCTTTGATAGCACCTTAGGCATACTTATGTCCTCCTTATTTCCAGAAAAATATCACAAACTGCAGAACACAAATTGAAGGTAACGGTAACGGGTCATGAAATTCAAATGAAAATACAGGTATAAAATCTACCAAATTATCGTTCTCAAAAGCATATATCCTTGACATATCGATAATTTTAAAGTTCCACGCTAAATTCCCCTATACTTGACTTTAGTGATATCCGAATTCATTCTTCCCCACTGTCGTCGGATTTTCGTTACTTAAATTTCTTGTAATCACTGGGACCAGAAGCTTCTTAATAATAGAACGTGTTTCACTGATATCAAAGATGCAACATTTAGAGTCACCTTCCCCCAACCCCCACTTTTTAAGCAGTACATTTTTTCATGTCAGTGATAAGGAACCCTTGTAACGTCAAAAACGGAGTTTCAGCAATTGTTACTTTTTCTTTTTTGCCTATAGCACCCTTGCCATTGGACTAAAACTACAAAGCTTTGGCATACTAGTAACCCCGTGTGGAAATTTCATAAAAATCCGAGCAGTAATTTCCAAGTTGAACAGAAAAAGTGCGCACTTCAACCCATCATAAAACTTGTGCAAAAACAAATTTCAAAAAGTGCTCCTATAGCACGCTGGGAAATTATCTTCTAAACATACTGTATGAATTTCATTCAAAAATATTGAAAAAATGGAGTGTCAGTTTCGAAGCAGCTGAACCCTTGTAAACGGCTTGAAACTCACTGCGTCGCAGCCGCCTTAAGTAGTTGGGTCAAGCAGGTGAAATGCCTTTGTAACCGATCGTACATTTTTTGTTACATCATCGCGTACTGATATGATCCGATAAAAACATCTGACATGGACATTCTTTATTCAACAATAAATTAATGTCAAAATCGTAGTCAGAAATAATACGTGAAATATCACACAGCCTGCGTAGCATATCTCGAAACAAAGGGCACTATAAAAGTGTTGCAATATGAACAAACGGACACATGGGGCTGAATATTGATTTTGTTGTTCATTCGTATTGACAGAGTAAAATGCGGACTATAGCATCGTGGTCACGTAGTGGAAAGTTTATGGAATGTGGTGGAAATTACTTTGAACCAAGTCAGTAAATAAAGCTGTATTGCAAAACTTTTATAGTGCACTCTGTATTTTGATGCTAAACATCAAGCTTACCGAGTTTACAGTTCATCGTCAAATACGTGAGATTTGATTAGTTTTTAATTCATAATTGATGGACTATTTCTGGTTTACAAATAAAAACAGCGATCTATGTGCCAACCGTCCTTTAACGAGGCGGTGGCACATAGGCGTGGAAAGTGAAAAATGAAAAATAAAAAATAACAATTCCTAAGTGGTGAGACCATCCAAATACCAACTATGTCCAACGCTGCTTAGTTCCGACGATCGGATGAAAGGCGGCGCTTTCACTGACATGACAACGCGTTACGTGGTAACCGAAAAGAACTATAAAGGACATCATTAGTATTTCCATACTCATATGGCTTATAGGGTGTTACTGTGCGGTCATTCAGTCAGCTCCTCAGAAGTGTTTGCTTGCCCAGAGGGAATGCATCAGTGTCATCACGAACACGCCCTATAGGAACAATTGTATGTACAGGCTGGGTGTATTAACACTACTCTGTGCGTACATCCTAGAGTGCCTGATACGTGTCAGAAAAAAAACGTTGATAAATATGACAGGAACGTCAGGTTCCACAACTATGTGATACTAGATACCATAATATGTGCATACCCTACAATTGGATCGACATTTTCCGGGATGAACATAATTATTACGATATGAGGTTCTTTACCGCCAGACTTTTGAACATTGCATCATTCAAGGCCACGCTTTGTTAGGTAAATTGAAGGCGTATGGTATATCAGGAAGTGTTTTACATTGGTTTAGAAATTATTTGTCTAAAAGGATGCAAGTTACAAAAGTTAATGACACGATTTCATCAAAAATTGAAAATACGTTGGGTGTTCCACAGGGCAGTATCCTGGGATCACTTCTTTTTATTTTATAAATAGTTGATTTACCTGCCATAGTCAAAAAATGCAAAATTCGGATTTTCGCCGATGACACTATGATTTATATAAGTACTAAAAATATTCAGACTGGTATCTCTTATATAAATGAAGACTTGAAACTTGTCTCAAAATGGTTAGCATCTAACAGACTAAAATTAAATACAAGTAAAACGAAAGCTATGTTAATCGGAAAAAAACAATGTACAAATGTTCAACTGAATATTGATGGTGAAGATATTGAATTCGTAGAAAATTTTAAATACCTGGGGGTTTTTGTTGACTCTCGATTAATTTTTGATATTCATTATGAAAAAGTTATAAATAAGATTAGTAGTAAAGTGGGATATTTATCGAGAGTTTCTGGATGTCTGAGTTCATATAGCAGAAAAATTATCTATATACCATCATTCTTCCAAATTTCTTGTATTGTTAGACTATTCTATATTTAGCAAATAGTTCCATTTTTGAAAGACTGCAAATTTTACAAGATAAGTGCATGAGAATAATACTGAATAAAGATAAATATACTCCAATTAGGCAAATGCTTAGCAAATTAAAATGGCTCAATGTAAAAATTTTTATCAAAAGCTTTTTTGAATAGTCTCACTATTCTTGAGAAACAGCGATATGTCTACATTTTATCTTCTTTATATATTTTAGTGTAATTTACATGTGATTTGGACTTGTCTGTATCTTTATCTCTTCAATGTGCCCGGTTTGTGTCATTTAGTATTAATGCCGAGCATGAACTTTTTTGCCCACTGGAAGCTTTTCTTTTTTTTCCTTTTTGACCAATGCCCAATATCAACAAAGATTATTATTATTTACATTTCTGGTTCGTATTACCTGCTGATACCCGATATCGTCGCTATATCTACATAAGTCGAATTCACCACGAACAAGTCGACAGCGATCTGTTGTCCGCTGCACTCCAGCGCCAGCCTTTTGTAGAAGTCATTGGCCGGATTGAGGAGCTGCGTGTCCACGTGCGACGAGGGGGTCCTCGCGGGCTACCAGCGCCCCGGGCCCCACGTTCGGCAGCGACGCTTGGAACACTGTCACTCGACCTCCGGTAGCGCCCATCAGTTTGAAGGCAGCCTGCAAGGCGGCTCCTAGGGCGGAGTTCGAGTCGTACGTATTCGCGTACCTGTAAAAGAAATAATGACGTCAAGAAGATTGAAAAAGCGGCCGTTCTCACTGGAAACCGTAACCCGACTCGGCATATGCAGGCTGTCTTAAAAGTTTCGGAACCCCACTAATGGTACGGAAAACTAAGCCCCGCAATTGACAGTTTTCCCCAGCTATCCAATGATGACCTGAGCAATGCCCTTCAAGGTCAATTGAAGGTCAAGTCGAATTAGTTTAAAAGGAAGAACCATTTTTGACCACTTAATAGCAAAGAGCGGAAAATTTTACGTTCAAATATGGTCTTTACCATTCTTGAATTTTGACCTTAGGAGGTCATGGCCAAGGTCAAACCCAGTTACGATGATTCAAAACCAGTGATCGTGTAGGGAAATTACGGAGACATTATTTTCATGATTTCCCCCGGATATCCAATAGTGACCTTTGGATCTGACCTTAACCTTCAAGATCTTGTGAAGATCGTCCATTTTCGTAGCCAGAAAACAGAAAAATGTATTGTTTGCATTTTACGAGTACATTATCAAATAATGAAATAATACCTAAGAGCCAAAAATAACAAACTCCATCTTTATTTACACTGCGTTCCATCGTAATTTGCGTCTGGTATTGCCGCGTTGTCAGATTTTATTTTACTTTAAAGTCGCTTTTCTCTAAAAAATGCCGTTTCGACCCCCATGTTATATGCAACTTTTTGCTTCTTTGAACCCCCTCTATCGCCCATTTAAATAATGATGAATGATAAATAATGAATGTATAACCGTACCTAGATTTGATCTTGACCATGAGGTCAAAGATTAAGAATGGTCAAGACTATATCTGAACGTACAATTTTCCGCTCTATTCATTTACTAGGTCAACAACGGGAGGTTCTATTTAAAAAAATCTACTTGACCGTCAAAAGACTTAGGGGGTCATTGTCGAATTCAAGGTCACCATTGGATAGCTGGGAAAAACTCCATCAATTGCGGCGTTTAGTATTAGAAAACATCCTTCCATTTTATCGTATATCTATAATATCTCCAAGGTACAAGCAATATATAGCGACTAGTCAGCTTAAGCGCTAAAGATGAATGCGATATGAAAGGCCCATTGAGTGGTACGGCCGCGTCAGTGCCGTGGCTCAGAAGCTGAACTTATGTCATATGACGTCACGACCGAACCTCGATTTCTGAAAGATATTAGTTAAATTAGTACTATGTTCGGTTATAGGAAACGTTCTAATTCTCTCAGATAGCAAGCTAATTTGTTTGTTTCAGGTTTTTGAAATACTGACTTGCTCGTTATATTGCTACTGCAGTTTTGTAAATGAAAGTCTGTTCTTACTCTAGTAGAATAATTGTGGCACTCATTGTTTAATACAATAAAATTTTCTAAGTGATTTGGTAGAAGATGATTTTTTAACTTGAATATGAAAATGAAAACCAAGTAGGTTATGAAATTTTTGATATATAAACATTGTAGTTCTTTCAGCATAAAATTTATTCTAGTATGTTTATTTTTATTTAAGATGATTCTTATAGTATCATTTCGTAATATTTGTAATTTTGAAAATACAGTTTCATTTGCAGTGAACAAAATAGTCGAGACAATATAACAAATGAGGAAGAATGATAGTGTTGTACACAATATTCTAAGAATAAACGCTTAGGCTATGCGAAATTCTATGTAATTTATTTTCTTGGACATTGTTGAAATAATATGTTCATAGTGCCCTTCAAATTTTAATTTACTGTCTACGTTCATGCCCAAATATTTAAATGATTCGATTGACACAATTTTTCATGATTAATTGTAAGATTTATCGTATTTTAATCTAAAGATTTTTCTATTAGTATACAGGGTGTCCGCAAAGTTGGGGTTGTCCTAGAAACAACTACCCTTGAAATAACAAAGGTAATATGTAGTGAAACGACGGCGACCAAGTAAAAAAATAAAGGAAACAGTTCTCACTCTCCAGTTGACGAGAAGGGCTAAGTACGTCTCTGCCAGAAATCATACCGCTCCAGCAGAAAATGAAATTAGCTGATGCGCTACCGAGCAGACGCAGGCGGTGGTGCAGACCACGAACAGAGGTAACAAATATGACGGCGTTGCCGCGTTTTCAGTTTTTAGGTAAACGTACTTTATAGGTATTGTTCGAAGTTATCGCCGTTTGATTCAAAAACACAGGTGCGTGCACGACGTAGCCAAGCATCGGTGCAGGCTTTGAGAATGGAGTCCCTCCCCCGAAAGAAAGCACCAGCTTGTTCAATTCTGAGACGAAGTTTGTCAACCGTATGCACTTCAGTTTTAAACACTAAGCGTTTCATTTCTCCCCAAAGAAAAAAATCACATGGTGTTAAGTCTGGAGATCGCGGAGGCCACGCTACGGGTCCATTACGTCCGATCCACCTGCAGAAACCACATTGATTGTCTTACACTTAATGGCACATCTTGTAACAAGGCAGGCAAAATGTTGCGTAAAAAGTCTAGGTATTGCATCCCGTCCAATTGATTTGGGAGAATAAATGGTCCAATGAGCATACCGTTCACCATGCCAGCCCAAACATTCACCGAAAATGTTTGTTGAAAATGAGCCCGCCTGACAGCGTGCGGATTTTCTACTGATCAAACATGAGTGTTGCGAAAGTTATCACCCCATTACGCATGAACGTAGATTCGTCTGTCACCAATATGCACTTCAAAAAGTCCGGATTATTGTCATGTTGATGCAACAACCACTCACAAAACCGCACTCTTGCTGGAAAATCGTCAGGTTGAAGGGCTTGTACACGTTGGACGTGAAACGGATACACCCCCTCTTCACGCAGCGTTTGCCACACTTTAGTTTTTGATACTTGCACTTCTCTAACCACGTCTCTAGTGCTTGTTGAGGGATTCTCGTCTACGCGATTCAGTAGTTCTTCCTCAACTTGCACCATTCGTGGTTGTCTAGGCCTCCCACTGTGCCCACCTCGAAATTCCTCCAAATGGCCCGTATCCCTGACTCTCTGGACCAGGTACACAAATCTGCGGGACCTTGGATGATGTCGTCTAGGGAAACGATCTGCATACACTCGCGAAGCCTCTGTAGCATTTTGAAGACATTCGCCATAAATTAACAACATATCAACGAGTTCATTATTGGTGTATGAGTGTGCCATTATTATTTTTTTTTGAAACGCAATCGATTATACGGGTTCGTTTACCTCTACACGCGTGACCGTAACCGTCGGTTGAAGGTTGCATACTGACCTGACACACTGACCCCGACCCAGTTCTGTCGTCGGGTTGAGCCAGTGACCTTGTACCACTCGGTGATGTCGCGGGTCGCGGCTACAGGACGGTATTCAGATATTTTTGATGTTGCAGAGCCCTTTATCTCGGTTCCCTTAAAACATTGGTGTATATGGTACTAAGAAAAATTGCTTATGTTTTCAAGATCTACACGTCGTGTAAAGGAAAACCCCAACTTTGCGGATACCCTGTATATTTTGTTTTGTTTGTGTTTAGTTTAAGTTTATTTACATTTAACCAATTTATTACGTTTTTCATATCATTACGAGTATTTAACAGCTCTATTGCAGTTTCAATGTCTTTATTTGATATATATATGTATCATCAGCAAATAGTTGAATTTTGCAGTGTTGTCAAAATATCAGGAATATCGTTAATATATACTCGTAAAATAAATAATAATGGACCTAATTTGCTACCCTGTGGCACACCTACCGAAATGTTTTTAATGTTTGATAATGTATTGCCAGATGTTCACTAGGATTTCTATTCGATATCAATCTTGTAATAGCTTTTGAAAGATGGCTGATATTTATTGTTTGGCATTGAATAACGCGACAAAAGTGGTAGGGTAGAGAGTAAAAGTAAATTACCTGTGTGGTAGTTGCTCCAATAATTCACGGACCATTTCCCTTTTATCTTTGAGGTTGACTAACAAATTATCGGGTGTAGGTAAGAAAACCTCATCGATATCAAGTACAGTCATCTCGTGGGGTCGAGATGCGTCCTCAGGCAGGGCGTAAAAATGCAACGCAGAATCGTAGCATATGAAGCCGATTTGCGTTCGCGCATCACCTGGTATATTCTGAAAAACATTTTTTGCTGACTGGTATACAGAATGATATAAAACATTGGCAATATTATAGTGTAAAAAATACATCCCAAAATAACATGAACGATTCATATTGAACATCGGTCCTAAGATGCTACCAGATGAGCTTTAGCAGTAGTTCAAATTCTCTCATGTATGAATATAAAGTTGAAAGCCGTGACCTCGTGAGAACTGATACAGTTAGGGTTTTAGGTACAACTTTTGATAAAAAATTAACTTTAAAAACACACATTAGAGAAATGACTTCTAAATCATATTAAATATTACAAGCATTTTTAGATCTACTAACATCTTACTGTAGATGTTTTTCAAATTTTATACTGCTCTTTGGTGCTGAGTATTTTGGAGCACAACACAATTTTAAAAAGTCCTGAAAAAAAATTTGAAATAACCGATTTTCTATAAAGCATTTTGGATCAAAAAATGTCTAATACGAATCTTTAAATCATTTAAAAACTGAAATCTTATATTTATCGGAAATTTGTTGAAAAACCTAACTGCCCAGAACCCCGGACCATATTGGCACCTTCTCAGGCGCCAATATATAAGAGTCAAAATTAAGGATAGCGTCAGACAGCATTCAGCACATAATTTTGTATAAACAAATTGAGGGCTAATTTTTTTGGGACCTGTTCTAAAAAATATCATTTGGAGCAGTACTGATAGAAGCGCTTCGTGACTAGAAATTACATGCTATGTGTTAACTCCTTGACATTATTCCCTTGATGTTTTGTGATAATTAGTCGCCAAGAACAAGCCTTACCTCAAGAACTTTCATGAGCTGTGTTCAACAGTTTCGTGAAACTCCCCTGCTATTTGTAGATTGAAAAACTTAAAAGATGTTTTTTTCATGAGGTGGGAGCTACAACCCGGATCGCTATAATATATGCGAATTTCGGGATCCCTCCATTTATGGATAGAACATAATAATAATAATAGACGTCTTTATTTATCCACAATTACATTGTAGTATAGCCAAATGTCAGACTTATATGGCGAAGTTTAGCATGCTGCTACTCTTACACTTAACCATATAGTCTCTAGCAGATGTTCAAAAGAATACACTATCCACAAACAGATTTGGTTCATTACATCAAAAGTAAAATTTTAAAAAAAGAGAAAAAGGCATACTTTCCAAACCCAAATGCAGCAAAAAATGATTAATCTGAATTAAAGATGGAATAAAAAAGAAATGAATGATTACGTAAATTATATGTTTGGAGGGTTGAGTAATGTTTTAACTTTTTGTCGAAAGACAGGTAATGAAAATTCTTTATATACTTTAGGAAGGTTATTATGAATAATAGCAACATTGTAAGAAAAACTGCGTTTAAAAAGTGTAGACGTATGCAGGGGTATTCTATTATTTTCTCTGAGAGTTCTACAGTGAACATCATTATTAAATGAAATTTTTTTCTTCAAGTAATAAGGTTTAGACGTGAGCAGCAATTTGTGAACAAAAACTGAATAGTGATACTTGACCATGTCATTAATTTTTAACCAGTTTAGAACGGGATATTTCGCCGATACATGATCAAATTTATATATATTTATTATAAATGAATCGTATACAATTGTTCTGAATAACTTGAATAACGTTTTTAGTGAAATTGTCTAAACAAGTATAGTATACGATATTACAATAATTTAGTATAGATATGACCAATGCTTCACATAGTTTTTTACGCATCTTAAAATTTAGTAAATACCTGTTTGCTATAAGAGTGCGCAGCCGTAGGTAGGTTTTCTGAGATAGACTTTTAACATGTTCAATAAACCTTAATTTTGTATCAAAAACAACACCAAGAATTTTTGCAGAATCAGAAAATTGCAAGATTTGGTTATTTATCTGAATGTTCAAGAGCTGTGTTACATTGTATGTTTTTCTTTGTGCGCAAAATAATAACATTTTAGATTAGATTAATAAGTAGATTGTGATCTAAAGAGTATTTAATTAATTTATTAACATCGTTTTGTAAAATTTGAGTAGTATTATTGACATTATCTGGGTTAAAATAATGAAGCAATTGCGTATCGTCTGCAAATGACTGGACATGAGAATTATCAATACTTTTGCTTAAGTCGAACGTATATATGAGGAACAGAAGCGGCCCCAATACAGAGCCCTGAGGTACGCCTGAGGGAATTATTGTCACTTGAGACATTTCTTGATTGATAAAAACACACTGAGTTCTTTGATGAAGGTAGCTGTCGAAAAATGAAAGGGATACACTGTCAAGACCTATGTAATTTAATTTAGCAAGTAATAATTTATGATTGATGCTGTCAAAGGCTTTCGAATAGTCTATGTGTTTTTTCCATTGGAGCTAAGGGTCAAGTGTTACACTTAAAAATTCAACCTGACCTTCATTTCGGATGTTTATTTCTCTCGTATAGAGCACAACTTGCTTAGATTTGCAACAACTTGTTGGGATAAAACCAGATTTTGAATTTTTCCAATTCAGCGTCTGTTTGCAGTCCGTACGTCAATGAGAGAGCTAGCTGCAAGAGATACTGATGTGCCATCTGCAAAGAGGTTATATTTGGGCATTATCGCATTATTCGGGGATCATCAACATAGATGAGAAAGAGTATGGGGCCAGGACAGAACCTTGTGGCACTCCTACGATATATCCCTCTTTGCAAACTCACACCATCAACCTCCACTGTTTGATGTCTCTCTTGCCGATAGGACGACCAATGCAATGCTATTGGGGGACCAGTTATAGAAAGAATGCTGTGATTGACGCAATCGAAGGCCTAACTCAGGTCACAGAACAGAACTGTACTGCCTCGTGTGAAAAGCCTCCATCACACCAGCAGATCAAGGATTGCATCAGTCATTTTTCTGTTTGCTCTAAAAGCATACTGCTTTTCAAAAAAATCAATTTGTTTTGAAGAATTTTATGATTAGAATGGCTACGCATTTATTCAATATTTTAGCGATAATTGGTAAAAGATGTATCGATCTGTAATTTCCTGGGAAAAAATTGGTTTAACAAAAGCCAGCTCGAGATAATCTGAAGGATATTGTTTTTAAGCACATATTAGTGAGGTTAGTTAATGGTAATGTTGATGTTTCATCGTTTTTATTAATTTTACGTTCAGGCCCTAAATGTCACTACTCGGTTTATACTTTAAATTATCGGTTATGTCTCGTTCTTCGTTAAATGTTACTTCTCTAAATGAAAATGCAGGACTGTCTATATTTTGAATATTACTGATAGCGTCACAATATGTAGCAGGTCAGCCTTCATTATAGAAACTTTCCGTGTGATTTTTAGATCTATTTTCTACCCTAGAAACCCATCTAACAATTATCACTCCTATTAGAGTTGCAAGAATGATTATACAGTATTCCTTAAACAGCATTGTATGCTGTAAGAACATTGGCAAAACCCTCTCAGAACAGCTATACAAGCGGAATGGGCACACCTAATAGGACACTTCAGTCATTTAAGAGGTTAAATAAGGGCTGCAGGTAACAGTTATAAAACAAAAGTGTAAGCCTCTTGCAGCCGCTATAGGACATTTGCGTCAGTGCAAGATTCAGTTTTTGTCAACTATACAACTGTTCTGTTACGTGATTCTACTTTATTGCAAACAAACTATTTCTTATGTATTGTATAGACGAAGTGATAACTAACACATTACTGTCATCTTGTTTACTTACATATCGGCCATTGTGAATTTCATGCACAGGTATATGATAAACTTCTACACTGTGATATAGGGCTATTGAATTACTTGCGCAGCGAATTTTATTGTGATTATCTTGCAAATTAGTTACCCAATTTCTACGTGCGACGTATTTGATTCATATTTTGACAATGATCAAAAGTATGTCTAGATTTTTAAGATGGAAAACTGAACTTATCTGCGTTAAATCTTCCACAAATCCTATATTTAGACACAATTACACTAATGTTTATCACTTTATATCTGTAATTTCGAACTGAAACTTAATTATTTAATATTAAATAGAGGAATAAATGTTTGCCCAATATGGCGGGTGGTTGTGTAAAATCATGGCATCGTCCATGTTGTCTTTAGGTTATTAGAATATTTTGGTCTTGCCTGTAGGTGTTATACAAAAATTTGACAAATGTCTGAAATGAAATACCGACAGAGTCGAATGATTTACCCAGAATTTGTACCAGATCTATATCTTCAGTTTGAACAGTTGATAAAACCTTTTGAACCAATATGCATGCGTTGTTTGTCTTAAAACATTGATTATGGCATTTTAGCATTTTACAAAAATATGACAGCAGAAAGTTAGGTTATGGTGAAGTTATTTACCAACATATTTAGCATATGTACAGCCTTTAACAGTTACTAAACAACAGTTGTATAAGTGCTTCCGTTGGGAGCAATTTGTTGGCTAAAGTAGAAAATTGCACAGCAAAACAACAAGGCTCGGGTTTGTTTTATAAACGTTACCATGGATGCCACAACACAACCATTTCGACTAACGTGCAAATATGCCGTATAAAATAGTTGTATAAACGTTTATGCAACAGTTAAAAATTTGCCCTATAAGGTGTTGTATAACTATGCTATAAGAATATTTTAAACACTTCATTTTAGAGCAAATATGTTGCAGAAAGCAAATCTGCATTCCACACAACATTAAGGCAGCAACAATAGAGAGCTTTTATGGCTGAACGGTTCTTTTACCAAAAGCTTACACCACTACTTTGCTAGTTGGGAATATTCCCACCACCTTTAAATAAGCTCCCATTCAAAAGTATTCATTATTATAATCGACCCAAAAATAATCCCAAAATACATATAAAACTCACCGGTATCTCCTGCTGCAAAATCTCACACATAATGTCCAAGTATCCGCTTTCCACCGCTAATCTAGAAACGTCCAGTAAATAGAGGTACACTGCGGGTTGAGGAGGTCTCAGCATATACTCAGCGGGTGCTATGTACTCTAAGGTACTCGATTTTATTTCTGGTCGACGAGAAGGGTCACCGTACGTTTTGGTCACAGGATCGTACTGGAACTCTTCGGGTAGTTCGTTCACCCTATGAGACAAGCATTAGCATTACGACAAACGCGATTTTATGGAATCTTCACACTGATTTTTCGTTCTTTCTTTATTATACAGGGTGCAAATAAAATACGTCCATTTTTTTCATCTTAATCTTTTATTGACACTTAGAAATTATGCATGGAAAATAATGCCAGACAAATCTTCGCTGGAAAGACAACGAGGCGTAACTCCAATTCAGGTATTTTACAGGAGACGCGATATATGCTCGTTTGTCCTTTTATCACTAGTAAGAATAGGAGATCCGTCCACACACTGATTTGCCATATTACGTTAACTATAAGGAGGAGCGATACGCCACTTTGTCTTATTATAGATATCCACTCTTAGAGATTTCTAGTGGGCATTTTCCGACTTACGCCCTTTTGTCTTTCCAGCGACGAAATGTCCGCCTCTAGGGCCCATAAAAAAAGTCAGAAGCCGTTAAATCCGGTAACCTTGGTGATCAGTTGGCATCACCAAATCGAGAAATTAAGCGCCCCGGAGATATTGTTCGCAAAAGATTCATTGTTCCTCTAGCTGTGTGACAAGTTGCTCCGTTCTGCTGGAACCACATCTTTTGCAAGTTAAATTGTTGGATTTGAGCAGCCAGAAAGTTTTGCCCGATATCACGGTAACGCTCGCCAGTGAGAGTAAGAGAATTCCCGCAGCGTCTTCAAAGAAGTAGGGTCCAATGACACCTCCATACCAGACACCGCATCAAACTGTGACTCGACGACGATGCAGTGGTCGTTGATGGATGACACGAGGGTTCTCTAATCCCACATACGACAATTCTGCTTATCAACAAATCCCTTCATATCGAAGTGGGCTCCATCGCTCATTATCAGTTGCCGGTAAAAATCGTTATTTTTATTTTAAAGCTGCAATATTGCAAGACTTTCATGGTCAATAGGCTATAGTTCTTGTGCTATCAAGTCTTTTTTAACATAGTGCATAATGACGTGCGACGAATACCCAGTTCTTGAGAACGATGTCTGGTAGACGTCTCAGGGCGCTCCACTACACTTTCACGAACTCTCTCGATATTTTTCGAAGTACGAACAGTTCGAACACGGCCCGACCTTGGCGAGTCTTCAACTTCACCTGTTTGTTCAAATTTAAGCACCAACTGACGAAAGGTGTTGACACTGACATTTCGACCGAAATCTTGTAGCTTCCGAATCGTTGCAAAAATCGGCTCATTATTTAAGTAAAACGTTTTAACAATACGGACGCGTTGTGGGATCGTGTAGCGCTCCATGATGAATGTACTTTAAACAACTACTACGCCGTCACCTACTGAAATGCGTGTATCAAAAATGGCGCAAAATTTAAATGAGTCACTTATACAGGGTGTCCGCAAAGTTGGGGTTTTCCTTTACAAGACGTGTAGATCTTGAAAACATAAGCAATTTTTCTTAGTACCTTTTACACCAATGTCTTAAGTTAACCGAGATAAAGAGCTCTGCAACATCAAAAATATCTGAATACCGTCCTGTAGCCGCGACATCACGGAGTGGTACAATGTCACTGGCTCAACGACAGAACTGGGTCGGGGGTCGGGGTCAGTGTGTCAGGTCAGTATGCAACCTTAAACCGACGGCTACGGTCACGCGAGGTAATCGCGTAGACGAGAATCCCTCAACAAGCACTAGAGACGTGGCTAGAGAAGTGCAAGTATCAAAAACTAAAGTGTGGCAAACACTGCGTGAAGAGGGGCTGTACCCGTTTCACGTCCAACGTGTACAAGCCCTTCAACCTGACGATTTTCCAGCAAGAGTGCGGTTTTGTGAGTGGTTGTTGCATCAACATGACAATAATCCGAACTTTTTGAAGTGCATATTGGTGACAGACGAATCTACGTTCACGCGTAATGGGGTCAATAACTTTCGCAAAACTCATGTTTGGTCAGTAGAAAATCCGCACGCTGTCCGTCGGGCACATTTTCAACAAACATTTTCGGTGAATGTTTGGGCTGGCATGGTGAACGGTATGCTCATTGGACCATTTATTCTCCCAAATCGATTGGACGGGATGCAATACCTAGACTTTTTACGCAACATTTTGCCTTCCTTGTTTGCCTGCGTCTGCTCGGTAGCGCATCAGCTGATTTCTTTTTCTGTTGGAGCGGTATGATTTCGTGCAGAGACGTACTTAGCCCTTCTCGTCAACTGGAGAGTGAGTAGTTTTTCCTTTATTTTTTTTTACTTGGTCGCCCTCGTTTCACTACACATTACCTTTGTTATTTCAAGGGTAGTTGTTTCTGAAAAGGAAAACCCCAACTTTGCGGACACCCTGTATATTGGCCACCCTGTATACATGATGTCCCATTCTAATCTCGCCACCTAAACCGCGCATTCTGGAAAAAACATTCAAACGAAAAATGCAGGGTTTATTTTCACATCGAAATTGATAAGATGAGGAAATTTTGAGTTCAAATGTCACCTTGACTATGACATTGATTATCACCTTCAAGGTCAAATCAAGACATCGAAAAATAACAGGCTCAGAGGCTTATAAGAGTGGCTTTGGTTAATTTTGCTAAATTTGTATATGTTATGTGTTACGGTGCCCTGAACAAATGGCTTAATGGGCTCAGCCCACAAAACTCAACGGCTTCCCAGATATAGGCCGTCCAAGTCAGTATCCGGAATGTTTAGGACCCTGACAGGCATAAGATATGTAAGTTTCTATAAATACGTTACAAAGAATAGAAAATGCATTTTAGACTTAAGATATGTAACTTACCTGTAGCACAAGTTACATTTCCACCTTTTACTATCAACGAAGAACACAAACGGGTTTATATAAGTCCGGCACGCTCTGCACCTAACAATCACGTTACACTGTATGACTGGCAGATGACTGAGGTCTTTAAATGGGTGAATCAGCACGCCGAGAGGCAACCGAGATTTCTGGAGCAGATTGTTGTTCTCTGGGATTTTCGTCAATGTACACCTGAATAAACAAAACCGTGTTAGATATAATTTCAACTATAATAGGAGCTTCAAATTCTAATGAATAAATAATAATATCCATTCACATCAATTATATAAACTCTGTAAGTTAAGTGATGAGACTGGCAACGTACCCATGAATAACTATACAAACAAAAGTAAATTTGAACAAAAAATGCGTTTTACTACAAGTGATTGTCAATGAATTAATCCAAAAAGGGGTATTTTTCTGGAAACATCGCATTTATCTCCGTCGAAATAAAAACAGCACGCGATTACACGCTATCAGCTGTTTTGTGGACGCCATATTTTTGGATCGATTATCTCTCTCATTCGCATTGTCTAATTATCTTCTCTTTGATGGACTCTCAAGAATATGTGTATAAATATGCAATATAACTGAAAACCTAAGATAGTATCTTACCTAAATATATCCGGACTACAATTAGCATCATCCATAGCTGATTGACCTAATACGATCCTAGGTGGATCTAGTGTTTTGGGAGGCAATATCGTGGGCGTTTGCAGTAAGTCGTGGCTCTCCATACCCCACATTTTATTGAATCCTGTTTGCGTTACTCCTTTGTATTGCTGAAAATTCTGCTGCTGCTGCTGCTGTTGTTGATAGCCTTGCTGTTGTGGCGGCTGTTGTTGAACTTGCTGTTGGTAAGGCGGCTGTTGTGTTCCATACGAATTCTAAAAACAACAAATAAAAATATGACATAAAATGAGACAAGAAGCTTAAAATATGCTATGGTTAAGCTCAGCAAATCGCGAATCTTTTATTTAATAAGGTTAAAATCCCGTAAGAAAATGGACAGGGGGTAGCACCCAAACCAAAACAACTAAACGTAAGGTACAAAATAATAAACATAATCTGGTGTTTGGGGCGTTAATATCTTAGAACCTGGAAATTAACCAACAAAACGACCCAAAAGCTCAATGAAAAGCAAAAGAAAAATGGCGCTGGATCTGTCTGTACACTCAAGTTTTTTAAAACAAGGAATCTTGATGGGAAAAGAAGGTATCTTGATAGGTAAAGAAGTTATCTTGATAGTCAAAGGACTAAAATTGGCAATACATTATCAAACATTAAAAACATTTCGGTAGGTGTGCTACAGGGTAGCAAATTAGGTCCATTACTATTTATTTTATATATTAACGAAATTCCTGATATTTTGTAACACTGCAAAATTCAACTATTTGCTGATGATACATATATATATATATATATATATATATATATATATAACTTGAGACGTGGTCATTGTCGTCTAGACCAGTTAGGTGAAAAATTAAAGCTTCCGCCTTTTGTTGGGTACTTCGACAAAATTTAAGCAAAGAGGACTCTTTATACTTTTTTAATTCCCTCTAGCTTTCAATGGACTTTGCCATCATCATCAGGAGAGTAGTATGTGAGGATGTTGCTAATTGTTGTTTACGTATAGGTTGAGGGAAACGTCCAGTAACATGGTGAGAGCTGGATAAAAAAACAATGTTTTTAAATAATTTTTAATCTGTTTTTAACTTGTTCTTGTCATATTTTATATAATTTTGACCATTGTACCATGTATCCAGCTCTCACCATGTTACTGGACGTTTCCCTCATCCTATACGTAAACAACAATTAGCAACATCCTCACATACTACTCTCCTGATGATGATGGCAAAGTCCATTGAAAGCTAGAGAGAATTAAAAAAGTATAAAGAGTCCTCTTTGCTTAAATTTTGTCGAAGTACCCAACAAAAGGCGGAAGCTTTAATTTTTCACCTATATATATATATATATATATATATATATATATATCAAATAAAGACATTGAAACTGCAATAGAGCTGTTAAATAATGATATGAAAAACGTAATAAATTGGTTATTAATGCAAATAAACCCTTAAACACAAACACACATTTACAAAACTGCAGTAGCACTATAACGAGCAAGTCAGTATATCAAACGGGATTGTACGAATTTAATAAATTAATTAATGATATCAAGATGTGTGTCAGTTTGAAAATGTTCAAAGGGAAATTGAAAAAATATCTCATGGAAAACCAGAATTCATAGCAGTGAAATTTTGTATAAAAATATGTAGTCTTGAAGACATAATATATTTTGTGATATACTGTGTAATAGGGATATTGTAGCATTAATGCTAAATAAATCTGAAACAAACAATAATACTTTAACATTAGTGTCCAAACGATTTCAACACAATACTGAATCGCTGAGAAAGAAAGATATAATACGTGTGAAATTATACAATCAATAAAGTATGAAATTTTCCAAAAGAAAATCATTAAAAAGGGTTTATCCTAGGAATCGGCACTCTACCATTAATAAAGAGAAATTCAACTTACTGATAAGTGATCAACATAGTAAAAAAAAAAGGTTACCTGATTTTGGCCCGCGACAAAATTAGATGCCAGAATGGTATTTGACAAGACTATGTCATGAGTAATAGATTATTCTGCATACACATAGCTTACAAAATTTATTAACAATAAAATCTGAATAATTGTTTTCTGGTATCCTAGGAGACCATAGTTACTTGTTATCAAAGGTAAAGTATCTTTTGGTGACAACAGCTGTCAAGTTTTGCCGCGGGTAAACTCTTAAAAACTGCTGACAGGTGCTGTCATACAATTTTTCCACCTGGAAACAATTTGTAATTCAAAATCGAGCGTTTGTGATTGGTATAAATTAAGACGAGGGAAATAGTCTCCAGTAAATGAATTTTGAATTTGAATAGTTCAATTTTTTTTTTCGCAGAGACAATACTGTTCCATTAATTGCCGCGTAATGAAGGTACTAACAGAAAAAATACTAACGTGAGTTCCTTGCTGCTGGTACTTCTGAGGATACGGATACTGTTGCTGTACATTCCCGGTAGGTGGCGTCGGCATAGCATTAGCTGCAGCTGTAGGATACCTATTCGCGTGCAGACCGGTCTTCTGCAGCGACGGAGCCTGCGAAGTCCCGTTGGTGTAGCTTGTCTGTGACCCATATTGCTGTGGGGGCCCGTTCGTCGTGAAAGGGGACTTCTGCGGAGGCGGCGCCCCCGGGGGGTTGTTCGAATTCGCGTAGTTTTGAGCGTTCGTCTGGTTGTCGTTCTGTGGGGGGTATACATTTTTGTTCGGGCTTGCTTGATGATTCGTCATCTGCTTTGGTTGGTTTAAGTAGTAGTTCGATGTTGGTACAGTACCTGAAAAATAAGCTGGAGCTTAATCGCGATGTTAAACAACCGGTTTCTGGGTAAATCGGGTGCACAGATCACGAAGGTGATGTGACACACTGATCTAGACACTACTCTGTATAAAATAAGTTGTTGTTTGCATTCATCTTTTATTTTCGAGCTTAAGGCCAATATTTTCAAATTTCTTAAATGTTTTTGTAAAACTTCATATACCATAGAGCAGCAGCAGCCGCATGTTTAAACCTATTTAACATAAATAGGATTATTATTTAATAATAAAATATTAATACATGTACTGTTTAGTTTGTAAGGCATGCTACGCATTTTCCTGCGGCCTGAGTCAATTTTGAAAACAACCAGATAATGCGGACCACGAGCAACTCTTTCATTGCATTTTCTATTACCTATGACGAAATTATAGATACAGTAATGAACAAAAGTATAGACAAATTAGTATTGTGCTTTATTTCTTTTTTAAATTGTTTTATTAATACACTAACCTGTATACATAATTCGTTATAGCATAATTCTCACTTATACATAAATAAATTCATTAGACTCCCTTCAATAAAAAATTAATTGAAAAAAACTGGAACTATGAAGGACAAAAATATATAGACAAAGCAAAACAATTATAGAAAAAAGAAGTAAAATTCATTGAATTATAGAAAAGCAACCATGTTTGTGTTAATATTTTGTAGCATAACCGCCTGGCATCGTCTCGGCATATATTGTACAAGTTTCTTGATATAAGATTCATCAATCTGTCTCCACTTTTGCTCTAAAACGGCAAAAACTTCATCCTTGTTTGAATAATTTTTATCTCGTATTTGCTTATCGAAGTATTCCCATAGATTTTCAATGGGGTTTATATCGGGAGACTGTGAAGGCCATTTGAGATCTGGTATTTTTTTACCCAGAAAGAATTTCTTTGCGAGATTTGAAGAAGTGCTTCGGGTCATTATTTTGCTGGAAGATTGATCTTAAGGGCATATTGTCTTCCATATAGGGTAACAAGACATGCTTTAGTATGCCTGTGTATACAAACTTATCCATAATGCCATCTATTCTATGTAAAGGTCCCATCCCAAACCCTGAAAAGCACCTCCAAACCATAACAGACCCGCCTCCATGTTTGACAGTGGGCAAAGTGTACTTGGGGTTCAATCTTTGTCCACTAGGATGTCTAACGTAATGGACACCATCTGATCCAAACATATTGAACTTGGATTCGTCACTGAAACATACCCTCTTCCAGTCACAGATGCTCCAATCAAGATGCAACCGTGCAAATTGTAATCGGTCCTTACGGTTTTTCCTCGAGATTATCGGCTTCTTACTCGGGCAACGTGCAAATAACTTCAAATCATTTAATCTTCTACTTATAGTTTTCGTAGAAACACTGACAATTCCTTTTGTCTCGATTTCGGCTTTTATTTGTCTTGGAGTTTTAAACGGATCTTTGGACGAAATTATTTTTATTAATCTAACTGATCTAGCATTTAGTTTTCTAGGCCGACCACTTCTCTTAGAGGCTTCCAAGATACCTTTTTGTTTATATTTGTTCAATATTGCCCAAAGTGCTTTACGCTTCAGCTTCAAATTTTTGGCAATGTCGACTTGATGTTGACCATCTCTCTATAACTTAGCTTTCACATCGAAAGGAATTTCTGGACCACGCGGCATGGTCTTAAAATCACTCAACTTATTCCACAATTCTTGATGAACACAAATTAATCCTCTTGTGACACGAAACTCTACTAAACTAATGTTGAAAATAATTTGTCTACATATGTTTGTCCCTCATAAAAAAGTGCTTATATTCAGACTATTGTGTTCATTGCAGATAATGTAAAAACAAGGAATTCAGTTTTTCTACTAATAACGCATTTGTTTATGGAGCAATGAAGTATGAATTCGTTTTCTAAAGGTATTTAGGTAAATATTCGTATTTGTCTATATACTTTTGTCCATTTCTGTATGTCTGGTGTGGCCAGATGGTACATTCGAATTTTATACGAGGTTTGTCTTGAAAATACGTATAAAAAATATAGATATAGATAGTAACCCTTATATTTCTTGCAGGCAAGAATGGACGTGAGATTTTTGAGTGTTTGGAATAAGTTTACAGACACAATTCTCTGAGGGAACCAACCGTCAACAAGTGGTTGAAAAGGTTTTGGGAAGGCCGAGATGTGAAATATGACCAACGCTCAGGACGCCCCTCCAAATCGAGCTCTAAGGGAAATGTTGAACGAATTTGGGACTGTGTTCTTAAAGACCGTCGATTCATAGTTAGAATGATAGCTGAGGAACTGTCAATCCCCAAAACAATTGTGTGAAAAACCTGAAATGAAAAAATTGTGCGCGAAAATCGTTCCGAAACTCTTGACTCCAGAACAGAAAACAAGGAGAGTTGCTTGCTTTGGTGCTTCGGAAGCAGCACTTGGGGGCTGTGGAAGCGATCAAGGCAGCAACGACACGGCAAATGAAGAGCCACGCAATTGCAGACTTTCAGCGATCGTATCAACAGTGGATACGGTGTTGGCAGAAGTGCATCTTGTCCCAGGGAGCGTACTTTGAAGGAGACCGTAATGAAATACCTGAACAATTGTAAAATAAGGTTATTATTCCACCTATTGTAAAATAAGGTTATTATTCCACCTTTCCGGACAAACCTCGTAAGTACTCGCCGCTTCAATATCAACAAATAAGAAAATTTTCCTATAATGTCCTGTCAATGTTTGGAAGTACCTCTAAGTATGAATAGTTATAGTCTTTGTTGAAAGGAAACAAATCTCTCGCAAGATTACGCTTGACAGACCCACAATTCAGGCCACAAAAGCCAACTGTGTGGAAATTTTGCCTTTAGAACCATAAGAGTTTGAAGATTTCCAAAAAATCCAGGAGTGTCTGCAAACTTGACCTAAATTCATTTTTTGATAAAATCAGGCGCGTAGATCACAAAACTGGCTTCAGTTTTTCGATGAGATGGACCAGAGGACCCAAACATGCCATTTTCCTATTCAAATAGGTATGCAGATCACAAAGTTGGCTTCAGTTGTACCGAATTTTGTCCGGTTGTAACAACAGTAGATGAAAATGGGAAATTTGTATCACAGATTTTGAATAAGTTGTTTGAATAATGCTTCAGCTAGAATGACGACTCATGTGCAACGTATAATGCATTATATGGATGACCTGGAGGTTCAACTTTTAAATTCGAATGCAACAAAACTTATTAGGTTAGTTATTTATTTCCCTTATCAAATTGTAATACAAACGGAATGGTGCATAAATTAAAGTACAATATAATTTTATAGTGTTTAACGATACTACGTTAATAATGACTCAATAAAATCATTCTAACATTCAAGTGTGATAAGAACTGACGATTTGGGAGGAAAAAATTGGCAGCACAAATGCTCAAAAGTATAGGGTGTGCGGCTATAAACTGACCCCTCTCTAACTTTTTTAAATGACCTAGAAGAAAAAGTTGTGTATACAGTTTTTAATATATACATATATACAGTAATGGACAAAAGTATATAGACAAATATGAATATTTACCTAAATACCTCTATAAAACAAATTCATACTTCATTGCTCCATAACCAAATGCGTTATTAGTAGAAAAACTAAATTCCTTGTTGTTATGGTTTGGGGGTGCTTTTCAGGGTTTGGGATGGGACCTTTACATAGAATAGATGGCATTATTGATAAGTTTGTATACACAGACATACTAAGGCATGTCATGATACCCTATATGGAAGACAATATGCCCATAAGATTAATCTTCCAGCAAGATAATGACCCGAAACACACTTCAAATCTCGCAAAGAAATTCTTTCTGAATTAAAAAATACCAGTCTCCCGATATAAACCCCATTGAAAATCTATGGGATACTTAGATAAGCAAATACGAGATAAAAATTATTCAAACCAGAATGAACTTTTTGCCGCTTTAGAGCAAAAGTGGAGACAGATTGATGAATCTTATATCAAGAAACTTCTACAATCTATGCCGAGACGATGCCAGGCGGTGATTGATAGTAGTAGTAGTAGAAAGATTTATTTAGCACATTTGGCTACATAAACAGAATAATTGTAAACAACTTAGAACTAGTAAATTCAAGCCATATGGTGTATAATGTAAATGCTGGACAACCTATAATTGTAGATTTAACAGATGATTTCTCAATTTTATTTTAAATTTTGTCAAAGTTTTCTGGTCTTTTATCTCCGAGTATAATTTATTATATTCAATCAACCCTTGATGGAATACAGATTTGTAGCATATGTTATACTTTTTGGTCATTAAATGGAAGTCATCTTTATTTCTGGTATTATGTAAATGATGGTCGACATTTGATGATGTTAAATTAGTTAAATTATTTTTTACTTTATAAATGAATATCATTACAAGATATTTGATAAAATTTTTTACATTGAACCATTTTAATTTGCTAAGCATTTGCCTAATTGGAGTATATTTATCTTTATTTAGTATTATTCTCATGGACTTATTTTGTAAAATTTGCAGTCTTTCAAAAATGGAATTATTTGCTAAATATAGAATAGTCGAACAGTACAAGAAATTTGGAAGAATGATGGTATTATAGATAATTTTTCTGCTATATGAACTCAGACATCCAGAAACTCTCGATAAATATCCCACTTTACTACTAATCTTATTTATAACTTTTTCATAATGAATATCAAAAATTAATCGAGAGTCAACAAAAACCCCCAGGTAATTAAAATTTTCTACGAATTCAATATCTTCACCATCAATATTCAGTTGAACATTTGTACATTGTTTTTTTCCGATTAACACAGCTTTCGTTTTACTTGTATTTACTTTTAGTCTGTTAGATGCTAACCATTTTAAGACAAGTTTCAAGTCTTCATTTATATAAGAGATACCAGTCTGAATATTTTTAGTACTTGTATAAATCATAGTGTCATCGGCGAAAATCTGAATTTTGCATTTTTTGACTATGGCAGGTAAATCATTTATGTATAAAATAAAAAGAAGTGGTCCCAGGATACTGCCCTGTGGAACACCCAACGTATTTTCAATTTTTGATGAAATAGTGTCATTAACTTTTGTAACTTGCATCCTTTTAGACAAATAATTTCTAAACCAATCTAAAACACTTCCTGTTATACCATATGCCTTCAATTTATCTAACAAAATATCTCTATCAATCGTTTCAAATGCCCTCTTCAAATCAAAAAATACTGCTATGACAACTTCTTCTGAGTCTATGGCTCTTCTCCAATTCTCAGTTACCAACTGGAAAGCTGTTTCTGTGGAATATTTTTTTCGAAAGCCTGCTTGCGCCTCCACTTAAATTTTGTTTTCTTCTATAATCTGCATTAATTGGTCATGCACTATGGACTCTAATAATTTTTCAATGTCTGGTAACACATTTACTGGTCTCATATCGCTGCATCTTTTAGAATTTATTATTTTGGGAACTGGTGTTATTGTAGAGCATTTCAAATTTTCAGGAAAAGAACTGCTTCTCAGTGAACAATTGATCCAATTTAATACAGGATATCCCAAAATTTCGAAACAGTTTTTCAGCACGTTTTTAGTAGTGATTTCGGCACAGTTGTTGTTTGATTTTAAACTGTTTACTTTTTTTCTTAGATAATTCAATGATACACTGTGAAATTTTGAAAGTGTATGCAACATTTCCCCCTGGAAACTGATTTTCATATAGTCAGGTGTAGCATTGGCAGTACCCACAATATCAACAATACTTTCCGCAAAATATTCATTTAGTTTGTTTGCAATCACCAAAGAATTTGTTTCGGTACCGTTTTCGACTTGAACTTGATTTACACAATCATGCGGCTTCGAATTGATCAGTCTTTTTAAAGTCTTCCACATCTTTACACTGTCGCATTTGTTATTATCGATTTGTTTATCGTAGAATTTCCTTTTTTCTTCTCTAATTACATATACACATTTATTCCTAAGAGTTTTATATACCTCCCAATCATCATTTGATTTTGTGAATATACATTTATTGTATTGTTTGTCTCTCAAATTTTGAGCTGCCTTAATATTCTTGTTATACCAGGGAGTATTTTTTGTCGAGCAAATCACTTTTTTATCAGTTGCAAGATCTAAACAAGTTTTTATATTTCCTATTATGTTGTCATATATTTTTTCCATATTCTCACCAAAATTCCAATAGCAGCCAGCAAGTTCTCGTTCAAGTTTTTCGTAATTAATAGTATTTACGATTTTCTTAATTTTTGTATCAGAAAAATGCCCTACCAAGGGCAGCACTGTCCAACTGTGATCGCTAACTTTAGGTGTATGTACAGCTTTAATCCCTGCACATTCGAAATTTACAATAACAAGATCTAACAAAGTCTCTGATAATGATGTTATTCCGGTACTCTCTAATGGTTATGCTACAATATATTAACACAAACATGGTTGGTTTTCTATAATTCAAAGAACTTTGCTTCTTTTTTCTATAATTGTTTTGGTCTATATATTTTTGTCCTTCATAGTTCCAATTTTTTTCAATTAATGTTTTATTGAAGGGAGTCTAATGAATTTATTTATTGTCTATATGTTATACTTTTGTCCATTACTGTATATATATATATATATATATATATATATATATATATATAATATATGACTTTATTGCATCATTAACTTCACAGCGTAACATTAAAAAGTATGATGCAAATGGCGGAGTCTAGCCATTGGCCAATTTACTCAACCAATATTTGGAAAAATATAAAAAGTATAAATTAAGTATATACTATAATGTCTTGATACTTGATAGTGTATTACACGTTTTAAGTTATTAAGTGCTACCAAATTTCTGTGTTATGTCTAATGCATTATATTTGGCGGCGTTATATAATAATAACGCTGTGTGATGTCTTGGCATGATACCTTAAATTTAAATATTTCTTTTGTGTACCGGGTGGCTCAGAAAAGTGCTATGGAATAATGCAATTTTTAAATGGAACAGCATTATCGTGAAAACACTCTCGTTTTTTTTTCAAATCTAATTTATAAAGAAACAGCACGATTGACCTATACCTCAAGTAGCGCCTGATTTGGATACGCACACCGTACATTTCTATCTTAGATGCAGAGCCAGGCTAGCTAATTCAGATTTTTTGGAAATAATAATTGTTATCTTGAGTCTTTAGTGTATGTGTTCCAAAAAGGGGCTAATTTTTACATAAACTATACGGTGGGTAAAGGAAAGACCCATCCATAAGAACATCCTGTATAATCTATTAACAAGTTTACATACCTGGGCCGTAGTTGTGGTTATTCGTAATAGGAGGCACAGATTTCTGTGTCTGTCCATAGCTAGGTGTAGGAGCGTTACTTTTTCCTACAAACTGGTTAGTCTGTGCTGGTCTTGGTAAACTGTTCGTAGGCAATTGAGCACCAGATGGAGGTAAACCTGCACTTTGTCCGTACGCAGGTCTCTGATTCGCGAAATTCGTATTAGACACTTGTGGTGGAAAAGCACTACTTTGACTAAAACTAGGAGGGTTCTGAATTTGCTTAGGGGGAACGTTACTAGATGTCGGTGCGTGACTTGAGGGTGACAGAGTCTGTTGGTTTACACTAAGTGACTGAGATGACGTCGTGACAGCCGTCTTCGGGAACGTTGTAGCAGAAGGCGTTTGGTTCGTTCCTGGGGGTGGTTGAGTGAAGTAGCTTTGGGAACTAACTGGTGCAATTTGCGTCGCGTTCTGATTTGTCCCGTTCTGTCTGTTCATATTACCTGAAATGATGAAAGTTTGTTGATTGTGTTGTTATAAAGGGTCGGAAATAGAATAAGACAAGTATGTAGGGTATATTTTTTATTTGAAAGCGCCATTTACAATGTAGTAGTAGTAGATGTGGTCTACTTGTCAATAAACAACATAAAATACACATGCTCTACTTTCGCCCGCCCGACCAAGACAGGAAACCACGGTCAGCTGTTTCGTGCTTTTTGACGACTTCTCGGCACCGTCTAGGCTTGGGCCTCTTGGACAACGAGCGAAAGTTTAGCAGCTATACGTCTTTTAAGTTTTGCATATGGAAATAAAACAACACGGTAGGTAGTTTTAAATGACTTTATTGTCTTTCGAAGTATTCTCCACGAAGATTAATACACATCTGCATGCGCTCGAACCAATTTTCGAAGCACTTATTCCACTCGTTTGGTGGCAGATCCAAAACGGCATTTTTGAATGCGTCAACCGTTTTTAATTTTCGGGAAAGTAAAGAAATCGTTAGGACTTAGATCGGGACTATATGGAGGATGGTCCAATAATTCCACGTTTTCTTCCGTTAAATACTGCCTTGTTTTTTGGGCTGTGTGCGAGCTTGCATTGTCTTGGTGAAGGATGATTCCTCTTTCGGGGTTGATTTTTCGAAGCTCAGTGATGACTTTTGGCAAACAAATGGTGGTATACCAATCCGCAGTAACAGTTTTTTTTTTTATTCAATATGATGGTCATTAGCGGCGGAGCAGTACACAGTGTTACACTAAATTTTATGAGCATAGTTGGTGGCTTGTAAAAATAAGAGTAGATTGTTTATGTTACATTCTGAGTCTATAATGTCTATTAAGCTAGATCGTAAGTTGGAGGACACTCTTTGGTATTCTAGCATGGGACACTCCACTAAAATGTACTTAACGGTGAGGGACACTTCCCAAATTGTACAAAGAGGTACGGGATCTCCCGATATGAGGTAACCATGTGTGGCCCTGGTGTGTCCCAGACGAAGACGGGTCAGCAGAACCTGGTGCCTTCTATTTGTAGTGTTGATCTGCCAGGAACCAAGACGAGATTTCACTTCAAGAAGCTTCGCTGATCCGCTTCTTCATTTATTGTTAAACTGTTCTATTGCCATGTTGTGGAAGTATGTCTTGATATCGGAAACAGGAATCCTTTGTATTGTCTGCATTTTGGCGTCCGCCGCTGATCTTGCGCCCCTGTCCGCCATTTCGTTGCCCAATATGGATTTATGTGAGGGAACCCATAATAGAGTTATCTCCTTGTTTAAAAGTAAGTTCCGGTGTATTTCCTCCTTGATTAGGTTGACCAGTGGATTTTTGGTATTCAGTTTGTTTATGGACTCGATTGAATTTAAGGAGTCTGTAATTATTACCCACCTCTGACAAGGACTGTTTTTGATAAACTGGACAGCTTCTCTGATTGCGTAAAGCTCACCCGTCAATATGGATGCTGCTGCTGGGAGCTTCAGTTTTATTGTGGATGTGGGAGTGATGACTGCTGCTCCTACGCCTTGCTTTGTTTTTGAAGCATCAGTGTATAATTGTTTTGACCCTGGGTAGTCACTTATGATATTACAGAAATTCTGGTATATAACTTCATTGGGTGTTTCGGTTTTGTTGAACTTGGTGAGTGTTGTATTGGTAACTGGTTGACATATAATCCAAGGCGGGATGGTATCGGTGACAGTAGTAAGTGTTGACGGTACGTTCTGGATGTCGAGACTTCTTAAGTATACTCTGATTCTGTTGTGAAAAGGAGTGCCTGTTATGCTATTCCTATAGGACCTTGTAGTGGCTAAATATTTTGGGCTGATGTATTGATATTTGCGATTTTCTTATTAAAATATGTGAGGCTCATTATCTGACGTCTTATGTGTAATGGTGCTTCTCCCGATTCACAGTACAGACTGTCTACCGGTGTGGTTCTGTATACTCCTAATATTAATCGCACCGCAGTGTTGTGAAGCACGTTTAAAGGTTTGAGAACTGAAGGTCTTGCTGAGTTGTACGCGATGCAGCCATAGTCAATCTTGGATCTTATAAGTGCTCTATATATAGTAAGCAGTGTCTTACTTTCAGCCCCCCAGTGTATGTTTGATAGGTACTTTAGCATGTTGATCCCCCGCAGTAACAGTTCTTTGCTCATTAAGAGGAATTGTTGCAATATGACCCGCTTTTGTCACAAATGTCGCGAACACATTTTTCGAAACACTTCGAGAACGGATGACTTTTGTTGGCTTTTCTTCACCTTGGAACACCCAAACAGCCGACTGACGTTTATTTTCTGGTTCATAACAGTAAATCCACGATTCATCACCACTAACAATGCTGTACACATTTTTTGAGTTTCCGGAATTGAAACGGTCAAGCGTTTTTTGACACCAATTAACCCTGGCTGCTTTCTGCTTTTCAGTCAGCAGGTGGGGTATCCAACGAAAAACTAATTTTCTTACTCCTAATGCTTCATGTAAAATTTTTTGAATTGAATCTTCAAGGACGCCTCAATATCGCGATATGTCACATGTCTATCTTCAATGATGAGTTTGCGCACAGCATCCACGTTTTCCTGGGTGACTGCCGTTTTTGGTGCACCCACCCTGGGATCGTCGCTAAGACTCACCCGTCCACGTTTGAATTCTCCATACCAACGGGAAATTGTCGACTGATGTGGCGCTTCGTTGCCGAAAACAGACAGTAACTCAGCAAGGCATTCTTGTTGCGATAATTGTCTCTGAAAGTTGTAATAAAATATGGCGCGAAAATGTTGTCGTTTGAGTTCCATTTTTCTAATGACCTGGTGACACTTAAAAATTCACTGTAGTGAGAACACTGCACGTATCGTTGTGAAACTTTGAATTTAAGTTTACTAAAGAGTGAGGTTAAGATTCAGTACTGACGTTCGATCCGCGCGGCCTACTATGCTTTTATATGCAAAACTTAAAAGACATCCCTCGTACACCACTCAAAGTGTGTGATCTATCGAAATGAGATAGTGCGAAGCGCTGTGGGCTTATGTTCTTTTAGTAAGAAATAGGGTTAGTGGTATATACAGGGTTGTTTCAAAGATAAGGTTCCCAACGCAGTAACTTTGCTTGGGGTGATGATAGGCGAAACTCACAACACCGTCGCGTTTGTCGACTCTTCCACCACCGATCCTAACAAGAAACGCCTATATGCATCGCTCAGTATCTGCCCGACAGCCATGCGGAATGGAGTCCTCCATCGCCGTCTCCGCCAGGTGCAAAATTCGTGCGGTCATCCGATTTTTGCACGCAAAAATGTTACCACCCACAGAAATTCATCGCCAGTTCAGTAAAGGGTGGGCCGTTAAGTTGAGCGGATTTTAAAAAATCACAGAAATGGCTGCAATGAACAACGAAGCGAGAGGCTGTCGCTTTCCGAGGAAGTTGTAGCGAATATTGAGCAAATTTTGCTCGAAGATCGGCGAATACAAAATCGCCGCAGGGGAAAACTCGCTAAAGCAGACTGCACCACAACAATTCGCATCCTCATGTCTCACAACAAACGAAGGACTTAATCGAGCAAATGTGGATTACAGGTCTAAAAAATGCGTAGAAAAAAATGGCGACTATGTAGAAAAATAGTTCAAAGATCAACGTTTCCAATGGTAAATTCGTTTTTCAAATAAAAAATTCCTTGCGCTTGAAAGAAATGTGAGAACCATATTGTTGAAACAGACCTCGTAACTTAAAAGAATCATATTAATAATGTATTTTATTGCTTATTATTGAAAAAAATATGAACTCATTAACATGTCACATGTTTTAATGTTGTTTGTTTCAATATCTTTAAGGTATGTAGGGAAAACCCAGGGAAAATAAAATTTCCCGTTTGACATACAAAGCCTAAATCGGCCGCCGAGAAAAAATACATAGACTTATTCGATCAACCTTCTGCAATAGTCGGCAATCGGTATGCCTAACATACGCATATACTTTAAATGAAGCGTTTTCAGTAAAAATAACACGTTGAAAAAAAGGACTTTTGAAATGACCCATTCAATTCATATCAATGCTCGAAGTGTTAAACTAGTTTTCCTTACCGGAAGCATGTCATAAGTGCAATTAATTCCAGTTGGGTACTTCATTCACTTAGTTATTCATACTAATACAAAAAATTGTTTACAATCGTCATAACACAGGAGAAAAAAAATCTCATCATACTGCATGGAAATCATTTACGTGGTACATAACACTTAAAAGTTTTGAACTGTCACAACACGTTAAAATCAGTATTTAGGAAATCAATAATTTTGTAAAAAGCATATTGGATCAAAAACTTCTAATACGGAAATCATTTAAAGGCGGCGATCTAATATTTACTTTCAATTGTTGTAAAATTTAATTGCTCAAAACCCCGGAACATCTTGGCACCTTCTCAGTCACCAATATATAGGGATCAAATTTCTCTTATTTCTGATATCATATACGTGAATACCTTCGAAGGTTTGGTATACAGGCAGATCTCCTTTTTTCTTGGCAAACATCAGTTCACTTATACACATACAGACTTGGAACAGTCAGCAGCTTCCATTCAATAAACACATACTCGCAATTATCTCTGTATTTCAGCCCTGCCATCAATCTAACATCCCTCCTCTGTAGCCCAAACACTCTAGCTGCCTACAGGGTATATTTGGCATTTCTCGAAATAAGTTGCGTAGGACATGAATATTATGAGAAAGTTTTGTGGATAGAACATCAATGTGGCTTTTTCAGTGGAGCTTAGGATCAAGCGTACCCTAAAAATTAACTTAAACTTCGTTTTTGATGTGTCTTTCTCTCGTACAGAAAACAACTTGCTTATTCTCTTCACTATTTAGCAACACATAGTTGGAATAGAAACAGATTCTGGCTATTTCCAATTCAGAGTCTGTTTGCTGTTGTTCCATTAGAAACTATCTACAAGAAATATTGAAGTGTCATCTGCAAAGAGCGTATATTTGGGCGTTATTCCATATTCCATTAATATGAATGAGAAAGAGTATTGGGCCTAGGACAGAACCTTGTGGCACTCCTACCGATACCATCCTCTTTGCAGATCTCACTTAAAAAAAGCTGTATGGTGTATCTGAAGTCACTTGAAATAGCATAAAAACCTTTGGTCGGCGCGTCCTTTGTAATTTCATGACGTATCATAGGCGTGCGGCATTTATTTAGAACGATAATAATAATGTTTTTATATCACAATAAATGGATTTTACTATCTTCTTATTTTTTTGATTTGGGATAAAAAATACTTATATTGGGAGTTTAATTTATGTTGACTGAAAGTTAAGAAATGGAAAAATTACAGAATTCCAACGTTTGACATAGGCAAATATTTACATAGCAGGTAGGTATATAAAAAGGTATATAAAGACTTACATTATAGGTATTTATATATCATCCTCGCCTTCGGAGCTGTCGCTAGAGTCATCTTGTAGAGGAATTACAACGGGATTTACAGGAGGCAAAACACAATATTCATTTTCTTTTTCAACAATATGCCTAGAACACTGCTTCCATAGGTCTGTGGCAGCAATATGAGATACTGCATCTCTTATTGTGGCCAATAGCGATTCACTTAATTGAGGGGTCTGATTATGTTTTCTTACTTTTTTTTTAAAGCAGCCCAGACCAACTCAATCGGGTTAAAAATGCAGTAATAGGGAGGTAGACGTGATACTCCATTGCCATTTTGCTGAAGCAGATTGTCAACAACATACTCTTTTTCAAATTTTTGTCTTTTAATAAGATCCAATAATATGGCTTTGGTTGATTTTTGTGGTATTTCCATTCCCTTATCCTTCATAAAATCAATAATGTCTTGTTTTTTGTGCCTGTATTCGGAATTTTGTTTTTCTGTCGGGAATGGTATGGCGCATTGTCCATAATAATCACTGAATTTTGGGAAATGTTTGGTATTAACTGCTGCTCTATCCACTTTTCAAATAAGTCGGAGGTCATGTCCTCATGATAGTCGGCACATGATTCTTTGATATTTTTGGCAGATAACAGCAAGGCATTAGGTATAAATCCAGCATGGAGAATAATGATTCGTTTTCCACGGTTGCATGGTGCATTTAAAATGCACTTGTTGCTGTCGTCAACCCAGCCGTACTGCACAACATCATGGGTATCATACCACGTTTCATCCAGGTAAATCAGATTTCTTTTCTGCTCTCTATAGATTTTAACTTTGTGCAAAAATTCTTGGCGCAATTCAACGATTCGAGACGACTCCATAATCACCATTCTTTTATCTAATTTTTTGTATTGAAAACCACACAGTTTTACAATACAGTGCAGAGTCTAAGCATTTGTAATTATAAAAATCTTCAGGATAATCTTTTAATTTATCATTTCCAACGTGGGCACCAAATTTTCTTTATAAAATCCGTATATTATACGACGAATATCTTCCTGAAAACCCAAGTCTATTCTTTTTAATTTTTGCCCTATGCGCTTTCTGTGGGAAGGAATGGTTGACTATATCTCCCCTTTTTATAACCCGATAAATGGTAGACCGACTGATTTTTGTCAGGATACAAATTCTGTTTAAAATTTGATTTTGCGAGGAATCTGGATTTTCGTTTTTCAGACAATCATACATATTTAGGATTACTCTTTGGGTCTGTTCCTCTAAATCTTTATGAAAGAATTCTGCCTGCACAGGTTCATCAACCATCTCCTCGTGGCTTGGAGCATTTTCCCAAGGTCTCCAAAGAGCCATATTTAGGACTCACAAAAACAATTAACACAACAATTAAATCAACAAGTAAACTGAGTATTCAAAAGTCAAAAACACACAAACTAATAAAATCTATGAAAAAACACGGACAGACTAAAGAAAACACGTTTATTCACCGCTACACGGCACTGGCTAAACTGTTTTAATTTTCAGTAGCCACCTGCACTTGTTCCGAGCTCTGAAATACACGCTTTCTCATTGGCTATGTCCACGCATAGGCGTGCTTTACTCCATGTGGACCGGTGAAACTGCCTTTGATCTCTTATACGGGGGATATTTGCTGCGAAATTTGGCGATTTTTGCAACAACAGAGCGTGTTAAATATAGATATATAAAACGCACCCGGTATTCCACAGTGTTTCAAGTGACTTCAGATAAAGTATACCTCCAGATATGAATGATACACTTACCAGTCCCTCCCATAACCGGTGAAAAAGGCGAGCTGCTACTATGAATCACTCCCGCTGGACTCTGCATTGTCGGCGTGGACGTCATGAACTTCTGACCGCTGCTGGGCGTATTCTGACCCGCACTGAGCCCACCTTGACCCGCGCTGGGCCCGCCTTGGCCCACGCTGAGTCCGGCCACCTGTTGGGTGACCATCGTCATCGGAGACCTAGAAGGAGGCAGCTGGGTCTGTGGAATGGGTCTGCTTGGGGGCAACTGAGAGGATGGGATTTGGCCAGAACGCAGGGAGGGTGATGAGCTTCGCGAGGAGTGCGAAGAATGGACGCCGTTAAATTGCTGAAAGGATAACGGCGTCGGTCTGTCCTCAGGTATCTTTGGCGAATCTGAGGTTAGCGGGATGTTCTTGAAGTTTTGATCAGCCATGTTTGCCTGGAAAGATAACAAACTCTCAAAGTTCTGGACAGCTATATCGTATACAGGGAGTCCACCCCCAACCCTTAACGTCTGAAACTTATCCTGTGGTTTCATGTCAATAATCCCCCATGTTTTTCTGGTCAATGAAACCAAATGTATCTAAAATTCTTTAATGTATACGTTTCGGTCACGATGGTGACCTTCTTCAGTACATGACACTTTTTGTGAGCAAAACGTATACATTAAAGCAGAGTTTTAAATACATGTAGTGTCCATGGCCAGAAAAACATAGGGGATTAGTAAATCTGGTATTCTTCACCATGTATTTGAAAAAGACAAACCACTGAATGCTTTACACTTGTTGGCATTTATGGTGCATTTCAAGTCTGCAGGAAAAAAAAATTGGAATTGCTCAAGGTAGTATTCTTGGCCTTTTATTATACATCATATTTCTAAATGACCTGGAACACATTACAAGCTCAGAGAATGGATGTGTGACTTGTTATGCTGACGACACTAAACAGGTTACTACTTGAAACTAAAAGTACGAGCCTCTTCCCACTTCAGTTGGCCCAACTATTGAAATCTTAGTTTTTTTCTTATCAAACACAAATAATACAAATGTAGCAGGGTGTTATAGGTTTAAAATATTAACAATGAATATTTTGATAATATATAGTAGAAAACACCAACTTTATCACTCCCTAATCAAATTTGCAGCATAAAAATAACACATGTTGCAATTACAGCATATCAACCTATTTTCATTTCAATGCAAAATAAGTCTATAACGCATAGGTGGCTGTGAAAAATAAAAGCCATGACAATTGTTTTTATTAATCACAGCTGTCAGAATACGTTTAAAATAGTTTTGGGTAATTAAGGTTTTCAAAATGGGTAGAGGGAAGGTTATTAGTGAGAAAATTCGGTTACTGATAATTAAATTTTTTAATTCTGGGCAATTAAACTCAGAAATTGCAACTTTGTTAGACTTATCGCGGTACAGTGTGAGAAATATTGTTAGAAGATATAACGTAACTGGTTCAGTTAATATTAAGCCACGATATGTGAAAAAAAGTAATATCACAAATGCCGACGAAGAGCATTAAGAAGAATAATCGTGAAAAATAGGCGTGCCAATTATTTACAATTAAGTGCTCTGTGGAGTGAAGCTGTTGGAAGGAGAATTTCGAGGTCCACAACTCATAGAGAGGCACACAAACTGGGATTTAGCACTTGCAAGGTAAGTTTTCTTATAAAAAAAGTGAAGTAAAAACCCTAAAGTTGCACAACTTGTTTATAGGCCAAAGAAAGGCCACTATTAACTCCACTGCAAAAGAAAAATCGGCTTAGATGGGCTAAAGAACATAGACAATGGACACCTCAACAATGGTGTGCAATACAATGGAGTAATGAGGCCCGATTCGAAGTTTGTGTTGGTCACAGTCGCAGTAGAGTTATTCGCAAAAAAAATGAAGCATTCCATGTTGACTGTCTGAAGAGTAAAGTGAAATTTCCAGCATCCATTATGGTCTGGGGCAGTATGTCATCACAAGGAGTAGGAAAACTTCATTTTATTGATGGAAATGTGGATACAAACAAATATCTGGCAATTTTAGAAGAATCGCTTTTACCAGTGATGGAAGAATGTTTGACATCCGGCCAAGATTTTGTGTTTCAGCAAGATGGTGCAGCTTGCTATACCTCAAAAAAGGCTATAAAATGGATGGAACAAAATAATGTACCACTTTTGAAGTGGGTTTCTAGCAGTCCAGATCTGTCACCTATTGAAACTTTGTGGCACGAGATGAAAAAGGTTCTACGACAACATCCTGCTCGTACAATCACCGAACTGAGACAAAAGCTTCAAGAAATATGGGATTGTTTTACACCAAATTTTTGCCAAAACTTGGTTAACACTATGCCCCAAAAAATTTCAGCCGTAATAAAAAATAAAGGTGATGTTACCCAATGGTAATCTTTCAATTGTTGCTTTGTTAACTTCGCGCATTTATTCGCACATTGTTTATTTGTTCAGATGTTCTATTAGTTATAGGTCTAAGTGATTTCAAATATGTATTTTCTACGACTAGAGTGTATCTAAAATGTTTTTGAGAAAATAAATTGTTTTAGAAGTAAATAGTTTCGTCATGTTTAGTTTATAAAGGCATATTTTGGTACAAAACAAGGCTGCAACATTCAGCTTAGGACAGTCAGAGTTTCAGTCGGTATGCAATATAAAATGTCATTTAGATGAATTCTTGGACTGGCCACACCACATCTCTGAGGTAAGTCAAATATTAAGTTTAATTTGTTATGGAATCCGGATGCGAGGTAGATGAATGAAAAAAATGCGAAAAGAATATTATGCAAACTTTGAATCAGTGCTTAGGTATGGACTTATTTTCTGGTTATTAGTACATAGAATCTTTGGTATATAAAAACGGGTGCTTAGAATAGTTAAGAATATTTGGTATAAAGGTTCTTTTAAATCCAATGGCCTCTTGACAGTATATGGACTATACATAGATGAATGTTTGATATGAGATATGTTTGACCATACCTACAACACAAGAAATTTAAATGTAAATTATCCTAGGCATAGACTAACTTTAACTGAAAATACACAAAAAAACTTGATCAACACTGAGAACATTTTTAAACGTGAGGTCAGAAGGCACTTAGTTATTATAGAGACATATGTATAGTGTAAAAGTATATGCGCTCTCTCTTTATGTCTTATGTATATTTTTTGTAACTGTTACAATAACTGTACTATAATTATAAATATAGGTTGCTTTTGATTTTATTTTCTTCATTTATTTTTATAAAGGAAAAAGTTATTACACCAAATCAGAATTTTTCAATGAATTATTACAATAATCTTTAACAAAGTTCCATTAGTCTGGTAGCACTACTCGCAGTGCCATTGTTTCGCTGTTATTGTTTCCCAGATCAAATCGATTGAATGACTTATTTTCATTGATATCCGTTTATTTTTATATTACACGTACCAAGCATAAATATCTCAATGGCACAACCAGAGAATTCTAGTTCACAATGGGTATGCTTGCAAATTTTGACCATTTAGTTAGTACTATTTTCAATCTAAACTCCATGGCTTATTTTTCAGACGCCTATATGTTTACATGCCAAGAAATACTATCCCAGATTGAAGCGATTTACGCTGTGAGCTGTGTTTTTTAAAATAACCCCTAAATAGCTTATTTCAACAGAAATCATACAATAGAAAATTATTGCCAAAATAAATTAGCTTCATAATAACTAGAATAATTGTGTCCTATAAAACATTGGTGGAACCTCCAATTTATTGGGTTCCTGGTAATATTCTGAAAACTGCATACTTTCTGAGAAAAATAATCTGTGTATGTTTGATGCAAGAGAGCATTATTATCAAAGTGGTTTCGAGTTTTTCTGGCTTACAATGGTATGCATATAATAACCTTGTGTTTGGATACAACCAGCTGCAAAAGATGTTTTTTATTTGTCTGCACATACAAATATAGACGTAGATGCGCATCTCCGGTTAACAAACTTGATATCTCAGTAATTGCACATAATTGTGAAACAACCATATCTGTTTGAGATATATTGAAAAAAGCATTAACATTTCTTTTGTACTAGTAACTATTATTACATTACGCAAATAAGATAAACGTGGATAAATCTCTGAATGTGTTTATATATATCTACAAAGCGATACACAATGCGATATTAAATAGGCTTAATTTTATAGGAAACTATCAGATTACCACCAAAAATACCTCAGGATAATTAACACCAAATTTAGTGTAATCATTGTAATTATTTTTAAAGTTTCTTCTATAACACGATTTTCCAATAAAACTGAACCTTTATAGTGTGTTTTGTATGTGTGTTAAATGGGGGCAAAGTTGCTTATTTAAGTAATCAACACAATGTCGCTTATAAAGTTTTGATATCCAAAGTGGTTCCGGAGAGAGACGAAAAAAAAAAACGAAATTTCTCAATTTCGATTTATTTTTCCCTGACTTTATTTGTAGTGGGATTTCAAATTAAAATGCACATTAACATTGTCACTTTTTCGCCTCTGCAACAAACAACAACAAAACTATAGATCAAGTATACAATTATTTTAATATATTTTTAATTAATTAGATGTCGAGGTAGTCAGAACATAGATTTTTCTGCTAATCTTTGAAATTCACGAATATCTACAGTACTTTTCAAAAAACCCTACTTATTTTTTGAAGTTAGCAAGCTGAAGTTCGGGGAAATGAAATTGATGCATGAATACTATATTTTAGCATAATAGATGCAGTTGAAAATTAAAAGTTGGAGGCTGGAAGCCATTTGAGAGCACTTTCAAATGGAATGAGGGGTTGTGTGATACCTCATTTTATTATTTTATTTTTATTTTGCGGTTAGTACACTGCTCGAACAGATGATTCCATTTAACGAACAGGAAATATACAAAATACAAAAAAAAAGAAAAAAAAATCAATAAACACGTATCAAGTACATTACACACATTACATCTAAATAAGTTCTTAACCTACAGTCAAAAACGACCTTTTTAAAAGTGATATAGTGCAATGAAAAATGTCTACTAAATTCTTTACTTTTTCATAGTTGTTACACATTACATATAATGGCGAAAAAAGTAACACACTGGTACGAGGCACAGGTAAATAGAAATTGGTATTATATTATGTTTCGGTACGGTACGTGTAATGACAGCTTTTCTAAAAGAAACTGGCAATCAACTGTGTTGTTCAAAATTTTATATAAGAAAACCACAGCGCAGTAATTTCTGCGCTTAGATAAATTTACCATATTAAATCTACTGAGCAATAAGTCATTGCCAAATCCAGCCTCAGGATAAATCCCATCTTCCTTGAACCATAAATATTTAGCAAAACGTCGCTGGATCTTTTCAATGCTGTCCGAATGTACATCATATGCAGGGTACCAAATTATACTACAATATTCGAGCTTACATCTAACAAACGCATTGAATAACAATAAAAGAGTTTTAGCATTATTGAAGCTCTTGCCACACCTAAGTATGAAACCCATCGTCTTGTGCGCACCGGTTACAATTTCAGTAATGTGTTGCACAAAAGTTAACTGTGGGTCGAAAAAAAACACCTAGATCCCTCACAATGGAACAACTACCCAAGACTTGACCATTTATGTGATAAGCATAACCAATTATATTCTGTTTACGTGTGAAAGACATAGTCTGGCATTTTGTAATATTCAGATACAACTGATTCAGGCAACACCACTCATACAGACGTACTAGTTCATCCTGAAGCTTCATACAATCGACAATTGTGTCAATTCTAGAAAATAATTTCAAGTCGTCTGCGTACAATAAGTTGCAACAATTTAGTTGGCCACTGAGATCATTCACAAATATAGCGAATAATAGCGGACCCAGGACGGAGCCCTGGGGCACCCCAGATGTCGCAGAAACACTGACAGACCTAAAACCACGGTACTCAACGAAAAGTATTCTGTCCAACAGATAAGATCTGAGGAAATTTGCGAATCCAAGTGATATACCACATTTTAAAAGCTTCTGTATTAGTACTCCATGGTCAAATCTGTCAAATGCTTTTGAGAAATCCGTATAGATAACGTCAATCTGTCCGCAAGTACCTGAAATTTCAGCAGCATGCTGTTTGAGACATGCAAGATTAGATGTAGTCGATCTACCAGGAAAAAAGCCATGCTGATGTGGAGTGATGATGTGTTTCACATGAGTGAATATGATTTCGTGAACAACAGATTCAAATACTTTAGCAATATTACTTAGGATCACAATAGCTCTATAGTTTTCAATCTTATTTCGGTCACCTTTTTTGAAAACAGGAGTAATGCGAGATTTTTTCCAAACCTTAGGATAACATCTCTGTTCCAAAGATAAATTAAATAGAAAAGTGAGAGGCTCAGCTAGCACATGACAACAATCTTTAAGTAAAAAAGAAGGTATTGAATCCGGACCAGTAGAGCATTTGGATCTAAGTTTAGATAAAGCATGGTTGACCTGATCTACTGTGATTTTAGGTAAGTCGCATAACTGACCATTACAAGACACACCAGAGACAGTGTCACCCCTGCCAGAGGTTATGAAATTAGACTGAAAGAATTTAGCGAAATTTTGAAGCTCCTTGGGTGCTTCCTAAGTACTTTATAACCTTAGAATATAAAATCACCATCAACCAATCATCGAAAAACTATAGTATGCACCGAATAGGGCTCTGGCGCCGGGGTGTTTGGATCTAGAACTAGGCAATCTCTTGCTCGTGGTGGACACACCACTATTTTCCAGGCGGCAAACTTTGCGATTCTCGCTTGTATATCCCTCATTTTGGAGGGGGAGGGCCTAAGAGAAGGATGACAGCCACGCTGCAATGGAGGAACTTCGCGCCTTGTTTTGCAGGAGGGCTCTGGATTGTCTAGCAGCGAGGCATCCGGTATCGTTAGTGTGGGTACCGGGGCACACTGCGATAAAGGGCAGAACGCTCTGGCGAAGACAGGAGCCAGCAAGCTAGTTGGTCCCGAGCCAGCTTTAGGGGTGCCGCACAAAGAGTTAGGAGGAAAATGGAGAAGTGGATTGCAAGACAAACACTCAGAAATGGAGAAGCATCTCCAGACATCTCCGTCGGGGACGGGAACTCATTGTAAGGACCAGCTCTCAGGATGGACTTTGTATACAGACAACCTAAGGTTGCTGGTGGGACCGTTGCCTGGCCATAACACGTTAAGGCGCCACCTGCTCGTGATGGGGTGGCTGAGACTCCCTTGTGTGAGCGCCGCGGGGTAGAGGAAGAGACGTTCTGTGTCGCTGTGAGGCTCTGAGCTACTACTGGCAGACTATACTGAAGTCAATCACTTTGGTCCTCCAGTACGTTAAGGAGCTGGGAATCAAGACCATACTCAACTTTGATAGAATGGCGAGGCTCGAGATTTAGGGAGTGTGGAGTGGTGCATAAGGGCCCATATAGTTTGTAATATTAATCTTCTTCTCTTGGAAGCGTCTATACGAATATGTAATAGAACACAATACTCAAAGGAATTAAGGGCGCAAGTAATTTTTGACAGGTTGCATTTCAGTGAAAAGGCAAGAAAAGCGCCAAGATTCTAGTTTTTAGGCTTTCTATTCAAAAAACAAAATGTTTACCTTCTTTTTGGCCCATGGGCTTGAAAAAAATTATTCCTGTTAGGATGAGATAGCCCGTTTATTCAGCTTCAATATCCTGTTTCAAAAATCTCGATACAATCATTTGGCGCGGAGATATCTGACTTTGAATGAAAAAGGAACCTTTTGTCATCGACCACTGATACCTCGGTAACAAGTGATCACACAGATGATGTAAGGGTTTTTTGATTTTTGATTTGATAGCAATCGAGATTTTAAAAACACGATATGGAAGCTAAATAAATGGGTTATCTGATCCATACGGCCTAACAAAAAAAATTAAAATTTCAAGCCCGTGGACTAAAAAGGCAAGAATTTTGCAAACATTTTTCATGGTGTGGTCTTTTCTGCTACAAAATCTTCAAACTGGAATCTTAATGCTTCAAAATGCCTTTTTTAAACTCTAGATACGACCATTTTCACCAAAATACAGCCAGTCAAAAATCACCGTAATTTTTTTTTCGTGCTCCTTCAATTTTTTTGAGTAGTCTATGTAACATTCTATTTACAGAAATGTTCAAAAATTTGTACGTGTATGTCTCATATTTTATTGCACATTCAGATAGACCCTTCCAAAATAAGATTAACTTAACATACTATAATGTTTTGATAATTAGCATTCAATATACAAAAACGTTCATTTTTGATAGCTTCCTAATCCACCATTTTGAATGGTAGTGATTTTATATTTTGGGGTTATAAAGTCATGATTCAAATAAAGGCATCCCAAAGCCCCTCACTGGATTTAAAAGAAAACTGTTACAAGTCACCTATTACTTACATGTTAAAATATAGTATTCATAAGTCAATTACATCATCTCAAACTCTCACAACCTGTTAAAAAATGAATAGGACTATTCTGAAAAGCACTGTATAATTGTGATCTTGATTATTAATTTTTATATTACTGGGGTTTCCAACCAGTTTATCATTTAGCTTGCCCCAAACAGTAATTTCCTATCTAATTAAATAGAAAGTGCAAGCTTTGGGAAGTATAATAACAACACAGAAATAATGTAAAAACTAAATTGCTGTTATCTGATTTAGTTTTCATTTGTTTCTTAAATGTAGGGTAATGAAAACTTAAGAAATTGAGCACTGCCATATGCATTAAATTCTGCCTAACTATCATACTACTTAGCATGCTTACAAGTTGGTTGATTTGTATCCTTTACATATATAAATAAGTTATTTTCACTAAGCCAATTTATTTAATTCAATTTGGACCTTCAATCTTATAATGATTTGGTTTTACTCCAAAATTATAATAGGTTAATAGCAAACAAATTTTACATTTCACTTGTTGTTTTAGCACCATTTTCATGTGAAATATCAAGTAGCTCATCTTATCTTCTATTAGTTTAAGATGATATAAGTTATAAACCTATTACAAGTATCATCTAGATACATCATTAAGATATATAACTTTAGCAGCTAATGATACTATGATTTTTTTACAAATCATCAGATACTGCTAATGCACACTTTTACAAAGTGAAATACTGATTGGGTTATATAAACAGACAATATGCACACAACTTTTTTCTGTTACTACCTTATTTTATTTAGATTCTCTTATTAAGAAACGTTGAGAGTGGTTTATTTGTAAATGTGGATTAATCTGCCTAATGTCTTTTATATGCACAAGTTTCTGCTTCTATACATATTCTAGTTACAAAATCGCTGTCCCCATTTCTCTATTGTATGGCCGCTGGCTTGAAAAAGGCCACCACAGTGGCCAAAATGTCATAATTAAAAAGTTATTCTAGCATATGTGGTTTGATTTAGCAACCAGATGATGGAATCCCATCAACATGAAAACCATAGTATAAGTTTCAGGTGTTACATTGGCTCATTTAGGTTTCATCGCTGACATATTCAAACATAATCTAGTCTCATCAAAATATGTATATAGACAACATGAACCAAATACCTTCAATTTTTTTCACAAATAGGTCACAGGTTTAGGCTATTAAAAGATCTATAGTTAATTAGTGATTGACACTCTTTTTGTTGTTAATATTGTAAGCTTTTCTTTCAACTCAGAAGCAATATTGGCAACACAATACAATTATATAGCTGCATTACTAAAACAACAAAAGTAGTACTTTAGTCACAGATGGAAGAATCAATGCTAATGTAACTCTTTATGGATTACAGAGCTTTGTATGTGTAAGCATATAATTTCCAATGGATAAGGTGCAAAATATGTTCCATTCTACTTCGTTTTGATTAACCATGGAAATATCTAGTTGGGCTTCAAGTATGTGTTCCACAAAGTTTGTTGGAGCTCCAGGAGTGATTCTTTTTATAACGTGAAAGCTTTGCCACGTTCAAAAGATAAAGAATACAATAAATCCAACAAAGACTGATGCATTGTACTAATATTAGTAAGTTAATATGATCTTTGACTTTGTATAATTAAATGCAAGGTAAACGTGCAGATTATGTTTTCTGATGGATATCCATGATTCGTATAACTACATAGTAAGTATCTAAGACTTACCTTTTACTATTCTATACAAATAAAATCACAATTGACTAGCGATTTTTTCCATTTTTGGAAGAATTTTCTCTACAAAATAAAAAAACATTTTTGGAAACGTCACTGTCATTACGTGGCCGACAAGCAGGCACAGAGCAAATCGAGCAAATAGAATTAATTACAGTCCATAGAACACGAGCATAAACGACAATCGAATGTGTAGTGATGTGTAGAAAATATCGATATCAGAGAGTAACGTCACCAATCTTTTCTTTCACAGTTAACCCAAGGATAAAAATAAGTATGCCTATTTTCTATCATCAGGAGGAAAACAAGAGGGAGAAATACAAATAATTAACTCGTTTACTTCATATATTCAGAATCAAGGGGAGGATATAATTAGGATTAAACAGTGGTACAGTGGGCTGCCTGAGGCTTGGTACGAAATTCAGGTGTAAACTTGGACTAATAAGCAGATAAACACCACAAGACATAACACTGGATACGCATAAGCACCTCGACTGAGGATGGGCGGTTATTGATAAAAAACCGGTTGTAGATTAACCGGTTATTATAGCAATAACTTAAACCGGAACCGGTTAACCGTGCCAAATTCAACCGGTTATACGCTTAATTTGTAGTGTTATTGGCCATGATATATATGTTATACACCATGACCAGCCTAGCGCATGGTTCAGTGTGTAAACGTGTGCAGAGCGCCATTTATGTACAGACTTACGACTTTCGTACAACATACTTCAAATATCAATCCAAGTTATAAACCAAATTCAAGCGAATAGCCAAATGAAAATGGTATTTACCATTTTGGATTGGTATTTACCGATCCGTTCAAGCGAGTGTGGTTATCAGTTTGGTTAAAAGATACACGTCATAAATCAGCTGTTATAAGTCATAGTTATCACCGCAAAATTGTAGCATTTACTCAGCTCAGGAGTAGTTTTATATTTCTGCTTATTATTTGAAATGTGACAAGTTAGGATTTTACCAGGTAATGGGTATTTTTATTGTACTTCAGCTTCATTTTTTGAAACAGCATAAAGTAGAGCACCTTATTAGTTATAATCATTACTGTTGTTAGTTCATATGCTTAACAAAGTATCCTGTGTAGCCATATACCAAAAGGATATTAAAATATGGCCATATAAACTCACTGGGTGATGTCCACCTGTATACGGTTTTGCTAATATCTTTTTTCATCGCGTTTTCCTATCATTTCTGCTAAATCAATAAATGTTTTCTTTGACATGCGGAAAAGTTTAGAGAGCTGAAACTTATCATAGCTACAAAACCATGGTACCATCATTAAAAAAAAAATTATGAAAAAAAAAACATTAATATTATGAAAGGTTTCTTTTTTAAACTTTCCATATACCGTTGTAGACGAAAAAGCACCGATTATTAAGTGATAATAAAAATAATCAGAAATTATATACGCGCTTTTCTAAAATAAACAACTTGCAACAAATCGCGGTTAAAACCAACGCGTTCAAGCGCTTGGAGTAACTGACGTCATCAACCCGTGTGTCATCTTGAACCATATTATAACCGCGGTACATAACATGAAAATTTTGGTTATTCGCTTGGATTTGATTATAGAATGATAAATATAAATGCGGGAAACACGAAGTTTGTATCTGTCAAACGTAAAGCGTGGCATAAAAAAGGCGTTTGGTGCCAACAGAATATCTGTTGGAAGCTAGAGCTATCCCAAAGCGGTTATGCCGGGTTTGATATAGTTTCTTTTCAATACTTGCGTTGGTGAACAAAAAAACACAGCCAGAATATTCATTACGTCCATATTTACTGAGATTTGTGTGGATAGAAAGTCTTTTTTCCGGTTCGGTTACTGCATTTTTTATAAACGATAACCGGTTAAGCGCACACGAAATAACCGGAATTTCGAAAAACCGGTTATTCAATTAACCGGTTATTTTTGCCTATCCCTATCTTCGACCACCAAACAAAAATTGACTGATTAGCTGTGCTGTGCCGCTCTGCCTGTTAACAAATTTTTCTCTTAATTTGACGTTTCGACAGTGTGACAGTGGTGCGGTTCAGTTCTATGAGTGAATTTTGGTTACAAATCGGAAATGAACCAATGTCGTAGCAGAAAATAATCTGGGAATCCCCTTCCTTGCTCTTCTAAACGTGCCCAACCTGCAAATGCAAACACGTGTAATGTGCTGAGTGTGTAAAAATACTGCTATAGCTACAAATTGAGTATACGCCCAGAAAACTTTTCACACAAATTCTACTTTGCAGGTAAGCATGAATTTGAAAATAATAGCATCTTGTTAGATTTTGTATAATATGTACGGGTATTGCTTATTTTAGAATAATATGGGCAAAAAGAAGCAAAGGAAAAACAAGAAAGCTCGGGCCAACGAATTTTTATCTATAACTTCTATGCCAGATAAAAATGAGGATAGGAGTGAACAGAGTCAAAGCGGGAAGAGAAGAAATGATGGAGAAGGTTCCCAACGTACTACAGCACCCCGTTCAAGTACTGCATCACGTGAAACAAAGCAGTCTTCTTCACTAAATGACAGTGGCTTAGACGATAGTCGAGAAACAGCTGAGTCAGAATCAGTTACTAGAAGTGGTATAGATACCAAATTAACTGCATCTGAGCCAGTGGATCTCTATGGCAACCATACTGTTGATCCTGAGGCACCTGCTATTTTAACTGAGCAGGTGATGAGACTTGATATTCAACATAATACAGATCAGAGCTTCGGTGAGTAGATTGAAATAGATGTTTCTGTTTTAAAAATCCATAAAACTATATTTTGATGATAACAAAGAGTTCAACAAAATACAGAAGACTACATAACCTAATATCAAATTGAACTTTTTTCAGAACTTTATATAATATTGAGTTAAGTGGTATTATAGCATAAACTTTACTCGAATAAAGACATTATCATTATATTAAGTTTCTAATATTTGATAGAATATATTTGTGATTAATATAAGCACTACACAAGTATTGCGAGTCTTTTTCATCAGTATCCATTACATAAAACATTCATTCATCATTTATTGGTCTTTGCACTCCCACAATCAACCAGCTCATTTTGAAGTACCCTGGCTTGAAGCCATACTATAAACACTGATTTTTACTTAACTTAATTGATGCACTCAAATGAGGTGTATCATCACCACTACATCCATGGTTCAGAATGTTATTTCTGAGGGCAGGATTCAAACTAGCTGATGTGTCAGTAGCTCGACACTCTGAGACGCTGGGCTACCAGGTCCCCCATATGAACTGTGGCAGCAAATATCAGCTGATCATCTAGTGACATTTCAAAACACTGCATACTTGACAAGTCACACACAATTCTGACAGATCTATCAATGTTAGATCTGAAGATAGAGTTATACACTACAGATTCATGGTTCCCAACAATGCTTCTATGTATTTAGAAAAGTTCCTTTGTACATAAGAAAAAATGTTCCTGGCTATATTTCAAGTTGGGTAGGAATAAAACAAGAATTTCTATATGTCACTTGCTGACTACCTATTCACCCCAGTACACATCAAAACATAATGGATACTTGTGAAAAAGTCACTTACCCATAAGCAGATTGATATTTTATATATTATGTCTGCCCTTAACTGTTAAATCTGGGTGAATAACATAGAAGTTGGAAAAACGTGAAATATGGGATATACACTATTTGGGTTTTAGATAATACAGAAGCGACTCGATAATCTGGATCAATTAAAACCAGGTGCAATCCGGACTAATGAAAAATCCGGATTAGTGGGAATCGTAAGGAAAACAAGTTCTTGATATTACAAACATGTGAAATGCGCAATTGCCTCTTCATGTTTAACCTTTGGAACAGTAAATTGGTTCCATTTTGTGTTTCTACATCACTTAGTGAATTTTCAGAATAGTCATCCTCAAATTCGTCTTGAAGAGCATGTTCTTCAGTTTCTTCCACCCACTCCAAGATTTCCCCTTCTGTAAATTGTTCAGATGATGTCTAGCATTGTTGAAATGTCCTCAATAGTCTCCATTTGCTGCTTTATTTGCACGCGCAATAAGCTTAATGATACTGAATCTTCCGGGTCATAATCTAATTTTTCAGCTAACAACTTTTTCCAACACTGTTCTAAAGCAGTTGTTGACACTTTTATCCATCCGTTATGTAATAAGCAAACTGCGTCTTTTGGATTTAAGTTTTTTAAAGATTTACTAAGGTCATTGTTTCCTTGCTCTATAGTACAGAAAATGTGAGCCATTAAACTTTTTCTATAAAATAATTTGGTTAATCTTATCGCATTTTGGTCTAACAGCTGAATCAATGCGGTGTAGCTGGGCGTAAAAACATTGTGATTATTTTACCATCTTCAGAAACCAATTCCTTTTCACTGCAGTGGCTAGGTGCATTATCAATGAGAAGTAAACCTTTTTCGGCAATGTCTTCTTTTTTCAAGAATTGCGAAACTTGCTTGCAAAATGATTTATGAAACCATTCTTTAAATAAATAATAAGTCACCCATGCGTTTTTACTAGGCGTATACTCCACCGGAAAACTCGTACCTCTGTTTTTAAAAGCCCTTGGATTTCTAGATTTGCCGATTACCAAAAGTTTCAATTTGTGCGGACCAGAAAAGTTATTCTCTCCTTATTTGTTTTTCGGACTGGAGCTGATGTTTCCTTTAAGTGGACTAATGTTCGTTGCAGCCTTGCAGCATCAATTTTCAAAACAAGCAGGACTCTACAGCGCTCTAGATTTGGCTTGAAGATAGCAATTTTTCTTTTATGATCCGAGTTAACTGTTGTATAAAAGGTTTAACAGCAGAATTATCGTTAGCGAGTTTTTCACTGCATATTTGAATTTCAAGAGCCAACCCCTGCTTGCTTCAAATGTATCTTTATTGTAACATTTTTCAAAAAAATATTTTGCTTTTTTGCTAGAATATCGTAGCTTACTGGTATGTGTTGGTCACGCTGTTGCAGAAACCACTTGTAAAGTTTCTTTTCCATTTCAGGATGTTCAGCAGACCATAAAGTTTTTCTGCTATCTGGACCAGAAATGCATTTCTTCATAAAACTAAAATATTAAATGCATTAAATATAAAAATTTTTTTTTTCAAAATTGCATAACTCCTACGCATCTATCTTGCCTCTGTTTTTCTTAATATCTGATATGGTGGATGTTCCCACTCCATACATTGCTGCTAACTTTTTACCACTATCACCTCGTTTTAGTTTATCTAACATTTCAGCCTTATTTTGGATCGAATGAGTGACCCGTGGAAATGTTCTGCTTTACTTGCGTCCCCGTCGCGTCGTTCATGGTGCGATTAGAACATCCGGATTATAGCAATTCGGATTATCGAGTCGCTACTGTATTTTGATTTTCACAGCTTTTATATGTACCAGAGAATGTTTGGCCAGGGGGGGGGTGACTCTTAAAGTATGAAACAGGAACTAGACATTTTTTGATAGCAGATTATAGCTGTTGTCTTTGTTTTATTGTGAAGAAATGACAAATAGTAGAAAGTACAATAAGAAGAGTAAGAAAACAATTGACATGAAAACTGCCAGGGTAGTGACAGAAACATGCATGACCTCAAAAAAAAACTAAGATTCATTAACTATTATATTATTTGACGTTGGTGAACAAAAAAACACAGCCAGAATATTCATTACGTCCATATTTACTGAGATTTGTGTGGATAGAAAGTCTTTCTTCCGGTTCGGTTACTGCATTTTTTATAAACGATAACCGGTTAAGCGCACATGAAATAACCAGAATTTCGAAAAACCGGTTATTCAATTAACCGGTTATTTTTGCCTATCCCTATCTTCGACCACCAAACAAAAATTGACTGATTAGCTGTGCTGTGCCGCTCTGCCTGTTAACAAACCCGTGGAAAGGTTCTGCTTTATTTGCGTCCCCGTCGCGTCGTTCATGGTGCGATTGGAACATCCGGATTATAGCAATTCGGATTATCGAGTCGCTACTGTATTTTGATTTTCACAGCTTTTATATGTACCAGAGAATGTTTGGCCAGGGGGGGGGTGACTCTTAAAGTATGAAACAGGAACTAGACATTTTTTGATAGCAGATTATAGCTGTTGTCTTTGTTTTATTGTAAAGAAATGACAAATAGTAGAAAGTACAATAAGAAGAGTAAGAAAACAATTGACATGAAAACTGCCAGGGTAGTGACAGAAACATGCATGACCTCAAAAAAAAACTAAGATTCATTAACTATTATATTATTTGACTTTCGTAGTTTCGAGAATGGTTATTTTTTACATAGTTGCAGAAATGTACCATTGACATTCACAAAAATATGCTTACCAGGGTAAATATTGGAACCACTGCCAAAAAGGTACTTTGCCGACACTGCGTGAGCAATTGACGCGTCTCTGGTTTCAATGGGCTAAATCCCGCTACTTTCAAACTATCATCTTTAATTTTCTACGCATTGATCAAGGTCCAATCTCGAAATTGTCACATCTTCACGAAAATATGCAATTTGAATTGCACCAGGTGAGGTTGATACAATTTCCCGGAACCAATAAAAACGTGTTTTTCACAATTCGTCGACTTGAGAATTTTTGAGGAGAACATTGAAATCCCAAATACTGTATATTCCCATATACCACTATAGTAGAAACTGAACCAGTTTTTTCTCTTTGCTAATTTGCGTCCATTCCACATGGTTCATGAGATACCAGGAAAATTATTCTTTTTTGTAGGTTTAAATCTGAATGCTGATGCTCCTGTATTCATTCCAACATTTAATGAAAAATCCACCAGTGATGTAGCAGTTAGTTCTTGTGATTGGGACAGCCATCCATCTATGAATTTGAAACCAACATTAAGTGAACAATCAGATTATGCATCATGTCAATCTACTAACTTTTCAAATGCAAATAGGCACTCTAACAAGGCTGGACCTGTAGACAGTAGTTCCCAAGATAGCAGAAAACCTGGAGTTCGATGCAAATCTCATGAGGTTTCTAAACATTCTGATCTTTCAGATGACTGCACTACTGCAGTAGATGAAGAAAAATATAGATCAAAGAGTGCAGAGAAAACACGCAAAGGCAGATCAAAAAGTCGAGATAGAAAGTCAGAGAAGAAGCATAGATCAAAGAGTCGTAGTAAGGAGCAAACTAATGCCGATGACTGTCGTGAAAGTAAAGATATGAACTATGGGAGTCATAGTGACAGGATAGATTTGCCATCTGAATCAAAGAAAAGGAATAGAGGAAAGAATTCTTCATTTGGATCGCAACATCATGATCAAGAAAAGGATACACGTTCAGATAATACATCTGCAGATAATTGGCGTAGTAAGGATCATAGGCAGTCATGTGATAGTTTCAACAGAGATAAGACAGGACCTCCTCAGGGAAGATCTTTGGGAGACGGTCGTCAAACAAAAAAATTTAGGTATGTAATATTCTTACTTCCTACAAGCTTCGTTTTTTGATGTTTCATAGGATCCTGATTACTTTTGAAAATTTTTTAGGGGTAAAAAATTAGGTGGGGCCTTGTGTATCACAATTTTTAGATGCTATATTAATACACTTCCAACCCTAAAATTAACAATCCGTATTACTTTTCTGACTTGCAACCTAATAGCCTGTAGTCATTTATTTCGAAAATTTTATAAAAAGCTGTTCAGTATCTAGTTTTGAAATATGTCGAGGAAAACAATATACTGTCTGCGAACTGATCAGGTTTCTACAAGCATCACAGCAGTACCCTTTCTTTATTAAACATTTGTGTCAATATCTTCGGAGCTTTGGACTAAAAGCTGAGTGTAGTTCTTGTGTCCATTGATTATTCTAAAGCTTTTGATAAAATTAACCACAGCTTATTGCTTGCCAAGCTAAGGTACTATGGCTTCGATAAAAAAGCGTATAGTTTTTTCAAAAGTTACCTAGAAAAGGTGTTTCTTTAAGCATATCCAAAACGTCAAATTTTCAGAAAATTGTGACTGGTGTCCTTAAGTTGCTACTTTATCTTTTATATATTGCTGACTTGCCAAGAATTGTCAACAATTCAGGGATGCAATCCTTTACCGGTGATACACAGCTCATTCACTACTTAGATAGTATGCACGATGCTCAAACTAATATAAACTCTGATATTGATAGTCTGTCAATTATCAAACTCTTACATTCTTGCCATAAATGCATCAAAGTCCATTGCAATGCTTTTTTGCTATGAGCCTAAGAAGGAGGCTGTTGTATCATTGTTATCAGTTAACATGGCTACAGAAACAATACATTTCTCTTTGTGTACAAAAATATTGAGAGTTACTATCGACCAGAGGATTAGGTTCACATGCCACGTAAAGAATCTCATAAAGAAATCATAACTGCGACTCCATGCTACATATGTTAACAAGTTTAACCTGAACTTTAAATTAAGGAAAAAACTCTAGTCTAGTCACTTGTAATATCCTTGCGTCGATGACATAGCTAACAACAGACTGCAGGTTGTTTAGAATGGTTGCGTAAAATTTATCTTCAATCTGAGACGATTTGATCATATCTGAAATAAGTTTACTTCTTTGTGCTGGTTGAAAGTGTCCAGTTTAGTGCAGTTTAATTGTCTTATTTTCATCCACAAATTAATGCTTACCTCTGAATCTCTATATCTTAGAGAAAATTTAATTAGACCAATGTAGGAAATGTATCAAAACTTTATTGTTAATGAGTCAATAGTGGAACACATGCATAGTCATTGCGCAATATTGATGTCCACCATTTGCCATATGCATTATTTTTTTTTCTTTTTCTTTTTTTAGGTGTGTAACAATTCGTAATTTGTACCGTGCTTTACCTTGCTTTGTGTCATATAACTTACCTTGGATTTTATATATTTTTTGTTCTTCTCATGCCAACGTGTACTTTGTATATCTTTCCGCACTTGTGGTTGAGTTTAAGAATACCCACAGCTAAACTTCGCCACTAGTGTTAGATATGTATACAAGTGACATATAAATCCGAACATCCAGTTTAAATGGTTTTATTTTAATAAAATTTTGTATAAGTACTTAATGAAGCATAATAAGTAAATGATAAAAATTTCAAAATGATTGCACTGCTTTAAAGCCCTTTGACCTTTAATAATGTGTGGATGCACCCTGATGTGCTACGCATTCTCCAACACGCCTAGGCATGCTTCTGATCAGGCGGTCAATGACCTCCTGTAGTATCTCATTCCAGGCAACCACCAACTCCCCTCGAAGTGCTTCTAGAGTCTGAGGAGGACGTTGCAAATTGAGCGATCTCGTACCCATCATAGCCCACACGTGCTCAATTGGGGATAAGTCGGGAGATCTTGGTGGCCATGGTAACAATGTGACATCATTATGTTGAAAGAAGTCTATTGTGACTCTTGCAACATGTGGTCGGGCATTATCTTGTTGGAAAGTTGGATCTGCCAGGGTGTCAAGATAGGGTAAAAGATGGGGTTCTAGAACTTCGTGGATATAACGCTGCGCGTTCATGTTACCTCTGATGAAGATTAAAGGTGACCTGGAACCATAAGCTATAGCACCCCAAACCATAACTCCAACAGTGTGATGAACATGTCTATCAACAAAAAACTGTGGATTCCTCCTTTCACCACGTCGCCTTCTAACCCTGGCACGACCATCGTGCATGCCTAAACAAAATCGAAACTCGTCACTAAAGACAATACTGTTCCATTCCTGATCCCAGAGTGACCGTTGTCTGCACCACTCAAGGCGATTACGTCGGTGTTCTCGAGTTAAAGGGAGGACCCAGTGTGGCCGGTATGAAAATAAAGCCAAAACTTCTCATTCGTCGGTAAACACTTCGCATGCCAATAGGTCTTCCGTGTTCTGCAAACCATTCATTTGCAATGGACCTGGTAGTGGAGAAACGGTCCCTTAAGGCCAATAATCTTAGGCGGCGATCTTCACGGTCTGTTGTTCTACGGCGGCGTCCAGTGCCCCTTGCTCTTTGCTTACGGCCTTCTCGAAGCCATGCCTGACAACACCTAACCACAGTATCTACACTTCTTTGCACTCTAACTGCAATTGCCCGAAAAGAGAGTCCAGCTTCCCGAAGTCCCACTATACGGCCCCTATCAAACTCACTAAGTTGACGAAATCGTACAGGTCTCCGTACTCTAGGCATCGTAACCGATCGTAAAGGATGTCAAGAACCAAAATCCGCCAACGTTGATTCTTTACTGCGGCTGAAATATTCATTTTTAGAGCGTTAGTGAATTAAAAAAAAAACAGTATAAAAACCGGAATGTCCAACTGATAAGGCTGAAAATTTTTTCACTTGTTATTTACAGTAAGATAAATACATTCACCAACTTTTATTAAAATAAAACCATTTAAACTGGGTGTTCGGATTTATATGTCACTTAGTATATGTACTTGCATATACTTAATAAGGACGAGTTTATTATTATGCAAGGTGTTTTCAAAGGTGTCATTCATTTTAACAGCTTGTAGAACTCGTCAAAATAAGTTGATATGCCAAAAATCACCTATATAAAAGTTGCATAATGAGAGTTAGTTTTCACTATTAAAAATTATTTAAAAGGCAGGGCAGGGAATGGATGTTATGGACTAATTGAATGGACCCGTTTGACAGAAATTGATCCGTTTAACTTCTCTGTTATACATGTTTGTAACTTTTTTCATAGAAGGCCTAACTTTAACAGGTTGCTCTCATCCGACAGCCAACCACAGACAGCTGTTTCATGCTTTTTTGGCAACGCATCAGCTTGGCCTCCGGGACAACTAATAAAAGCATAACAACTATCCTCTTTCCATGATATAAGGTCTCTGGCCTAATTGTCGCCATTTTTTTAAATAATAATTGAAAATGTTTCTCAATATACTTAGAGATCCTCGAATGGAGAGGGGTGGTAAGTCTGCAAACTGGAGAGACGATTCTCAAAATGAGGATTCTGAATACAAATTATTTGAAGCAACTGAAAGGAGCAATAAAGAAATGAAATATGTCAGAGTTGAGGAAAAAACGACTGACCTATTTGAAATGCCCAAAGAGTATTCGCTAGGTCACTGTGTCGCTGAGGACCTAAGTATGGGTAGTGGCATAGCAGTGCACTTCAAGTAAGTGGTTCAGTAGTAGTAGTTTTATTGACTTTTGATCAAATATACATGATATAATACAAGTCTAGAAATACAGGAATAAATGCTCGTACTTAAAAGACACATCTATACAGATAACGATCCTATGCATGGGATCTCAAAACCTGTGGGAGGTGCAGCTTAGGTTAAATTAGGAAAAAGTTGAGTGCCTTTGGATGTATTTATATGCCGTTGATATTTGGGAAAAACTAAAATTTGGCCAAATCATTTATATTCTTTTCTTACTTTATTTTAAAAAATATCAAAAAATCAATGGAACCTTTCCATTTGCACTTTTTAGGCACTACATGATGCGGTCTTTTAATTGAGTGCCCGACAGTTCGTTTTTAAGAAACCAACTTCAACTTTGTTTTGCACATACAGTAGCGGACAAAAGTTTGGAAAGAAATACAGGGTGGTCCATAAGTCCTTTGAAATTTCAAATTTGAATAAAATTTAACGGGTGAGCGTGAGCGGCGCGGGCGAGGTGGGGGCAGTATCTTCAGTGTCTGGGAATTCAGTCGCCATGGAGTGTTTAACTGGAGCGGATCGAGCTTTTTGTGTGCGCGCGTTTTATCAAAATAATGATTCGGCAACCATTGCGCGGCGTAAATATCGAGAATATCACAATTTACACAATTTTACAAAGTGTCCAACAGCTCAAACGATTAAGAACTGGGTTGCTAAGATCGAAGAGACTGGTTCGACGTTAGATAAACAGCGGTGGGGTCGACCAAGGACAACTCGTATTGAAGAAAACATCAACATTGTGGCACAGTCTGTTCGTCAAAATCCTACCCAGTCTACTCGTAAGCGTTCCAGTGCACTAAACGTACCCACAACATCTTTACAGCGGATTTTAAGGAAAGATTTACGTCTGCACGCTTACAAAATTCAGTTAGTGCAGGAATTAAAAGATAATGACGCTATTCAGAGACTAAACTTTGCGAATGAAATGTTGAATCGATTTTCTTCGCTCAATAATGTGTTGTTCTCGGACGAGGCTCACTTCCATTTAAACTGGCATGTAAATAAACAAAATTGCCGTTATTGGAGCCCCGAAAATCCAAGGCGTAAGCATCAGAAGCCCTTACACAGCCCTAAAGTTACAGTTTGGGCTGCTATGTCAGCGCATGTCATCGTAGGCCCTTATTTTTTTGAGGACGACAGAGGTCGCGCATTAACTGTTTCTTCGGAGCGGTATGTAGCAATGATAGAAGAGTTTTTGACACCAGCGTTGCAGAATTTTCCAGGCTATAATACGCAGACCTGGTTTCAACAGGACGGAGCAACTGCCCACACCTCCAACACTTCTATGCCCGTCGTCTGTCAACTTTTTCCCAGCAAAGTAATTTCTCGAAGAGGAGACATTTCCTGGCCACCACGTAGTCCAGATTTGACCCCAATGGACTTATTTTTATGGGGTTACCTCAAGAGTAAAGTGTACGACACCACTCCGCGATCAGTTGATGTCCTGAAAGAAAATATCCGAAGAGAAATGGCAAGCATTACAGTATTGACTTGCCGCGCAGTCATCGACAATTTTAGACGTCGTTTATATGAGTGCCGTGATCGTAATGGATTGTATTTAGACGATGTGATTTTTAAAACATAATTCCCATTCAATAAAGATGATAACAGAATATAATAATTCTTCATAATGTAACTAGTTTGGTTTTATTCCTTTTTTTCCAGCTCAAAGGACTTATGGGCCACCCTGTATTAACATAATTATGAACTATTTCATATACATACATTAAAATTGTGAAGAAACAGATAATATAAATATTAAAGTCTACCTTTGTCTACCGTACCAATACAAAGTTTATCTTATCAATATTCAAATTCTCTGAAAATAAAAACACGCGAAAAGTGGCACAGTTTTTTGAAGTATATCGAAGTTTGCCCGAACTGTGGCAAATTAAATGCGATGTGTACAAAAATAAATCGAAGAAAAACAAAGCATGGGAAACCCTGTCATTGGAATATAAAAAAATCGATTCTGAAGGTTCTGTGGAAAAATTAAAAGCCAAAATAAATAGCATTCGAACTACATATAGACGAGAATTGAAAAAAATTAATGATTCTGTAAAATCCGGAGCAGGTACAGTCTCCAGGAGTTGATTCAATTGATTGCGAAAATAGTTAAACAACAAATATACCACCACAGCCTAAAAAAAGTAAGGCTAATACTTCGGAAAGTAAAGAGAGATTTCTACAAAAAGCAGTTGGGCATTCACAACATTCTCAGAAGCAGAAGGACGACGCTGCGACTTTTTCTGAGTACTGGACCTGTTTGTTTCGAAAACTATCGGATACACAACAATTGTATGCCAGAAAAGCTATAGACGACATTATTTGTTGTACTGTGTCGATACCAACATCAAATATCTCTTCACTTACAAGTTCTAGCACCTCAACACCTAATTCATTTCCTCCTCATTCTCCAATACTTTCAAATGGAATAGTACTTTGGCAGTTATCTAGTCATCCACCGACATTCACAGGATTTCATCATCAACAAATTCAACAAACAGAACCCGTTGAAGGATATGAAAGCGTGGCAGACCTTATCAGCGACCGACGTTATGTATAGTATAGTTTAGTTAAAATTGAAGAATTATGTTTATTATCTATTATTATTTATGTTGTTTAAGTTGTAAATGTATGTGGGTTTATTTAGAAGTAAAAAACTGAGTTCATTGACGATATTTTATTGGTCAATATTAATATGATTGATTACATTACAAAATTCATCCCTTGTTCTTTACTTGAATTTCTGGCGTGTGATGGCTCAAGAGGTGTTAAGCCCATCTTGCGATGGACCGCTGCTTGCGGCTACATTTACTGAATGTGGTGTATTCTGTTGCCGCAAACAATTATGTAAATAGCAACAGGTCAGCACAATAGTCGTTGCTTTAGCGGGGCATAAATTTATAGGTTTTAATAGGACGTGAAAACGATTGGCCAGCATTCCAAATACATTTTCCACTTTAACACGAGCTGAACTGAGTTTCGCGTTAAAAAGCTCCTGCTGTCTACTTATATGATATCCTGTATACGGCTTTTCGTTTAACGGAAATGCATCATCTGCTACAAACACAAATGGTAAGATTTGTTCTCCAGGTCCCACTACTCTAGGTGGTGGAATTTAAAGATCCCCTTCCGATAATAATTTGGCAAACTTTGTGTTAGAAAACACACCTCCATTCTGACACGCGACCGTTTTGCCCTACATCAACCATTAAAAATTGCAGATTAGCATTCACGACTGTCATCAAAACAATATTGAATGTCTTTTTATAGTTAAAGTAAAAAGATCCTGAGTGTGCTGGCTTTTTTATTTCCACATGATTTCCATCTATAGTATCGATGCAATTTGAAAAACCAGAAACGTCTTCAAATAGCTCTGCTTCTTTTCGCCATTCATCAGGCGTTCCAGGTAACTAAAATGAAATGAACAACATAGGTTTGTACTATATTGGTTTTAAAATTTTAATACATACCTTAATACAACGTTTCAATACGTGGATAATTGCCTGACATGTTTCAATGACAATTTTTCCTATAGCTTGTGGAGACACTGCGTAAAAAAACTTCAATTCCATTTCCCTTTGCTAGGAATCGGAGAGTAATATTTAATCTTGTTTCTGCGGAAATGTCTTCCTTCTTCTAAGTATTATGTTTCGTTATAAAAGGTCCAACTTTGTAGAGAAGTTCATCATACGTTGCATAGGTCATTCTGAACTAATTTTTATAATCTACCGGTTCACTTCCTTTAAGGTACGTCAACAATCTCCCATTTGGAAATGTTTTCTTCTCCAAAAGCCATTTTTTCACCCATGTTCTTGGCTTACGCGTTCTACTTTCTATATCATCTTCATCACAGACCTGAGAAATTATCATTAAAGCCAATATGTATTCCTTACTACACATTTCTTCACAATATTAACACAGATGAACAACGACACCTTCGCTGATTAGCTCACTAATCAAATGAAAGTTGCAATTTTGTTGTCTTATTTGTCTGAACGTGTGTGCTGAAGGGATCAAACATATTTGCAAATAAATTAGCCCGTGTATAGTTCACTTAATACATCGTTGAATTCTTATAAAAATGCTATTAGATACAGGGTGTACTTTTTTCGGGCTATATAAAAAATTAAAGTGTTTTCTCAAAAACGATCCGTCGGGCCGTGTGGTTCCTAAAAATGCAAATGGAACAGTTTCATTAATTTATAATAATAATAAATAAGGAAGAGTGGCCATTCACAAGATTACGTGTCTCATCGATCCTTTTCTAACCTCCTATCTAGAACGTTACATAATGCCAAACATGCTTATGAACGAAAACTCGTTACCTCCAAAAATAAGAAGAAGCTGTTTCGGTATCTAAGAACAAACCTGAATTCCAAAGTTTCATCACCTCAGATCCGCGACGCTGACGGTCATCTCCACATGGATGCCACCGAATCTGCCAACTTATTGGCAGAGTCCTTTAGTGATGACTTCGTCGATGAGCCTAATGGAGACCTTCTACCGACCACTATCTGCCATAGGTGTCCCAACAGCCTTTGCGAAGTTGAGTTCCTGCCTGAAGATGTATTAATGCATCTGCGAAATCTGAAGACCTCTTCCTCCCCTGGTAAAGATGGGATGACGGCTGCTGTACTTAAAAACTGCGCTTCAGCACTGGCCCTACCATTAAGCTTGATATTCACATCGTCTTTTAGATCTCATACCTTACCCTCATGCTGGCTTAGTGCTTCTGTTACCCCTGTATTCAAAAAGGGCGACAAATCCTCCGCTAAAAATTATCGACCAATAAGTCTCGTTCCTATCGCCGCCAAAATAGCTGAAAGAATCATATTAGATAAGCTCCTGTCATTTGCTTTCGAAAATGACCTTATCCCTAAGAATCAGCATGGATTTCTCCCTGGTCGATCAATAATGACCAACCTTCTCCACTCTCTCAACGATTGGACTCAGTATCTGGACACAAAGACTCCTGTTGATATAATCTACTTAGATTTTTCTAGGGCTTTCGATCGCGTACCACATAGAAGGCTTGTGTTTAAGTTGGAATGTATGGGAATAAGAGGCGAGTTGTTACTGTGAATTAAGGCTTTTCTCAGCGGGAGGACTTTCTCTGTGCGCGTCAGTGATAGCCAGTCTCACCTTCATCATGTAGCAAGTGGAGTTCCTCAAGGCTCTGTCTTGGGGCCAGTGCTGTTCCTTCTGTATACAAGTGACCTGCCCGCATTGATTTCCTCCACATGTTCAGCTTATGGCGACGACACCAAGATTTACAGTACTGTCGTAAATTCTGCTATGCTTCAACGAGATATTGATATTGTTTGTCAATGGTCAGTCAGTTGGCTTTTACCCTTAAATCTAACTAAGTGTTGTGTCCTTCACCTCGGGAAGACAAATCCGCGATTTACATACAAGATCTCTGACCACAACATCGAAGCAGTTTCCAGCCACACTGATCTGGGCGTTGTAGTCAACGATCGTCTTTCCTGGTCAGAGCATATTCACCACGTTACATCAAAAGCCAAGAAACTTCTATACATGCTGGAGAGTTCTTTCAAAGGATCCGATGTCAACATTTGCGCCTACATTTACAAGGCATTCGTGAGGCCAATTCTTGAATTCGCTGGCCCGGTATGGGACACTGTGCTTCTGCGCGATAGAAATCTCGTCGAATCAGTACAGCGTCGGGCTACTCGTATCCCTTTTGGAGCACGAAGTCCAAGCTATGAAGATCGCCTTGAATTATTCAACCTGACCTCATTCTCTGAGCGAAGACTTCGTGGCGATCTTATAGTTACGTTCAGGATACTTCATGGTTTGATGGGCACCAACCTCATGCATCTATACCGTCTGTCGCGCAGCAATCTACGCGGACACAGCTTCAAACTGCATAAGGAGCCATTTAAAACAACAGTCCGACAGTGGTTTCTTCCCAACGGCATATTCAATACCTGGAATAGTTTACCTGAAAGTGTGGTTGGTGCTACTTCAGTTAATAGCTTCAAAGTGCAGTATGATAGCTGGAGGAGTGTACAAACTTTATAGCTATGAACTGTCTTTTTTTATTTTTTCGATGTATTTGTGTTACGTGTCCGTACACTATATTTACTGCATGAGCTTATAGTACTGTGTACTCTGCTCATCTCAATTATCATAATCATAATAATAATAATAATAATAATAAAAAAGATTTGGCCAAATTTTAGTTTTTCCCAAATTCTCAGTAAGCCACGAAATTTCTACTCTCAACGGCATGTAAATACGCCCCAAAGAACGCAACTTTTTCCTAATTTAACCTAAGCTGTATCTCACAAAGGTATTGAATAGGATCCTTATCTTAGACGAATTATTTTTGTAGGAGGGAATTCAAAGGACTGGGCGAGCTGTATGACCAAAGACAAAAACAAGGAGGCTTAGCCGTGCTTGAGCAACAAAATGGCGAATCAAAGAGATACATCTATTACCTAGTTACCAAAAGGGAGTCTTCCGGCAAACCGACATACCATACATTTTGGTCTTCCTTGAAAAAAATGAGAGATCACGTTCGAGATAATGAAGTTAAGAAGTTGGCAATTCCTCGTATTGGATGCGGTTTGGACAGGTTAGAGTGGTCCAGGGTGAAGCCTATGATCGAGTTTTTATTCAGAGATGTGGATGTAGAAGTCGTCGTTTGTAATTTCCAACAGGTAAGCATAACGTTTGCGCGTGCCCGGAAACATGTTACGATATTTACGGATATGTTCATTGATCATATGAGGAAAAATGTGCAACCTGATATCTGTATCAGGACTAGCAGACTTGAAAAATAATATAGCAGAAAATCCTCGGGAATTTCATAGTAAATGAACCAAATGGTATGTTGCTTATAGATAAAAAAAATTGCTGGTAAAAGTTATAATTTTTTTTCTCGAAAACCAAAGTTAGATACGAAAACAATACGAGAGGCAAATAAGTTGTATTTTTAGATGCTTTATCAAACAACAAATATTAAAGTTACAAAAAAGGCACCTTGTTTTTGAGCTATAGCCTTTTTTTTGTAAAGGATATATCTGTTTATAGTCGTAGGTTACTTGTTATGCTTCCAAGTAAACCCTATTTAACGAGTATCCATCACGTCTAGTGAGGTGAACAGCTGATCAGCAAGTGATATCTTTATATTAGTTTGTAATGTTGGCAATAATAAATCGGGTGTAAATCTAGTAAAGCTTGCTCGTAGCTTATTTTTTTGTATGAAAATGAACTTTTCTAAATAAGAGATTTGTTAGCAACTCGATATCTCTTTCCGATTCGAAAATATCGAGATTTGATTTTGGGTAAAATTTTCCATGTTGCAAAGCAACTGCCCACCAGTTACTACTAGATAATCAGCTGTTATTCTACCGTAATGGATACTCGTGAAAAACGCAATAGTATAACATTTTCGCATGTAATCTTGTGCTGGACTTCATTGGCCTTCCTTCCTTCCTTGTTAGTTGACACTCTAGGAAAGCTGTTAATATCTACTGAATTATACCGTAAATGTGTTTGATTATATTAAGTGTTCTTCCCCAGCATTTTATGAAGCTCAAGCTAAAGTTATTTTTTAGAACTATGGTCAGACTAAACAAAAACTGCAGACAGTTAAGAAGCCTACAAAGTCGATAGAGAAACAGAAAACTGATAAAAAGTCCAAAAAGCATACAAAGAAAAAAAGATAGTAGATATCAGCATACTTAAAATATAAGGTTGGTGTCCAATGAAGGTGTAGCAATTTTCATTTTACTCATCTGCTTGCTCATTTGCTGACATCGCATGCTTCTGCAATATTGATTCACGATCTCAAACAACCAACACATTTATAGAGAAATCCATATACCACTGACGTCGTAATGTGTACGAGAGAAACTCGAGAGCGTGCACTACCTATGTTAGAAAAAGATAGAAGCACCACGTTGCCTAGCAACTAGAGTGGCGAGGCTACGGCGTTGCCATCGGTGCACTATTTCTTACATACGTATTGCACGATTCTCGCGCTTCTCTCTCGTCAGTGATATTTGGATTTCTCTGTGTACCTGTTAACTACCGGGTGCGCCATCTTTTATGTTGGTATTGAAACATCGAATGACTTTGATATTTACCAACCGAGTGATTTGGTTATACGTGTTTCTGAAACGTCAATTTACTACAATTTTAGTCATGGATCGCTTTACACAGAAACAACGCGCCGAAATAGTCACAACATTTTCCGTCCCCAAATGCGGCAGTTTTGCTTATTAACGCCGCCAGAGAGCGTTAAATGGGCCTCGTAGGTCATCACAATTTGCTTCCAAAAATCAGATTCAGCATCAACCATGCGAGCGACTGTTTGGGCGTATTCCAAGGACGTGGACGATCAGTTGGCAACATTTTTTGTGTTAACTGCACCTTATACGCAAACAAATGCAAAACATCCTTCAAAATGCGCTGCAACTTGGTTCCACTGATGCCAAAATGCTGAGCGCGGTGACGATACGACACTTTTGGGTTCTGGGCAACGCTGTCTCTGACCGTTTCAACCAATTCATTGGAACGTCTTGGTCGTTGATGAACGGCATGTTGACGATCTCCCACTGTCCCGTACTGAAGAAAATTCGAAACCAAACGACGGGTAGTGTTGTCAGATATTTTCGACAATATGCACGTTGCGTTAAGACAACCGAACAACGATTTTCAATGTACCTATTGTGACTATTTCGGTGCGTTGTTTAAGGTGTAAAGCGATTCATGACTAAAATTGTAGTAAATTGACGTTTCAGAAACACGTATAACCAAACCATTCGGTTGAATATCAAAGTCATTCGATGTTTCGATACCGACATAAAAGATGGCGCACCCGGTACAAGATATTGTCTTCTTAAATGAGTTCCCTCAGGCCAATAACACCTGATGGATGTTGTTATATTCCTTAGCTATTTGGTAGCTGAAATACCTGTCGTATGTAGTGGTTTTATGGGTAGGAGTGATAAGGATTTTGGATCTAATATTAATATTGTGAACTTACGTCATTTTTACCTTACAGGAAGTCGAGATGCCAATCAGAGAAGCAAGGGGTGTATATTGCAAGGTTGTCAGAGAAACGTATCATATAGCGAAGCTCGAAAATGGTTCCATAATAATTTATTTTTCAACCGAAGATGGATTCATTTCTGATGAAATGCATGCTCTGCAAAGCAAGTGCAATTTTCTATCAAAATTCAAACAATCTACGAAGACAATGGGCGAAGTAGTTCGATTTGATGATTGGCCGAACAACAATATAGTATATGGATGTATAGTCAGGCGAAATACGAAGCAGCATTTTCACTTCTCGAGTTTCGTGAAATGTTTAGCAGAAATCAATAAACAAAACCGGCGTGATGGCTTCAACTATGTTGGTATACCGGCGATAAGGGATGAAAATGACCACTTACTGGAATCTAAAGTTCTCAATATTGCGAAAACATATCTGAGGAATGTGGATATATACTATTGTGCCGGAACCGAAATGGATGATTCTTCACAAGATAAAAAAGAGGAGTAAATATCCAGTTCTTTTGTTAGAATCGTTTAAAACGATAAATTGATAATTGCCGAGCTTTCAAACAAATTATTACGAGGGTGGATCAAATACAAAACAGGAATTCTTTTTTAATATTTATTCATAAAACAATACAAAAATGCTGTTGATTATCTTTTATGTCAAATCGAAATCCTCCAAGTGCATCTTTCATGGGCGCAAACGAATGATAGTCACAGGGTGACAAATCTGGGATGCTCAAGAGTTTCCCAATACATATCCTTCCAGTTTTTGCTTCGGTTCAGCTGGCAGAAGTAGGCAGCATTAACCGTACGTGTAGAAAATCAATGAGCAACACTCCCTAGCAGTCGAAAAAGACGGACGGTCGCGAGGACTTTACCATTTTTGGCTTTCACGGTGCCGGCGTCCTCTTTCCTTCGACATTCTCTACTCTCCACCTTGGACTCGGATGTGTAATGATGCACACGTCACGATGCTTAAGAAAGTCTCTCCCTCCCGCCGAAATAGATTCAGACGTCTCCTACTGATTCGTTGAAGCCAAGATGCTTTTTGATGATTGTTTGAGCACTTCCAAAGCTAATGCCCACTTATAAAGCCACTTCATGAATAGTGAGCCGCCTGTCACTTTCAATAAGCGAACAGCGCCAATGTTGTCACCAGAGACACTTGATCTTGTACGTCGATTATTACTAACATTTCCTAAACGTTCTGGTCCGCTCTTAAACTTTTTGTCCCATCGAATACCCGAGTTCTAGACAGGGTATCAACCCCATACAGAGCCTCTAATCCAGCCAAAATCTCGTCAGAAACATAACTCGTTGCTCAACGGACGGTGAACCGTGGCTGTACTGACGCATTGACTGAGTGGAACAGCTCACCACGCGTTATCCCCACTCCTAATACACAATACTGCAAAGACCTACACTGTGGGAGCGCTCGTGATTGGCTAAGAAAAGAATTTGTAAAATTCCTGTTTATATTTGATCAACCCTCGTACATTATGGCGTAGCTACTAAGTTGTACATGTAAAGGCGCGTTTACACGTTTCTCGAAGCTTAACGAGCAAATGAGCATTTTGCGTTTTTGACACAAAATAATGTGCATGCGACTTTACATGTGACATAAAAGTGAAAAACTAAGTTTTTTTTTGCGGTTTGATTCATTTAAAATTATGATGCTCGAGCTGAAATAAGGGAAATATTTAAGTTTTTGTGAAATAGTAACTTCAGATAGGATAGGCATTTTTCCAGATATTTCATATGCCTGTATGTATTTTAATACAATATCTTTATAGTATTAGAAATTGTGCCTTGCATAGTTTTAATCACTTTTATATACTGAAATACTCGGAATGTGCGAAGCAGACCACTTGACATAAAACGGCGACTGCTTCAAGCATTTACTATAATATATATACAAGGTATCTCAAATATTGCTTCTAAACAAAATTGTTTAAAGAATGTGTTTCAATTTTCACGCACATGTCAAAGTTGATTTTTTTAAAAGGAATGTCCTACTTTTATTATATATTCGGATAGGCCCTTTTAAAATAAACAGATAGATCTAAGATACTTATGAGTTTCGATTATTAGCTGTTGGGCTATTGGGTATTTTAGATAAAAAACACCAAGGTTTGACAGCCTGCATGCCTGCTGTCTTGACAGGCAGAGTAGTGAATCTTGTGTCAAAAAATGTTCATTATACCCAATTTTAACCTAATTCATCGGTTTTTTGAATTCCGCGAATGATCAATTTAGGGTGATCAAAAACGTAAGATTTAATTTTTCTCAAGAAAATTAAATGAAACACCTTGTATACTTCAACATTTTTAGATTTCACTTTTTACGAGCTTTTCACTAAAGATCAAGGGGCCTGTATGACCAGTTTTGCAGTTACAGTTAGTTCTTTTTTAAATAGGCTCACTTGAATTTTTATTATGAAATCCGCATTTCAATGTTCAATGAATTACATCAACATGGACTTGATTTGATTTCATGGAAAATGTTTATTTTAATGAATTGGGAAGCTTTAGTTTTATTTTATGATTTCTGTTAGTAATAGTGTGGTAAATAGCACAATTTTAAATAACTAAAAAACTTCATATACAAACACCATTGCCCATTATATCAGGGAAAATCTTTTAATGAGTGGGTTTCGAAAATTTGAAAATGTACTGGGTATTTCACTTGACTTTTTCGAGAAAAAGTACGTTTAGCGTTTTTGACCACCTTGATCATTCATTGAAAAAATGGAAAATTAGGTTAACATTGGGTATTAAAAAAAAGTGTCACAAAACTTAGTACTCCATTTGTCAAGATAGCAGGTATGCAGGCTGTCAAACTTTGGTGTTTTTTTAGAATACCCAATAGCTCAACAACTAATAATATAATCAAACCCCATAAAGTGTGTTATATCAATCTTCTTATTTTAAAAGGACTTATCGCAATGTGGAATAAAAATTAGAGCATTTCGTTAAAAAAAAATGGAACACCCTTTAGTTGGGACACCCTGTATTTTTTAACAAATTTGTTATATGTATTATAGTCAGTGTGTCAATATTTCATGTTATATCATGATAATATTAGTTATTCATTATATTTATTTGTTTATTCTTATTTTATTCATTCAGTGCATTTTTAAACGGGTCTAGTTTACAAGCTGGAATTCTGGGTGATGAAATTAATGTATGAATACTATATTTTAGCGTAAAAGCGCTAGATGTAGATTTTTTTCAAATGAAAGCGGGGGCTGTTTGCAGCTCCTTAAAAGTACTTTATGAACCTAAAACAATTAATTATGACCATTCCATTGAAAAAATATCAAAATGTGCTGTATGTCGTTTCACATTGAGAAAGATCCGTCCAAAAGAATAAGATTGCTATACCATGAAATTTTAAGCAGTAGAAGTATAAATAAAGCACTCAACTATGACAGTCCGCCATTTTGAATGGTACAGGGGTATTTTAATTGACCCACCTGACTTTGATATATGACTTTCTAGAAAACAAAGTTTATCAAAGTCATAGCGTCTAATATGAGGTTGTGAGTAATATTTTTTTGTTACAGAAAAATGCTATCGATTAAAGTTGTCTTTTTTAAAAGGAATACCCTGTATCTTCTGTGAAAATGGTAGTGCCTTTATTCTGATTCCAAATATATATGGTTTATCATACTGATTTTCATTAGTTTGGACAAAAACTTAAGTTTGCATGCCTAAATTTGAACCAGTTTGCATCTAACTGCTTTACTCAATCTGGTATTAGGCCATATAAATATGATTAAATGGCACACACATTTAATAAAATAATTGTAAAGTCTGGTTTTATTGGTGCAAGTTGTTCAAGGGGGTATTCAAAACATGGACGCATAAAATGGGTACACCAATTTTTGTGGGAAACCTTATTTGACAATAAAGAACGAGAAAACGTGTTTTTGTTATTCAATCGAAAGTGTTGACAGGAACGAAAAAACTTTTCATATAAGATTTTTAGGTATTTATGAGACCTACAAAAAGAGACCACACGAAAAAAGGTCCGACTAATAGCAAACATGTTATGGCCGAAAAACGAGGCAAAATGCAGGTTTTAGCACTTGTCGGTAATGCGACGATAATTTCACGCAACTACTTGAAATTCTTCAAATCCGTAGCATTCATACTTCTAAATAACAACCAAATTGGAGTATATCGGTTAAGTAGTTTTTTGAGAATTACTAATTGTTTATCCCAACACACCTGTTTTCCAGCCATCGCTACTAGTTTATTCAGCAATAAACAGCGTTTTGGGATAAACAATTAGAAACTCTCAAAAACTACGTGACCAATCTACTCCAATTTTGTTGTGGTTATTTAGAAATACGAGTCCAACGAATTTGAAGAAATTCAAATATCTGCGAGAAACCATCGTCGCCTTACCAACAAGTGCCAAAACCTGCAGTTTGCCTCGGTTTTCGGGCATAACTTTTTTGCAATTCGTCGGATCTTTTTAAATGTGGTCTCATTTTGTAGGTCTCATAAATACCTAAAAACCTTATTCGAATAGTGTTTAGTGTTTTCGTTCCTGCCAACACTTTCTATTGAATCCCAAAAAACATGTTTTCTCATTCTTTGTTCTCGAATAAAAAGTTTTCTTACAAAAATTGGTGTACCCATTTTATGCGTACATGTTTTGAATACCCCTTGAACAACTTGCAGCAATATAACCAGTCATTTTCACCGAAAATATGCAGGGTGTTCCATTTGAAAAAATACAACTTTATTCAATAGCACTTTTCTGTATACAAAACAATATTACTTGAACTACGTAATAGACTCTATAATTTTTATATATAATATTCTAGAAGGTCATATAAAAAAGTTAGATGGGGGGTCATTTTATAACAGAACAGTATGTTCTACAGTTATAAAATAAGGAGCTTCAAAATCACATGACCCCGATTCTAATTTTTAAAAATTGCGTCAAGATGTTTGCAGCCGCCATCATGAAATTTTCAACTTTTAAAATGTAGTATTCGTACATCAGTTCCACCATCTTGAATTTCAGCTTGTTCATTTGACCCATTCAAAAAATAAGTAGCGATATGGAAATTTTTGAAAAGCACTATACGTTTATGTTTATACTTTATCTGGACTGTTAATGAAATAAATAAATAAATAATCCATGTAAAATGTTTTAATCTAAACAGTAAGAAATTGAACACGTGATAATCTAAATTAAGCTTAACACTATGACGAACTCTCAACATCCAGGATCTTCTTCCAATTAAAACCTTTCAATGCTGGGAGACATAATGTATCCTCTTTTAGAACTGTCACTAATTTTTTGAAAGTCGTGTATTCTGAAATTGTATTTATATCTCCTATCAAAATTAATTTGTGCTTTGCTCTAGTTACAGCTACTGTTATTCTCCTTGGATCTTCCAAAATTTCAAACTGGAAAAAAGGAATCGTCAAGATTTCGTATTTCAGTGTTTGTAGCTATAAAAAAACAAACCTTATTGATCTCCTTAGGTTCAGCAATATTTCTTGATTTTGTGCAAGAATAAATTATCACATTTTTATCCATTCCTTGAAACTGATCCACAGTACTAACAGTCACATTTGAACTCTTGATTAGCGTCGTTATTTGAGCTACTTGGTTTCTATAGGAAGCTATCACCCCAATTTGACTATTCTCAACTCCTGCCTGTAAAACGGACAAGTAATCACAAAAACGCTCATTTGACATTGAGATATAGGCTTTTCGAAACAATATGTCGTCGTTGAGCCATTATTAAATATCTCTATATATGTATAAATGTGGCGTATCACATCTAAACCACAATACGGAGATGCGTAAAAATTTGTTCACTTACTAATTGAAGACTTTGGTGCAAAAAGGTGTTACCTCGCCTTTTTTGAATTATAAGATTTTTAGTGCAATAAGGTATTAGAAGGGTGCTTTTTTGGTAGTACATCTATCCGGCCAAAGATGGCTTTCAGTTGTTAGATACAAAAATTCATATAAGTGCTAACTATACTAAGTGACATATAAATCGGAACACCCAGTTTAAATGGTTTTATTTTAATAAAATTTTGTATAAGTACTTAATGAAGCACAATAAGTAAATGATAAAAATTTCAAAATGATTGCACTGCTTTAAAGCCCTTTGACCTTTAATAATGTGTGGATGCACCCTGATGTGCTACGCATTCTCCAACGCGCCTTGGCATGCTTCTGATCAGGTGGTCAATGCCCTCCTGTGGTATCTCATTCCAGGCAACCACTGACTCCTCTCGAAGTGCTTCTAGAGTCTGAGGAGGACGTTGCAAATTGAGCAATCTCCTACCCATCATATCCCACTCGTGCTCAATTGGGGATAAGTCGGGAGATCTTGGTGGCCATGGTAACAATGTGACATCATTATGTTGAAAGAAGTCTATTGTGACTCTTGCAACATGTGGTCGGGCAATATCTTGTTGGAAAGTTGGATCTGCCAGGGTGTCAAGATAGGGTAAAAGATGGGGTTCTAGAACTTCGTGGATATAACGCTGCGCGTTCATGTTACCTCTGATGAAGATTAAAGGTGACCTGGAACCATAAGCTATAGCACCCCAAACCATAACTCCAACAGTGTGATGAACATGTCTTTCAACAAAAAACTGTGGATTCCTCCTTTCACCACGTCGCCTTCTAACCCTGGCACGACCATCGTGCATGCCTAAACAAAATCGAGACTCGTCACTAAAGACAATACTGTTCCATTCCTGATCCCAGAGTGACCGTTGTCTGCACCACTCAAGGCGATTACGTCGGCGTTCTCGAGTTAAAGGGAGGACCCAGTGTGGCCGGTATGAAAACAAGCCAAAACTTCTCATTCGTCGGTAAACACTTCGCATGCCAATAGATCTTCCGTGTTCTGCAAACCATTCATTTGCAGTGGACCTGGTAGTGGAGAAACGGTCCCTTAAGGCCAATAATCTTAGGCGGCGATCTTCACGGTCTGTTGTTCTACGGCGGCGTCCAGTTGCTCCTTGCTATTTGCGTACGGCCTTCTCGAAGCCATGCCTGACAACACCTAACCACAGTGTCTACACTTCTTTGCACTCTAACTGCAATTGCCCGAAAAGAAAGTCCAGCTTCCCGAAGTCCCACTATACGGCCCCTATCAAACTCACTAAGTTGACGAAATCGTACAGGTCTCCGTACCCTAGGCATCGTAACCGATCGTAAAGGATGTCAAGAACCAAAATCCGCCAACGTTGATTCTTTACTGCGGCTGAAATATTCATTTTTAGAGCGTTAGTGAATTAAAAAAAGGCAGTATAAAAATCGGAATGTCCAACTGATAAGGCTGAAAATTTTTTCACTTGGTATCTACAGTAAGATAAATACATTCACCAACTTTTATTAAAATAAAACCATTTAAACTGGGTGTTCGGATTTATATGTCACTTAGTATATATCAAAAACTTAATTCTGAAAACTTTAAAAGGTGTTAATTCTTGTATTATAGGTTATAAGGTGTTAAGAGTTAATTCAGTTTTCCTTTAAATGTAAAAAAGTTTGCGGTGTAGGATTGAATGAGGAACTTGTTGCAAAGTATAAAAAACTTTTTACGCACGAAAAAATCATATACCTAACATCTGATTTACAAAAAACGCTTCCCTTGCCCAAAATTTCTACAAAGCCTTCTATTTACAAGTATGGCTCTGTAATCTAGGAATAAATTTGATATCAACACAGCAACCACATGGTAAAGGTTTTTTCCGCGTCTGGACCGAAGACCAAGGAAATCGCGGCCCTGAAGAGATTGGGAGCTCACTTATGGCCTTTTTGGAAAATATCAAGGACCAAGGCATGGTTTCCGATCATCTGATAGCTTGGAGTGATTCGGCAGGTGGCCAAAATAAAAAAAAATATTGTCTGGATATGGCACTACCCAATAATCTCTGGCGTATTCAAAAAATTGACCATAAGTTCCCTGGAAGTAGGACATACCTCCAGGAACTCTGATAGAGATTTTGCAGCTGTAGTCTATCAGAAAGCACCAACTAATTTATATGGTGGATCAATATATTTCAATCATGGCAGAAGCCAGGAGACAACACCTTTTAATATTACAAGAATGGGGGACCAATTTTTTGATATCGAATAACTTCCAAGAGAATTGGTCGATAGAAAAAAACTACAACTAATGAGAATGCATTCAAACATGTAAGATGGATCCAGATTGAAGAATTTGGTGCAACCAAGTACAGATACTTTTTTAATGGAACGGCGAAATCTCAACAGAAGAGTAGAAAATTATTATTGAATGACGATAGAAGCCTATTGGGGCCAAACAGTTTGATAATATTCAGGAACAAATTCCTTTGATAACAGCAAATTTTAGAGGCTTTTATTAAAGAGATGATTAGTTGTTGTGTATGGATTATTTGTTATTACTTTTGTGAGTTTGTAATAAGGAAAAAGAACAATGTTTACTTTTAATACATAACATCACTGAATTAACATCTTTCTGCTACCTCCATTTTCCGGACCAAGCAAACAACACTTTTTTAAAAGATGTTAAGACAGATTTTTAACAATCTTTTTTAAATTCCTGATATTTCTAGGCAGCTGCTTCGGCATGAACAAGAATTCGTTAATTCGAGAGATTAGCCACATGGGACATCCCGTAGATTCGTAGAATGATACAATGGTTCATACCTGTAATAATGTTTTCACTAGTATAGCTGTAATAGCAGCTTCATAAATGTTTACGCAGTTTATGTTATCACTCCTATCATCTTTGGGATGTTCTAACCACGGCACGTCGTGTACCAAGTTCCAAACAGGTCCCGTATCTAAAAATATAACTGCCTTTTCCAGCGAAGTATCTAAGGTTCGTTTTATCCACTGCGATTTTATTTCTAAGACCTATAAATAAAAATAATATATATCTAGGTTGATAACAACAATGGCCTCAATCGAATGTTTCCACTACTAATACTAAGCTGTGGTATAAGTTTGAAGACATTCTGGCATTGCACCATTCATAAATGATAATGAAACACAGCACCAAAGTTACAATAAAAATACGAAAGTGGCTGTTGGGCGTAAGATGAAATTCATAACTAACCGCACATTGGAAAAGTTTCAGAGGCGATGAAGATAAATAATTTTTTTTTAAATTACCTGCTTTTTCAACCTCAGTGTTGCATTTGCGACCATCTCATTGCCTATTTGCAAGTCTCCATCGTAAGTAATTTCATTGGCTAGATTCGTTATGGTTTTATTCATTCTATAATTTATGTTCAATACTGAGCAGGCATCCTTTGAGTATAACCTTTCAAAGAGACTTTCAGACATTCCTAAGGAGCTGTAAAGAAATCCGTAATATGGATCGTACAGGGTTCGACCGCATAACTTAATTTTTTCAAAACATAATAAAGCCCATTGTATAGATCAGAACATTTTTTTTTTGTAATGTAGGGGCATGTCAAAATTTTGTTTTAAATATACTAAGTGACATATAAATCCGAACACCCAGTTTAAATGGTTTTATTTTAATAAAATTTTGTATAAGTACTTAATGAAGCATAATAAGTAAATGATAAAAATTTCAAAATGATTGCACTGCTCTAAAGCCCTTTGACCTTTAATAATGTGTGGAGGCACCCCGATGTGCTACGCATTCTCCAACGCGCCTAGGCATGCTTCTGATCAGGTGGTCAATGTCCCCCTGTGGTATCTCATTCCAGGCAACCACCAACTCCTCTCGAAGTGTTTCTAGAGTCTGAGGAGGACGTTGCAAATTGAGCAATCTCCTACCCATCATATCCCACACGTGCTCAATTGGGGATAAGTCGGGAGATCTTGGTGGCCATGGTAACAATGTGACATCATTATGTTGAAAGAAGTCTATTGTGACTCTTGCAACATGTGGTCGGGCATTATCTTGTTGGGAAGTTGGATCTGCCAGGGTGTCAAGATAGGGTAAAAGATGGGGTTCTAGAACTTCGTGGATATAACGCTGCGCGTTCATGTTCGCTCTGATGAAGATTAAAGGTGACCTGGAACCATAAGCTATAGCACCCCAAACCATAACTCCAACAGTGTGATGAACATGTCTTTCGACAAAAAACTGTGGATTCCTCCTTTCACCACGTCGCCTTCTAACCCTGGCACGACCATCGTGCATGCCTAAACAAAATCGAGACTCGTCACTAAAGACAATACTGTTCCATTCCTGATCCCAGAGTGACCATTGTCTGCACCACTCAAGGCGATTACGTCGGTGTTCTCGAGTTAACGGGAGGACCCAGTGTGGCCGGTATGAAAACAAGCCAAAACTTCTCATTCGTCGGTAAACACTTCGCATGCCAATAGGTCTTCCGTGTTATGCAAACCATTCATTTGCAATGGACCTGGTAGTAGAGAAACGGTCCCTTAAGGCCAATAATCTTAGACGGCGATCTTCACGGTCTGTTGGTCTACGGCGGCGCCCAGTGCCCCTTGCTCTTTGCGTACGGCCTTCTCGAAGCCATGCCTGACAACACCTAACCACAGTGTCTACACTTCTTTGCACTCTAACTGCAATTGCCCGAAAAGAAAGTCCAGCTTCTCGAAGTCCCACTATACGGCCCCTATCAAACTCACTAAGTTGACGAAATCGTACAGGTCCCCGTACTCTAGGCATCGTAACCGATCGTAAAGGATGTCAAGAACCAAAATCCGCCAACGTTGATTCTTTACTGCGGCTGAAATATTCATTTTTAGAGCGTTAGTGAATTAAAAAAAAGCAGTATAAAAACCGGAATGTCCAACTGATAAGGCTGAAAATTTTTCCACTTGTTATTTACAGTAAGATAAATACATTCACCAACTTTTATTAAAATAAAACCATTTAAACTGGGTGTTCGGATTTATATGTCACTTAGTATAGTTCTGAAGACCAAATAACATAGGTGACGTCCAACATTCTCCATACACTGAGTAAACCAATTTCTGGCGTTTGTGATGACTTTTGCCAGCATAGCAGGGCGTTATGTTGGCAATTTCTTCCTGGATGTTGATCCTCAAATCTCGTAGGGTCCTTGGACGCTTCACATAAAAATGGTCTTTCAAAAAACCCCATAGAAAAAATCATAGGGGGCCAAGATATTCCGAAAGGCGCGCTGTAGGCCTCAACGACAAACGCACGCTCCTCACTGATCCAACGCATGATGGAGACTGTGTCAGGACAAAACTTTATAGTCCGACCTCTCTAACGACACCACTAAAACAGAAGTTAGGCTGCCGCATCCTGTAGTATGGACCGAGTTCAGTTGAGACTAACTTTTTTACCGCTTTTATGCTGAAATTAGTTAAAAGGTGATACTTGCTATCATATTTTAGATGAAAACCAAAAACAGTATTTTTTCTATTCCAGAAATTCAGTCCATTGGCGTCATTAGCAAAGCTACGCTACGTGCATAGCACGATCCCAAATTTTTGAAAGGTATAGTGGCCAAATACTTTTACAAAGAAAATTGCAGGATGAAATATTGTTAAGCTTTATACTTACCGAGCCTCGTTGTTCTTAACAACAGCTGGTAATTGTTTAGGATCACCAACCAAGATAAAAGTTTTCGATGCATATAAAGGTCTTATTACTGTACTCTGAACGACTTGAGTGCTCTCATCTATAATGCATATATCCATCGTTCTTTTTGACAATACTGGATGCCCTGCACCCAGACATGTCACAGCAATCACTTGCTGGAAACATTGAAATATTCAGTTTGAAAAACAGATGAATTTGAATGGAAGGTAAAGAAAATAGAGCAGGTAAAATCAATACAATAAAAAGATGTTTATGAAGAGTCGTGTTTAAAACATACCAGTTCCTATCTAATCCAAATTTATTTTATTGCAGACTTAGGGCCGTATCGGCAGTCGTTTCTACAATTGTAGTTAGCTTATGGTCTCTTTGATTTCATAGTTTTTTCTATCTTTCAGAAAGGCAGGGGTATTTCTAGATTTCTACTGTTCCGTGTCAATGTCAGTTCTTTCCTATTGTGAGGCTATGTTTTCTTTTTGAAATCTAAGAAATTTCAGGCTAATAAAACTTGATTTCTATCAGCCTGAAATTTCTTAAGATTCAAAAAGAAAACATAACCTCCCAATAGGAGATCCCTGACGCTAACACGGAACAGTAGAAACCTAGAAATACCCCAGCATTTCCGAAGGAGAGAAAATGCTATGAAAATCAAAAAGGCTATAAAGGCGTCCTACAATTGTAGGAACGACTTAATAATAAAGATAAAGCAACGTCAGAATACACATGTCCGCGGGTCTGACGGAACAGCATATTATAAGAGTAAGATTAAAGTAAAATTGAGATCTAAGACAAAAACACGAAAAGTGTTTATGAAATCACATATTAAAATCAGATCAACAGATACTCCACAGCTGCCCTTTTAAAATTTAGCAAATTTTGTGCACTTTTAATGTTGCCTGTAAGCATGTTATAATAATTTGTCATGTATAAATATGTTGAAGCATGGGGAGATATACATAAGCTACCTCTTCCATTGGCTTCAATGGTCATATTAACTGTGTAGTGATGATAGTTGCAGTTAGATAATTTTAAATGCTCCCTGACAAGCATGACAAGTGAAAGGTAGTATAAACATGACGCAGTTAAAAAACCCAACTTCTTAAAAAATTCTCTACATGATGTCTGAGGATGCATCTAATTGTACGTTTCTTAGCTATAAAAACTGATAAGGCTCTCCGTGAAGAACCCAAAACCATAACACTATATGCAATCAAAGATTGAACTGATGCAAAGTAAAAATGACGGAGCGTTGCAACCGAAATTTCAACACGAAGACGACAATTAAAGCATATATCTTGGCTTGCTTATATTATAATCCTCCATGTTTGCTTTGCCGTTAAATAAAACCTAATATACTTAAAATACTGTTTACTGACGACGTTTCATTCACCAAGGAGCCCTTTTTCAAGTACGTGCATATCTTAATTTTTTTAATTTAGATTCTAAGTGAATGCCCAGAAATCTCACTGTATCGACCTATGGTATCGAAGGATGATCACAACGAACCAACACTGGCTCGTCGTTATTTGCCGATTTTCTGAATTAAATTAGAATAGTTCTTGCGCCAGTCCAACACGACGCTTACTACATGTACAGAGACCACAAAAGGCATATTAAGCTCGATTCTGAGAGCATAACAGATGACAGAAGCCAACAATAAATCCCTCAGAGTCCATTCACATACAGCAAAAACAACAGGGGTCCCTAGACGGATCCCTGTGGAACACCGCGGGTGCTGATGCTAATGGACTACTAAATACAGCAATTTGAAGATAGTGATTGAAGATTTTTCCCACGCAAAATGGTCTAAAATCTACAGATTTAGATGACTAATCACTTACAGCGCCTTCATAAACAGCTTTGAGATCTTCAGGAGTCTTACAATTTTTTGTAAGGTAATGCTCGGAGTATTTTTTCAGTTCGGGTTGCATTCTGGCTTCGGATCCGAGTCTTATCAATTTAACACCTAGTCTGATCAGTTTAATGCAAACGTTATCCACAGCCGAATGAGTATGACTCGTTATCAGAACAGTTTTTTTAAGTTCACACAATAGTTGTATGAGGGCGACAATTGTGGCTGTTTTTCCTGAAATAAATATTAATTTTATTTAATAAACAATCAAGAATAATCCTATTCCCAGAACCAAGAATTCTAAGCGGAATGTTAAATAAGCTATTTATGTCCCTGATTTCAAGGCGGCACTTGAGTGTGTTACAATTTATAAGAATGTTCAAAATCTTCTTATGGCCAATGGCATTGTGTTTGGATAAAGTTTAAATGAAATCTACCACTTTGTATGAGATAATCCATACAACTCGATATTTTCCCGTACTATTGCATTTTCACAGCAAGCAAATAAACACGGTGTCCCATTTTAAACTCGCTACCCAACTAATTCGAAAACTGCGCATTCTAGAAAAAAGTTTCATACAAAAGTTTCAGGGGCAAAATTATGGTGATCTTGGCAATGCCTTGACTACGAACCCTAAGGTCATTTTAAGGACAGGTGAATAATATCAAACTGAACCCCCCCTCCCACGTTTTTTCACTTTAGAATTGAAAAGAGAATGACATTTTTTGTGTGAATATTACCTTGGCCATAACATTCAAGACCAACTCAAGGTCGAAGCAAGACATCGAAAGCAATTTGCTCTGGCAAAAGAGTTCGACAGCATAGTTGTGAGGGTTGTTTAGATCATCCAAAGGTCACCTTAACCATGACCTTCAAGGACAGGTCAAAATTTCCAAAGAAAATCCTTTATTTTTATACCAGAAATGGGAAAAGCAGGACATTTTACGTCCGAATATACAGTAATGGACAAAAGTATATAGACAAATATGAATATTTACCTAAATACCTTTAAAAAACGAATTCATACTTCATTGCTCCATAAACAAATGTGTTATTGGTAGAAAAACTAAATTCCTTGTTTTTACATTATCTGCAATGAACGCAATACAAGTTTGAATATACGCACTTTTTTATGAGGGACAAAAATATGTAGACAAAATCTTTTCAACATTACTTTTGTACAGTTTCGTGTCAGAAGAGGATTAGTTTGTATTCATCAAGTATTGTGGAATAAGTTGAGTGATTTTAAGACCATGCCGCGTGGTCCAGAAATTTCTTTCGATGTGAAAACTAAGATCATTGAAACAAAGATGGTCAACGTCAAGTCGACATTGCCAAAAATTTGAAGCTGAAGTGTAAAGCAGTTTAGGCAATATTGAACAAATATAAACAAAAAGGTAACTTGGAAGCGTCTAAGAGAAGTGGCCGGCCTAGAAAACTAAATGCTAGATCATTCAGATTAATAAAAGTAATATCGTCCAAAGATCCGTTTAAAACCCCAAGACAAATAAAAGCCGAAATCGAGACAAAAGGAATTACCAGTGTTTCTACGAAAACTGTAAGTAGAAGATTAAATGATTTGAAGTTATTTGCACGTCGCCCGAGTAACAAGCCGCTAATCTCTTGGAAAAACCGTAAGGACCGATTACAATTTGCACAGTTGCATGTTGATTGGAGCATCTGTGATTGGAAGAGGATATGTTTCAGTGACGAATCGAAGTTCAATATGTTTGGATCAGATGGTGTTCATTATGTTAGACGTTCTAGTGGACAAAGATTGAACCCCAAGTGCACTTTGCCCCACTGTCTCCCGATATAAACCCCATTGAAAATCTATGGGAATACTTAGATAAGCAAAAATGAGATGAAAATTATTCAAACAAGGATGAACTTTTTGCCGCTTTAGAGCAAAAGTGGAGAGAGATTGATGAATCTTATATCAAGAAACTTCTACAATCTATGCCGAGACGATGCCAGGCGGTGATTGATAATAATGGTTATGCTACAAAATATTAGCACACATATGGTTGGTTTTCTATAATTCAATGAACTTTGCTTCTTTTTTCTATAATTGTTTTGCCTTGTCTATATATTTTTGGCCTTCAAAGTTCCAGTTTTTTCAATTAATTTTTTATTGAAGGGAGTCTAATGAATTTATTTATGTATAAGTGAGTATAACGAATTCTGTATACAGGTTGGTGTAGTAATAAAACAAGTTAAAAAAGAAATACAGCACAGTATTAATTTGTCTATATATTTTTGTCCATTACTGTATGTAGAGAGCACAAAACATTAATGCCACAAGTGCATATGGAAAAATGACTACTGAAAAACAGACCTTAAAGGAGGTTATTGGAAATCAGTTTTCTTAAATGACCTTCTAACACTGTACAGTTCAACGAAACTTTGAGGTTTAGTAACCAGTTGAGGCCTCACTTCTTATTTCCATAAACAGCAACTACTATCCCTAATGCAAAATATTGCTGGTATTTTTTACATCCTTTACGATAATTGCTCAAAACTAAAACTTTTGGAAAGCCTAATACTTTGCCCTGCTTTCGTTCATTGACCTTCCTAGAGACCAAGCCTACATCATTCTGATGATTGCCAATAATCATTAGACAGCTATGCACGGTTGACCCTCTGTTGGTCGGATGGACGAAAGCAGTATCATTAGAGAAGTTTTTCTCAAATGTCAAAATTAAAATCTTCGATGCTTACCAGTTCCTGGCATACCCATAATCAAGTAGTACTCCTTCGCAGCGATAGCTTTTAATACAGCTCTTTGCTGCACCTTGTTCAGTCTTGTCAGAATCTCTTTTCCTTTCACCGCGATCTGTTTGGGCAAAGTGCTCATGAAAGTAGGTGAGGCCTTGTCGATGATGATTCTGCGTAAATCAGCCGATCTATCTGTCAACTCTAGCAGTAGCGTCAAGTTAGCAAAGCTGAATAAGTAAGCCGTAGACGACTCGTAGCTGTCTATGTGGAACGTTTGACCTGAGTATTTTTTGTTGAGATCCCTAGAAATGAAAAAACTACAGATAACATCGACTGGTGGTGTTTTCCGAAAGATCTGCCAGTATCGTCCAGCGTGGCTAGTTAGAAACAAATGAACTTGCATTTTTAATAGCTAAAATAGATCCTTTACATCCATTTTTCAAGCGATGCAATTTATTTTCTCGTTTTTTTTTACTCGTAGTTCTAAGAACAGCGGGCGAAAATCCTTGTCACAACTTTGGTGTGAAATACGTTTGAACCTTGGAAGTCAAGTTCTGCTACATTGCCTGCTTTATAGAAAAAAGAGAAAAAACAGAGACATAGACATCTTTTGGAGGCAAACTATTGATATTACGTTGAAATAAATATCTTGGAAGATAGTCTATTAGAACTGCTTACCTATCCAATGTCACTGATATAGAATTGGATGATATATCAGAAACAAATCCAGATGCAACAGCAGGTCTTGTATTTGTACTGATGACAACGTAATTTCTGTCACTTATACCGTTTGCAAAAAAATTAACACCATCTACCGAATTCATCTTCATAAAAGTATGATCATACATTCCATTGGTTTCATCGCCAACATTTGTCAGTCGCAAGTTTATTATACATCTGCCAAACTGCTCCCTGAAAAAAAATTAGGAATATAAATACATATATGTCGACTGTCATGGAATTGCAAAAAATAATTCAAAATGAATAAATAGCGTTTATTGCCCAACAGTGAAATTAAAAAAAACTGTAATTTAATAGACAAGAATGTAAAATTATAAAAAATTCATTCAAAAAGATGTGTAAACAAATATACTACAGTAAGTGACATAAATCCGAACACCCAGTTTAAATGGTTTTATTTTAATAAAATTTTGTATAAGTACTTAATGAAGCATAATAAGTAAATGATAAAAATTTCAAAATGATTGCACTGCTTTAAAGCCCTTTGACCTTTAATAATGTGTGGATGCACCCTGATGTGCTACGCATTCTCGAACGCGCCTAGGCATGCTTCTGATCAGGTGGTCAATGTCCTCCTGTGGTATCTCATTCCAGGCAACCACCAACTCCTCTCGAAGTGCTTCTAGAGTCTGAGGAGAACGTTGCAAATTGAGCAATCTCCTACCCATCATATCCCACACGTGCTCAATTGGGGATAAGTCGGGAGATCTTGGTGGCCATGGTAACAATGTGACATCATTATGTTGAAAGAAGTCTATTGTGACTCTTGCAACATGTGGTCGGGCATTATCTGGTTGGAAAGTTGGATCTGCCAGGGTGTCAAGGTAGGGTAAAAGATGGGGTTCTAGAACTTCGTGGATATAACGCTGCGCGTTCATGTTACCTCTGATGAAGATTAAAGGTGACCTGGAACCATAAGCTATAGCACCCCAAACCATAACTCCAACAGTGTGATGAACATGTCTTTCAACAAAAAACTGTGGATTCCTCCTTCCACCACGTCGCCTTCTAACCCTGGCACGACCATCGTGCATGCCTAAACAAAATCGAGACTCGTCACTAAAGACAATACTGTTCCATTCCTGATCCCAGAGTGACCGTTGTCTGCACCACTCAAGGCGATTACGTCGGTGTTCTCGAGTTAAAGGGCCGGTATGAAAACAAGCCAAAACTTCTCATTCGTCGGTAAACACTTCGCATGCCAATAGGTCTTCCGTGTTCTGCAAACCGCTCATTTGCAATGGACCTGGTAGTGGAGAAACGGTCCCTTAAGGCCAATAATCTTAGGCGGCGATCTTCACGGTCTGTTGTTCTACGGCGGCGTCCAGTGCCCCTTGCTCTTTGCGTACGGCCTTCTTGAAGCCATGCCTGACAACACCTAACCACAGTGTCTACACTTCTTTGCACTCTAACTGCAATTGCCCGAAAAGAAAGTCCAGCTTCCCGAAGTCCCACTATACGGCCCCTAGCAAACTCACTAAGTTGACGAAATCGTACAGGCTTCCGTACTCTAGGCATCGTAACCGATCGTAAAGGATGTCAAGAACCAAAATCCGCCAACGTTGATTCTTTACTGCGGCTGAAATATTCATTTTTAGAGCGTTAGTGAATTAAAAAAAAGCAGTATAACAACCGGAATGTCCAACTGATAAGGCTGAAAATTTTTTCACTTGTTATTTACAGTAAGATAAATACATTCACCAACTTTTATTAAAATAAAACCATTTAAACTGGGTGTTCGGATTTATATGTCACTTAGCATAATTATACAAAACACATAATTATACGAATAATTATAAAATACACAAGTGTTACCCAATGTTGATTGAGGTAGAATATCCAAAAATGTATGCTGTGTATAAAAAATGACATCAGGGGTAGTTAAGGGCAGTAGTAGGATAATAAAAGTAGGTTGACTGTCATTTTCAAATACCTTTTCTGTGGGGTTTGTGTGTAAATATCCCTTAGTTGCTTAGTATTTTTGTTGCTTTGCGATTCCAGTGATACCATAGTGATCCATTTCATGATATAATCAAGATGTGCTTCACTAATAGTTTTCAAATCGCCTTGTATTATGCTGTTCAATGCTTCATTATTCGCAATATTTTCATTATTGTACCTAAAACATAGATTCCGTTTAAGTTGTTCCCAATATACTAGAATTGTGCCATTACTGTGACGTAATTTTGGCGGTGACGGTACCTACAGACAGCTTTGGAGGTTATTATAAATGAATGAACAATCGGTTATTGAAAGATAGAAAGATATAAATTTTCATTCAAAATATGACAAACCATCACATGATTTCTTGGCAGTATCTCTGAAAGGGAGCATTTCCGGACTGAATGATTCGTCTTCAGTGACCCCCAAAAAAAAAAAACGTATTATAAGCATGGTTGAACTCATGTTCTCAAAAGACTCATTTTTGTTACAATAAAAAATTAAAATGATTGAAATCCGGTTCAAATAACCTCTCTCGTACGTATTTTGAGACGCTAAAACCGAATCCGAAGTCATTTCTCATGTATCTGATCCCGTTTGTCATGTACGTTCTATTATTTTATGAAAAATTGCAAAACTATGCGACATTTGAGACCTAATGATGCTAAAAATCAATTTTCTTCATCGGTGCCTATATGCGAACTATGCCGTGTGCATTAAGCGCTAAATCTGAATGTCATTGTGAGAACAATCTTAAAGGATCATGATGCCGATTTAGGGGTGAAAAATTGGCAAAAAACTGATCACCCGAGGCCACCCGTGAATCCTAGCACCAAAATGACATCGAATTGTACGCCCCCGATTTACCTTGAAGAGAAACTTACACTAACACGTTTTGCTTATAAACATACCTTGCGAACGAAGCACACAGCACATTGTAAGGGCACTTATAACATCCACGATGATTGATAGGCTCTGGTAGCTCGGGCGGGATTAATTTTCTGTCATCAGATCCTTTATTTTCGGTAATTTTTGGTCGCCTAGTGAGATAGTATGCTAATTCGTTCCGTAATATGACAATGTCCCTCTGCTCCCTATGTGTCATAGGAATTTCTCTCAGCACACCCTCTCTACAATTAAGAAAAGTGTCATATTTTGTACATAAAATTTCATTCTACAAAATATGTTTTAAAGATTCAACCTATCAGTCAAATATAAAATTTCGATAATCTTCATTTGTAGTGTTAACAATATAGCATACCTTAGATATAACAGTAACCCAGATGATACTTTGTATCCCAACTTATTCATCATCATTATATACATCATCACCTGTCCTCTATGTTCTAAAGAAACGGAAGCCCTTCCAGTTTTTAATTCAAGAGGCATCAATTGAGAACCGCTTTTCACATTTATGTCAACTTTCCCCTTGAATCCTAATTCTGTACACCAAATGTTCTCCTCAATATCGTCTATTGTATCTATCCAACCATTCCAATTTTCTTTGAGTAGGGATCGAACACCATTTGACTGTGAATGTTTTACATATTGCCACATAAACTCTTCTATTTTAGGCACAAAGCTCAATACATCATTTAGCAGATCATCAGGAGCTATGTCGGCATCGTAAAGATCCCTTAACTATAAACAAAGGACTGTCAATATCTAAAATACATATCTTGGAAAAAAGATAACTATTAGTATGCTGAGACTTTTATACTTACAGTGGCAGAATTTTGACACAGTTCTTTTGCAGCTTTCTCTATTTGCCGTTTATTTCTGAGATTATTCTTCAAAGCTGTTTGTAGCAGCGTATGGACTATTGTACCGACAAGCATAGCTTTATTTGTGGGTTCAAATCCTCTGAAACTTTCAACTAGCACGCTTTTCCTTTTACAAAATAATGAGTCTGAAACAAATTGACTATTTTGAGCGCCATACATAAAAAATTACCGATAAAAATCTCAATAAACGTTGCGTTGACTAACATGTTTATGTTTATCTATATTCTATAATCATGTTTGAATCATGAAACATTTATGGTTAAGGTAGAAGATAACATCACAGAAGAATATGACATTAGCGCAAAAGGTCTAAGCTGTCTTGTCTATGAATTAGAGAATAAACTTTTAGGTCATCCGCAAACATTTCGTTTTCTACTGCTATTATATGGTTAATATCATTAACAAAAATCAAACAAGTAGGGGACCAAAGTTAGTGCCTTGTGGCACACCCGTTGTCGGTATGTATGATTATACTGCACACATTGGATATCTGAAACTTCCGCATGATCAAAGTGTAACTTCTGGAAAAAATTACTTACTTACTACTGAAGTTGTAGATATTAGCATATCAGGTTCAAATACTAACAAACCGTTATCGTTATCAATTAACCATTCGCCATTCTCCAACTTCTTTGCCTTTACATGTACAGTATCAGAAGTATTTAGTACTGCATGTACCCTAAAATTGCAACATAAAGTGATAGTTTGAATAGATTTACGGGACGTTCTTACCAGAAGCCCTCTACATTACATATAGCAGATTCTCCTGTCTTGGTAGACTCGAGCTTCAAAATAATTCTCTTTGGAACCACTTCTATATTTTTTATTTTACAATGTTGAGACTCTTTTAGGTCCAGATCGTATGAGGTAGTTTCCTGTAATCAATGTAATTCTTGAGACCGGTCCTGTGATTTTCATGTGCATATGACTCCATTATCTGGCCGAATCAAACCAAATATATTCATTCTGCATTAGTGTGAAGGAGATTGGATTAAGAGAAAAATTGCAATATTCAAAGTAATGAGAAATAATACGTGAAATATCTCACAGCATATCATAATACAAAGGGTACTATAAAAGTTTTGCAATATGACTTAACAAACGGATGCAGGAGGCTGTATGTAACTGCATGTTGAGACATGTCCATGAGGGCATAGTAGCCGCCAGCAGCACGTCTGTTGATGTAGTTGTTCATTCGTATTGACAGTGTAAAGTACAGACTATGGCATCGTGGTCACGTAGTGTGATAAGTGTAGTTTTACTTTATTAGTCTCTAGCTTTCGACGGACTATGCCATCATCATCAGGAGCTACAATAACATTAGGAAGAAATAGCAACTAATGTGCAAAATGAGTTTAAATTGCTTACAATAGTATGTGGCATTGTTGCTAAATGTTATTACAAGTTAAGTTGAGAGAAACATTTAGTAACCTAGTGAAAGCTGGATCCATGGTATGTTCGTTAAAATTGGTAAAAAACACACACAGCTGTACGTCAGGAACACATCACAACAGATTAAAAATATTTGGAATGAAAGTTAAAATTATTACATGTTATATCGTGAAACATATAAATATACACCTTGGGAAAAACCATTATTATACATTATGATGAGGAAGAGAGATGGAAATATACAAAAGTATGTAGGTGCGTGAAAGACACTCGATTGTAGGATCATATCTGGCAGCGTCGGAGTGTGACGGACAACGGGGTAAAGTAGAAGAGTGATAAAAGAGAGATGGCAGAACGGGCGCTGGCGCCTACTGCTTAGACGGATGCGCTCAACAAATGCGATTTGTTTCTCCCATTCGCAGAGTTGCCGATACCAATATGTCATATTTCTAAGAAATCTAAGTCTACCCAAATTTCGGGAAAAATAGCTGCGGATTCCACATAAGAGTATTCCAAAAATGAAAAAAGTTCAAACTATTAAAATTGTATTAATGTTTCATGGTTCAAATCATATTTTTCATGTTTGTATATTGTTGTATAAATGATTTTGTAATCCCTATTCTTGTTGCCAGTAGAGATACAACAATATTGAGAGAAATCATGGACCGCTAGATAGGGCTACAACTACCATATGACTATCAAATAGTAGCGATAAACAGGGTTTGTTTATAGCACAGTTGCCTGGTGTGGCGAATTTGCGCCATAGGGGCGATTTGACAACTTTGAAGGACAACTATAACGGTTACTATGGTGCCCGGTATTCGGGAATCTGGCAATACCTGATGATTCCTAACGTTTATTACGCCAGATTGTTTGCTGACTTGCGCAGTACAACATGACAATCAACGTGACTGAGCACCTGGTAACCCTGGTTTAAGGTGTTATATTTAAAGAGCTTGGGGCAGTTAGGTATCTAGGTTACATTTTTTAATGTATTTCGAGAAATCCGTAATGTTGAGTAAATACTAGATCACGTTTCTTGCTTAGTTTGCTGAAAATTCTACAATAGACGTACATTTTGAGAAACAGAGATTTGGTGACGACAAAATCGTAAAAATATAACGCATTTTCGTAAAATAATTTCTTTGTTGAAAAGACTGTGGCTTGATGACCCATTGAACGAGTATAGTGTCCCGCTCCGCTTTGAATATTCGAAACACTATACTCCAGCAGCATTCAGCTTCAATGTTATCTTTATGAAGTTCTAACGTCTAGGCCATGCTGATTAAAAGCTTGAATGAATCAACACTTAACTCTAAATTCCCCACAATTTGGGAAGCTCTACTCAAATTGGCAACACAGCGTATCTGCCTATTATTCTCATTCGTGATACAGGTCTGCGGTTAACGGTAGGAAATATGTACGAATAGCGATGAAAGTAGACGAGCCGATGCGCTGTTGCCAAGAAATGATTTCCCATGTATAACAATGGTTTTTCCTAAGGTGTATATATACATTTTTTAAATCAACAGTATTACTACTGCTACATAAAGGCCATGCGGATGAGGGAGGCCTGTAATTAACTTAGCAATGAAATTCCACCAAATTCTGAAGGGTAGGTACTTTCTGATTTATAGATGGGCCAAGAATTACAGGTAGCCTTTTCATAAAAGTATAAACACTTTAGTACATTAGCGATTTTAATTTTACTAAATAAGAAAAACAAAAATACTTACTGGTGTGTTTACTTCCCCCTCCCATTCATCAAATTCAAGTTCCTGAAATTCATCCTTAAGATGGTTTAATTCATTTTCATTCTTCGTTACCGCCGGTGACATTTTTGAGTTCTTACGGGATTCACTATCAAATTCCTCAAACTGAAACTCTGCAAAGACGTTATCCAAACTTGACGATTGTCCGTTCTTTTTTAGAGTTGGAGATTTCACTGGCGATTTCAACGTCTGTTTTGTACAGTCCGCAAAATCCAATTTTGTTTTTACTTTAGACGTGGATGGTATTTCAGATGTTGTCACAGGACTTTTTGTTGGCGTAGCCTCATTCAGAGCTTGAGCTTGTTTAGACCTGAAAATTGTCCAGATTATACTCGTTTTACATCAACAATTTCTTCACGAATGTATTCAAGGTCATCCATTTTAGGTTTTGCGGTGCTTACATCAATGGACAAATTCATCGATGATTGTCTGAGAGTACAGTGCTGACAACCACACAACAAATTCTTGCTAGAAACATTTCAAGTTTTTATATGTATTGTGGTTTTGATCAAAATTCGAAACTTGAATTGAAAAGTTGCTCAATATAATGAAAGGGAATACAATACAGAATACAACGTACAGATGCAACTCCAACTCCAGACATACTGGAGGTGTAGTGATTTATGTTTACCACAAAATACAGATCACATTATTCGATTGTACGACTTTAGACTATGCATACTGGTATGCACATATACAATTCAAATTATTTGGGAAACGTTATGATCTTTGTACTTTTTACCGTTCACCAAACAGTGATGCAGATACATTTTTAACGTTTTTTGAAGAAAAATGCGAAGAAATGTGGAATTTTAGAAACAATATAATACTTTTAGGTGATTTTAATTTAAATTATTATGGTAAAAGCATGAAAACAAGAAAATTGAAAGAAACCATAAACAACTATGGGTTCAAGCAAAAAATTGAAGAGAGTACCAGAATAACATCATTATCAGAGACTTTGTTAGATCTTGTTATTGTAAATTTCGAATGTGCAGGGATTAAAGCTGTACATACACCTAAAGTTAGCGATCACAGTTGGACAATCCTGCCCTTGGTAGGGCATTTTTCTGATACAAAAATTAAGAAAATCGTAAATACTATTAAGTACGAAAAACTTGAACGAGAACTTGATGGCTGCTATTGGAATTAATAGGAAATATAAAAACTTGTTTAGATCTTGCAACTGATAAAAAAGTGATTTGCTTGACAAAAAATACACCCTGGTATAACAAGAATATTAAGGCAGCTCAAAATTTGAGAGACAAACAATACAATAAATGTATATTCACAAAATCAAATGATGATTGGGAGGTATATAAAACTCTTAGGAATAAATGTGTATATGTAATTAGAGAAGAAAAAAGAAAAGTCTACGATAAACAAATCGATAATAACAAGTGCGACAGTGTAAAGATGTGGAAGACTTTAAAAAGACTGATCAATTCGAAGCCGCATGATTGTGTAAATCAAGTTCAATTCGAAAACGGTACCGAAACCAATTCTTTGGTGATTGCAAACAAACTAAATGAATATTTTGTGGAAAGTATTGTTGATATTGTAGGTACTGCCAATGCTGCACCTGACTATATGAAAATCAATTTCCAGGGGGAAATGTTGCATACACTTTCAAAATTTCACAGCGTATCATTGAATTATCTAAGAAAAAAAGTAAATAGTTTAAAATCAAATAACAGCTGTGCCGAAATGACTACTAAAAACGTGCTGAAAAACTGTTTCCAAATTTTGGGATATCCTGTATTAAATTGGATCAATTGTTCACTGAGGAGCAGTTCTTTCCCTGAAAATTTGAAATGCTCTACAATAACACCAGTTCCCAAAATAAAAAATTCTAAAAGATGCAGCGATATGAGACCAGTAAATGTGTTACCAGACATTGAAAAATTATTAGAGTCCATAGTGCATGACCAATTAATGCAGTTTATAGAAGAAAACAAAATTTTAGTGGAGGCGCAAGCAGGCTTTCGAAAAAAATATTCCACAGAAACAGCTTTCCAGTTGGTAACTGAGAATTGGAGAAGAGCCATAGACTCAGAAGAAGTTGTCATAGCAGTATTTTTGGATTTGAAGAGGGCATTTGAAACGATTGATAGAGATATTTTGTTAGGTAAATTGAAGGCATATGGTATAACAGGAAGTGTTTTAGATTGGTTTAGAAATTATTTGTCTAAAAGGATGCAAGTTACAAAAGTTAATGACACTATTTCATCAAAAATTGAAAATACGTTGGGTGTTCCACAGGGCAGTATCCTGGGACCACTTCTTTTTATTTTATACATAAATGATTTACCTGCCATAGTCAAAAAATGCAAAATTCAAATTTTCGCCGATGACACTATGATTTATATAAGTACTAAAAATATTCAGTCTGGTATCTCTTATATAAATGAAGACTTGAAGCTTGTCTCAAAATGGTTAGCATCTAACAGACTAAAATTAAATGCAAGTAAAACGAAAGCCTTGTTAATCGGAAAAAAACAATGTACAAATGTTCAACTGAATATTGATGGTGAAGATATTGAATTTGTAGAAAATTTTAAATACCTGGGAGTTTTTGTTGACTCTCGATTAATTTTTGATATTCATTATGAAAAAGTTATAAATAAGATTAGTAGTAAAGTGGGATATTTATCGAGAGTTTCTGGATGTCTGAGTTCATATAGCAAAAAAATTATCTATAATACCATCATTCTTCCAAATTTCTTGTACTGTTCGACTATTCTATATTTAGCAAATAATTCCATTTTTGAAAGACTGCAAATTTTACAAAATAAGTGCATGAGAATAATACTAAATAAAGATAAATATACTCCAATTAGGCAAATGCTTAGCAAATTAAAATGGCTCAATGTAAAAAATGTTATCAAATATCTTGTAATGATATTCATTTATAAAGTAAAAAATAATATATTTCCATCAAGTCTAACTAATTTAACATCATCAAATGTCGACCATCATTTACATAATACCAGAAATAAAGATGACTTCCATTTAATGACCAAAAAGTATAACATATGCTACAAATCTGTATTCCATCAAGGGTTGATTGAATATAATAAATTATACTCGGAGATAAAAGACCAGAAAACTTTGACAAAATTTAAAGTAAAATTGAGAAATCACTTGTTAAATCTACAATTATAGGTTGCCCAGCATTTACATCATACACCATATGGCTTGAATTTACTAGTTCTAAGTTGTTTACAATTGTTCGGTTTATGTAGCCAAATGTGCTAAATAAATCTTTCTACTACTACTACTACAAGCTTGGCGTCCAAACATTTCTCTTCGGACGGGATTTGAGCCCTCGCAACGCGACTGATCAGGAGACAAAGCGTCTACCACAGCGGCCACCGTTGCTGCCTAAACTTGAACCATGAACTTAATTTATCAAGAAATCCATGGATTTATTTTCGATGTAAAACGGGTATTACATCGCAAACTATCCAGAAAAAGCCTATCAATAATCATTTTCAGGTATCAAGTGTTTAGCTTAACTAGTTTAAAATGTGATACTTACTTTTCAGATGGTGTTGTACCCACATATCTAAACATTGTACTCTGTTTTTTCTCGCTGGAACTGAGGATCTTAGCATCCACTTCAATTCTTTGATTCGATTTACTTGGAGTTATTTTGACAAAGTCTTTAATAACCTGGACATTAAAACTATTCAAATTATCTGGTGACCTGCTGAACAATTTTTTTGGAGTTCTTTTGTTAGGTGTCGTTTTTTGTGGAGAATTATTCGCTTTTTTTGGTGTGACATTTTTCATAATGTTGCATTTTACATTGTTCCTTGATGATTCATCCGCTTTTGATAATAAAGTATCTGGTCCACTAGAGAACTTATCACTAAAACTCAGTCTTTTAGGTGTAGGTGTCCTTATTTTTTCAAGAAAGCTTTTCTTTTCGGGAGTAGTGTATCTCTTTAATGCCTCTGGAGTCAACAGTTTTTCTGGCGTCTTTACAAAAATAACTTTATCGCTCTCTATCCTCAGTGGCTTGTATTCACTTATGCTGGGAACTGGACAACTGTCAGTCTCTGAAAATATTTGGTTGTGAGACTTCTAACAGAATAAATGAACTTTGATGTTGTTAACCACATCAGTTGTAGATGGTAGATGGCGATAACTTCATCCATATCCATAAAAGCTGCGGTCAAAATGTACGCATAAAGACATAAACGAGTAAGATTAGTACATTTTTTAGATAGATTTAATATGGGGTTGTCCAAAAAGGGACGCAGGAAAGTAAACGCATATTAAAACAAGAAAGATTGATATTCAAATCAATCATACTTTATTTTGAAGGTTCATTTATACCATTTATGTATGAAAAATAATATCGCTCAAATGTTCACCACGACTGGATTTACAGACGTCCACGCGATGGTCGAAATTTTCAATGACATTTTACAACATGGTCGGTTCTATGGCATTTATCTCGGCAATGATGTTGTTTTTGAGTTCTTGGAGGGTGGCTGGTTTGTTGACGTAGACTTTACTTTTCAAATATCCCTATAAAAAGAAGTCCAAGGGAGTCAAATCGCACGATCTTGGTGGCCATGGCACATTTCCTCTGCACGAAATCACGCGATCACCGAAGAAGGACTGCAATCGATGGATATTGACGTTGGTTGTGCGGCATGTTGCACCGTCTTGTTGGAAATAAACATCGTCCATATCCATTCCTTCAAGTTGCGGCAAAAAATAGTCCTCTATCATCACGTGATATCGCTCAGAATTGACGGTAACGGCATCCCCGGCGGCATTTTCGAAAAAGTAATGTCCGATGATGCCTTTTGACCACAATGCACACCACACAGTCACTTTTTGAGGATGCATCGGCTGCTCTTGATACTCACGGGGATTTTCGTTCGCCCAGATGCGGCAGTTTTGCTTGTTTACCGTCCCATTCAAAGTGAAATGCGCTTCGTCGCTGAACATGATTTTTGATGAAAAATTGGCATCAATTTGGCGGTGTTCAAGGAGCCAATCTGAGTACGTTCGGCGCGAAAAATGGTCGGCCCGACGCAGCTCTTGCGTCAATTGGATCTTGTAGGCGTGTACATTCAAATCCTTGTGGAGAATGCGCAGCAAACTGGTTCTCGAAATGCCCAATTCTTGGGATCGACGCGTTGTTGATTGTTTCGGATCGTCTCTCACACTCTCCTTCACAACAGCAATATTTTCCGGTGTGCGAACGCTCCTTGGCCGGCCAGAGCCTGGCAGATTTGCCACAGAACCTGTTGCCTCGAATTTACGCACCAGACGACCGCTGGTTGTTTCGTTTGGGCGGTTGTTGCGACTGAAATGTTCACGAAGCGCGCGAAACGTGTTTTTTATTTTTACACCATTTTTGTAGTGCTCTTGAATAACTTTAATGCGGTCTTCAATCGAATACGACTCCATAGCGATCAATGGTAAACATTCAACTAACAAAATGACATGTCGGTGACAGAAAACAAAGATGGCGTCTATGTCAAATTGACGTTTACTTTCCTGCGTCCCTATTGGACAACCCTATATGCAGGTGATTTTTTTCCGAAGCAGCCGCGTAGGTAGAAGCCTAAATACCGGAGCATTGCGGCTGCTATAAGGAGCTTAAAGACACCTGGTTGATCCGCTTTTTAGAACTGCATAAGGTTAGTAGAACTGGCAAAAGCGTCAGGCGGGTTGTTCCACTATCTCTGCAAAGGAGCGGTCATACCGACCAGTTCGGGATGTGTCGACATTATTACGACGGATATCTGGACGTCGTAAGATGGAAGTTTGCATTATTTCAACTTATCCAGGGGCCTGATTCTAACATTATTTCAACCCTTGGAATTAAGTTTGATAATGAGGCTGATGCACCTGACCCTGAAGATGACTTACCACTTAATGTACTTTCAGATATTCTCAAAAATAAGAATTTATTGAAATTATGGTTTTTTGAACCTACATCAAAGTTTGTATGCTGAAGGCCAAGAAATTGAAAATAAAATTGAAATCTAAGAACTTTCTGAAGACTCTGATTTCGATGAGGAACCAGTACCAACAAAAGCTATTCCAAATTATGGTAAGGCTATTACCCTCACCAAATAGATCAAAAATTTTGTCAAAAATCAGGGAGATTCAGAGTCTTTGGAGCTTCTTTCTAAATTAAAAATATGATTTTAAAGAAAAAGAGGAGACAAACAACAATATATAAATTTTCAATTGCTTAAGGTGACTTTTTATGTCATTGTTTTGTGTTACTACATACATGTATGTACATACATACAGTAATGGACGAAAGTATACAGACAAGCAGTAAAGCAGTTTGGGCAATATTGAACAAATATTTAAACAAAAAGGTATCTTGGAAGCCTCTAAGAGAAATAGTTGGCCTAGAGAACTAAATGCTAGATCAGGTAGATTAATAAAAGTAATTTCGTCCAAAGATCCGTTTAAAAGTCAAAGACAAATAAAAGCCGAAATCGAGACAAAAGGAATTGCCAGTGTTTCTACGAAAACTATAAGTAGAAGATTGAATGATTTGAAGGTATTTGCACGTCGCCCGAGTAAAAAGCCGCTAATCTGGAGGAAAAACCATAAGGACCAATTACAATTTGCACGGTTGCATCTTGATTGGAGCATCTGTGATTGGAAGAGGGTATGTTTCAGTAACGAATCCAAGTTCAATATGTTTGGATCAGATGGTGTTCATTATGTTAGACGGTCTAGTGGACAAAGATTGAACCCCATGTACACTTTGCACACTGTCTCCCTGAAAATCTATGGGAATACTAAAAATTATTCAAACAAGGATGAACTTTTTGCCACTTTAGAGCAAAAGGGGAAAGAGATTGATGAATCTTATATCAAGAAACTTCTGCAATCTATGCAGAGATGATGCCAGGTGGTGATTGATAATAATGGTTATGCTACAAAATATTAACACAAACATGGTTGGTTTTCTATAATTCAATGAACTTTGCTTCTTTTTTCTATAATTGTTTTGCTTTGTCTATATATTTTTGTCCTTCATAGTTTCAGCTTTTTTTAATTAATTTTTTATTGAAGGGAGTCTACTGAATTTATTTATATATAAGTGAGTATTATGCTATAACGAATTATGTATACAGGTTGGTGTATTAATAAAACAAGTTAAAAAAGAAATACAGCACAATATTAATTTGTCTATATACTTTTGTCCATTACTGTACATACATATTATATGAACTTACTTTGTATATATATCTAAAGGTAGCAAACCTTTTTTTTCTCAAGTTTGAAGTTGTTTGTTTATTTTAAACACCTTTACATACATATACATTTTAAATGTCACAGTTTCTTTATGATATTCGGTATTCATTAAAAACATTATTTTTGTTATGTATATGGTTTAATTATAAACTACTCCAGATTTTGCAAGGGAGTCAGTGATTATTTCAACATGCCCTGAATTCCTATGATGGTTAGGAATACTGCTAAACTAATAGAATCGATTTTCCTTGAAATTTATAACAATGTTACATCGAACTTTTTTCCTCCAGATTTCGTAAAACATTTTTGTATATATCCTAAATAGTATTTAGAACTTCCATATTACCTGAGTGATATTTACTGTTGCTAGGAATGGGTTCAACTCGATCTGAAATATACACCACTGAATTGTTTCTCTTAGATGGTGGAGAATTTTCATTACATTCTGACTGCCTGACCTTACGTTTCCTGAGTGTTGCTAAGGACTCCTCACCCTTTGCAGTGGTTTTCTTTTTAACATGCTTCATTGTAAATGGTCTATTATTGATTGTTGGAGAACCCTGTATGATGTCTTCATCATCACTAATAGTCAGCACGACAGCTGAATTACATGGCTGTATTTCTTTAACATCGGTATTTAGTGAGTTTTTCGGTAGCACTTTGAAAAAACTGCTAATTTTCAAATTTCCTTTTGTTTCCTGAAGTGATACATGGGAATTATCGCAGTTACAATATTGATTCATTTACAATATTTTCTACTTACATTCTTCTGCTTGCCTTTTTGCATAGTACACAAGTAATATCACACACGACTTCGTCTTTTTAATCAATTTTATTTAAATAATAACCGTGAAGTTACAAATTGTTTACAAAATTGTTACCCGCCAAAATTCAAGTAATAATTGTTAGGTTAATTATTTGACACGGAACGCGCGTTCCAGAAGAGCAACACCAACCGGTTTAACAGGAACGGACTTTGTTGACATTATGTAGGTGATTCTACAAGATATTAACTCGGCACTTAGTTGTACGTGTTGCCTAAACGTCATGAGGCTTGTTATCAATCTTTGATTCTGATGTGATGTAAAATCTGCTTCTGAGATGGAATTACTGGAGGTTTAAGCTGTAAGTTGTATGTGTTGACCATAATTACATTGGGTTCTTGTCTCAAATTCACTTACTTGATATTCAAAGCTAGAAATTAGTTGCGCAACGACTTTTTCTTATCCATTCTGGAATTATAATCACTGTACACTGTCGAATTACAAGCCATATACATGTTAACAGTAATTACACACAACGCGGGCGCGGTGACGATTTCTCATAATTCTTTTCAGTTTTTCGTAATTTATAACTTTGAACATAACCTCTCTTCAGAAAGCACAACATATAAATAACCCGTCATATTCAGCATATTCAGTAATGATTGTCTCACACAGCAAATATCACTGATTTTATACACATGCAGACCAATACACATAATCATCCAGATGCGATCTTGCTATTCAAAAAACTTTCTTCTCAAAGATAAAAACTACAGACCCGGATCACTCAGCCTCACAAAACTATGCAACCAGTAATGCGTAGTTTAATTGAGTGATTCCTCCATAGATGGACGTTCACATGTTCACAACGATCCTAGTGAGCAAACGTGGAATGACTGTTTGCGCCTTAAAAACTACCTAGTCTGCAAGTTGAAATCTTATAGGTTTTTTTGATGGTTTATAGGTTTTTTACATGATACCCGTGCCGATTAGTTACATAGACGGAGTTGTCACGAGTGTATCATTAAATTCTGATTTGTACATATAGTCAAAATCACGAAAGATGACTATTACGTCATAACATAAATTGTACTGAAGTAATCAATGGACGTACGTCGATGATAAAATCACGATGTCAGGAACATAAGACAACAAATTTATATTATGATTTTGGGAAGTTAGGTTATTTCACTGATTATTTTTTATTTTCATTTTATTTCATGGTTGTGAGTGATATACCTTAATAATAATTTCAGAGGGGAGTTTTTGTTTTAAAAAAAACCAGTTATGAGTAGAATATCTTAAGACAGGAACACCAAAGACCAAAGTATTATTCGAAAACAACCTAACCTGTTTTAACATAACCTAAATATTCATCTTTCAAATATGATTGATCATGCAACATGAAAACAGCGTCTATCTTTGTCGGATACATGCAAATCAGCAATACAGTTTATTTAGACAATAAAATTCTATTTGTCTCTGTCCAACATATCTGAAGCTTCATTAAAAATATTCACAAATCGCTGTCGTTTGTCTATACTACAGACTAAAATGATGACGTAATCGTCATATTTCATGATTTCGACTATAAATAGATGAGCTGATACCTACAGACCATGTGTTCATCAAGTGACAACAGAAATCGTACGTAGCATTCGAGACAATATGATATTCTTCCAACAAGTGTTTACTTTTTTATGGGAGTAATACTTATTCGATGTCTCCCTTTGTCTATATCAAAGGGTCATTGCGGATCTATATTACCTTGCGACGTAGTCCTGGAGTATGCAATAATGAGAAAGTCAGATTGTAATTGGCTATAAGACATGAGAGTGGAGAATGCGTATCACTTGTTGGGGTAAGAATCTTTGACACATATAAATATGGGGTTGAAAAAGCCTTTATGACGTCTATGAATGAAAACAAAAAGTACAGGAACTAAAAGTAGCAACATTACGATAGGATAATAATTCTTCGTACCTAGTCAATTTTGTGATGGCGCCATTAACCTTGATTTTCAGGTCTCATACATCCAAATAGATCCGGTCCTGAATACAAGTCGCTCTTTCACAGAACACCAAGTTTGCTCTCCGCCCAAAGCTTTCTCTCCTATCAAAATTGTCAACAGTGTCAGCTGTCCGGTGTCCAAAATAAATAAAAATCTTTTTGAACTGTCAGGTGCTGTTTTGTATTTCCAATTTTTTGTTGAATTTGTGCTTTAAAAACAAACACTGACTACCGTTCGTTAAAGCTACATCAGTAGTTTAATATTTTCGTGTTTGTAAAGTTTGTCGAGCGCGAATTTCGGAAATGGCAACAAATATGGATGAAGAACAGGTGCTCCGGGAGTGCGAAGCTTACGTTCAAACCCATAATATTCAACAAATTCTGAAGGATTGCATAGTTCAGCTGTGCGTCCGACGTCCTGCCAACCCCATTTCCTTCTTGAGAGAGTACTTTCAAAAACTGGAGAGGGTGAGTCCCGTTTTTGACTCGTTTTTCAGAGTTTTATTAGGCAGGTGTAATCACCTAAACAGTGCTTAATTTTTCCATTAGTTTTCAAATATTTTGGAAAACTTTTGATTCAAGTCGTTTTACCTGGTCTATCCTTCTAGCTTGAAGCGATATTTTCGGCATTTATTGAAATATTTGGGTTGTGTTATGCTGCCAATTTGAATTGAATACATACATCTATTTATAACTAGATCTTATACAATTTTCAGATGATCTCTGTATATTTTATTTTTAAAGTCAACAATGTTGACTGCTATATAAAAATCTAAGTATGTAGAGGAAGTAAATGGCTCCCCAGAGGACTGATATAAGCAGCATCTAGTAACAGACTTGTTTGTTGAGCACTGATGTCTTATCTAATAGTATAGTCCAAGATCTCAGACAGTACATGTTTTCTCAAAGATAAATTGTGGGGTATGGAATAGTATTTATGTATTTTAAACTCCTACAAGTTAATCAAAAATAAGACTAACATATTCAGATTTTTATGATTTATGTATATACATAGTTTGTAAAACATTACAAAGTAATATGCAGCACTGCCAGACAATTCTTGCTAACCCTAACTTCTGCAGCATGTTTTAAACAGGATGTCCCACTATAAATCGACCTCCCTATAGTTTTTTATATGTGCATTCAGAAAAAATGACAAATGAATCTAAATCTGGGTATGCAGTTTTCACTTCTACTTAATGTCTGTCCTACTACTAAAAATCAAAATTTACTTAATTTTGATTTATATTAAAATAGCTAGGTATATAAATTGGTACAGGAATTAAGGTATCATGAAAATCATGTACAATTATTGCAGGCTATCAAGTAATCTCAATTTCTCATATATGAGAAAATATATTAGTTCAAAATACTTGAGATTTGCAATGATGAGTCATATGGTTAATGCCAGTACTATTGGAGGTAGAAAATTGGTGATGAGAGATTAGTCTTGTACTATGATCAAAAACGCCAATGGGAGCAAGATACTTGGATATTACCTAATTTTCAAAACCTAAAACTTGTGCTGAATTGACTTATCCCAAATTTTTCTGGAACCCCAGTGCCATAATTTAAGCTTAACTATAATCATATCCATGAAGTTCATTGAGTTCAGTCAATGCTACTGTTGGCTACAGTATCCAAATTTAATGTCTGACCAAAATCACTTCAGTCAACACCAAAATTTTGGTCTAATTTTAGTTTTGTACAAAACCAAAACATCCAACTGAGGAGTATGATGTTCAAAGTTGGCAGGAAAGATAGTAATACATCTCCAAGAAAGAAACTCAATCTTCATGTATTAAAATTAAAAGAAAAAAATTCTATATAATAAGTAATAATTTTTATCACATATTATTAAGACTTAGGTAAAGAAAATTAAAACACTACTAGAAGAAAATGAATAATGTCTTTTTGTTTCCAACATGTAAAAAATGACAGACAATAAAACAAAAATAACAACTTATGGCCTGTTGCATCAATATTATTTAACATTAGATGGAAACCCACTTTAGTTTGAATACTTTTTTATATAAGAACTCAAACCCTGTTTAAAATTTTGTAAACCGTGTTTAATGTACACAATCAATTTTTGGAGTTTAAAGATCATTTAATCCATTTTTAGTCTTCAAAATTGCATATTAAACAATGATTGGGGTATCTTTAAACCAATAAACGGTGGTTTTTAGAGAAGAACTTTTCAAGGCTCAAAAACAAAAACAATTTCCAAGAGATGAGTAACTATGGCATTTTTTAGGTAATTGGTTTTGAGGATTCTGCCTGAAATTGAGCCTGAACTGGAATTCCCCAATAATTTGCGAGTTATCTACCATTTGTTTTGAAGCGTCTTTAGCTGCTTGTCAAAGTTTCCTTTGATTAAGTGTTTCAATTTATTATTTGGGTAGGTTAAGTAGAGTAGCCAAGAGCTAGACTTCGCCTACATAGAGGTCACATTATATTGTAGTTTTTATAATGTGCCTAATAAAGACAATAGCCCGTATTTATAAAAATGAACCATTTACATAGAAGTAAAAGGTACAAGCAAAAGGTAGAAGTAAAAGGTTTTGCTTTAATGCGTATTCATAATCTCTACCCCTTCCTTGCAAGCAAATGCTTCGGGAAAGTAAAGTAAAAGGTACGGAGATTAGCGATTTCGACAAGATGTGACTTGCAGCGTGCAATCAACGCGTAAGTGGTCTGTGGTCTCATAATTAAAAGCAGTCCGCACGTCAATTGATGTAAAGAAGATCCATCTAACTTATTTGTGCAGCTATTTTAAAGTGAATAAAATATTTAAAATGTCTGACACCGATAGTGAACAGGAAGTTACCGAAAAAGTCCAAGCAATTCCGGAGATTCTCGAGAAATCTCAAGTTCCAGCGATGAAAAAGAAGAAAACTGCTGCATTAACTGATATCGTTAAGGAATACGTTACTTTATTTGGCAAGGAGATGGATATTAAAGCTTTTATGAAAAAAGTGAACAATACGAAAACGCAACTGAAAAATAAAACTGACAAAAATAAAACAGGGAACAAGCCCATTCGTCTTTTGTCCTGGGAGAAAGTTAGGTTAAAGGCTATGGATGCGGACATAAATCCTGTACTAAGTCGGGTACCAGGTGAGAAATAGATTCAGGTCTTTACTATTATCTTGAAGGTACTTATCATGCATGTATATTTTTATTAAGGGCTCTTGCAATTTTTCGTGGCAAGTCAACCTTCTTTACCTACTTCAAATGATGACATTATGGTGGAAAACGACGCTCATCAGATGATTATGCCTCAAGTAGTAGCTAACAAAAAGCGATCCTACACATCGGTTGACGAGATTGCTGCAAAAAAAATCCTCCGAAGCCTACCTTTGCTTCGGGCAAACAAGAGTCTGACGAGACGAGGCAGTTAAAGACAACCCAGCTTCAACGATTAGTTTTAGTTGAACAACTGAAAGTTGCTCGTCTGCAACAACAATATTACTCTGCCGAGCTAAACAATTTAAAAAAGGCATCAAACGAAAAAGTCCCGCAAGAGTATGTTGTTGTTGCAGATAATATTTACCAAAACTTGTATATATAGACGTATATGTTATTTATAACAAAAATAATTAAACGTTTTTTTCCAGTTCAAACCTGTAAGTTTATTTTTAGTTTAAGTAAATACATCTTTGTACGTTTGAAGTAAACGACATATACATAGCATTACATGAAAGTTTTCATCCTAATTATCCACCTATATTGTTTTGCTAATAAGACGAGCTAATTCCTCTCGCCGCCTTTGTACTTGTACGCGAATAGCATCTAAATTTTCATTCTCTATAAATGGCAAGTCCTGTTCTTCATCTTCGTCATTTTCTTGAAAATCTTCATCTCTTAATTGCTTAGCTATATTGTGCAACACAGCACACGCAATTATAACTTCTGGAATACTGGTCAGTTTTACTCTGCATCCATACTTCAGGATAGGAAATCGCGGCTTTACTTGCCCAAATGTATGCTCAATCACAACTCGCTCTGATGTAAGCAGTCTGTTAAAGACTCTCTGATATTCCTCGTGGGGGTCGGTGTAAGGAGTCATAAGACCTGACATTATACCATACCCAATGTCCCCTAGAAGAATAGTGTTTTTTGTCTTTTTCATGACTTCACACACTGCCGAATTTTTCCATATACGAGCATCATGGACTGATCCAGGCCAACTTGCATCTATACTAGTTATAACAGAATTCTGGTCGCATGTAACCTGTACATTTATACTAGCAAAACCTTTTCGATTTACATATTCGTCTCCAAATTGGGCTGGTTTTCCAGCAAGACGAATATGCGTGCAGTCGATAACTCCAATAGCTATGGGAAAACGGAACCTGGTCAACCGTTTCTCTTTGGCCTGCATAATTTGATTTTCTGTATTTGGGAACCTGATAAATTCTCCGGCTTGTTGTACAATTCGCTCAGCACGTCATGAAATATTCTGGACACTGTGGGCTGCGAACATCCCAATTATTCAGCTATTCCGCTCTGAAATCCAGGGTTCGCACAATACCGCAGAAATATTTCCATTTTCTGCACAGGTGACTGGGCTGCTCCACGAGTTTCGAAACCTATGCCAAGAAAGTAATATGCCAACCACACCACATTTTCCTCCTCAAATCTAAACAACGCCTTGAAATCTGACTCACGAGGTGTACGTCTTGGTTTGTAGTATTTTCTTGTACGTACAGTATATTCAGATAAGAGATAGACCGGATGTAAACAAAAGGTTCGGGTGATTTTCACGCTAACGCCGCCGTCTCGACGTAAAACAGGAGCCCTCATTGGTCAATTCGCAATTAAATGCCTATGCCGAGCGGCAGAGCAGTCGTATCAAGGCAGAGTCACATTCAGGTTCAGATGTGTTACGTATGTCGTGTGCATCATTGCAATTTGATATTTCTTTGGACGTTTTCGTTTGTTATCTTATTAAGTTGTTGAGTTTGTCGTTGTTATTGTTATACCTTGTTATTGATTGTTATTGTTATCAACTGCTTGCGCAAAATGCCCAGTAGTACAGATACTGCCGATGAAGTTGTAAACTCCTGTAGTCCACCTAGGAAACGCTCTAAAAAAAAGACACCTGAGTGCAGAAATGAAAGAGGTCATTTTGAATATATATAAGATCGAGCGCGAGGAGAACGAGGCATCAACCATCAAAGAAATTGTTGTGAAGGTTTCTCACAAAGTTGGGGTGTGTCGCGCATCAGTTTTTAATGTGTTAAGACAATACAAAAAAAATCACACCTTTTCTGAGCCAATGACCAGTAAACATCGCAAAAGTATTGTTAAATCATTGGATGAAGCTGATAAGCATGCGATTAGGAGGAAAGTGCATGAATTCTTCTTTAGGAATGAAATACCTACTATAGATAAAGTACTGCAGGAGGTAAATGGAGATACAACGTTGCCAAATTTCAAACGATCAACTTTCCATGCATTACTGAAGCATTTAAATTTCAAATGGAAAAAACGGGGTCGTAATAGTTTACTACTGGATAGAGAAGAAATTGTGTTATGGAGGAGGGATTATTTACCAAAAATTGGGAAATATAGAAATCAAAACAGGAAGATTTATTACCTTGATGAAACGTGGGTAAACGCAGGACACACTACAAGTAAAGTATGGGTTGATGATTCTGTAACTTCATCCAGGAGGGCCTTTCTAGATGGACTGTCCACCGGATTAAAAAATCCAGCAGGTAAATACGAGTAATAGACAACAATCGGATGTTTTTCAAACCTTGGGAACAAGGTTCTAAACATTAATTCTAGGGGGCAGATAAAACATATTACAAGTAACAAAACTTTTATAACTTTCGATAAAATGCGTGGATGTTTTATTGTCATTTTCATTTGTTAGAACTTTTTTAAGCCATGTTTTTATGTGTTTTCGATATTTCAATAATTTTTTAATATAATCTTGAAATATGTCGAATATTATAAACTTAAAAAAAGTTACTAAGTTTTATATTGTGTACCGTTCCTAATATTTCTAATCATTTTAATTCATACTTTAAGCTTTATAAAGTTATAATTTGTTGATATTAATATTTGCGCGTATTTCAGGTTCCTGATCATTCATTTTTTAAAGGTTTATAACTTTAAATTAAATTGTGAAGCGCTGAGTAATCATACGACGTTCAATATTCTTTCTTTCAATATGACTAAATAATCCCAATTATAGCAATCTGATACTTATGTCTCAATGTTTTTTCGCTGAATGTGATGAAAACATTTGAAAAAGGTTCGCTTATTGAAATAAATCTACACCAGTTAGTACTTCGATTTCCAGGTAAAGGGAAAAGGCTCATTATCTGCCATATTGGCAGTGAGGATGGATTTGTTGTTGACGGTCTGTGGTGCTTTGAGTCTAAGAAAACTGGAGATTACCACGAGGAAATGAATGGCGAATCGTTTGAACAGTGGTTTTCAAAAATTTTACCGAACTTGGAGGAAAACGCAGTAATTGTGTTGGATAATGCGCCTTATCATTCTCGAAGAATGGAGAAGGTCCCAACAACGGCTTCAAGGAAAGTTGATGTTCAAAATTGGCTCCGCTCGAAAAATATCAACTTTGAAGAAGCAATGCTGAAAGTACAATTATTAAGAATTGTCAAGGATCACAAGGCGGAATATCAAAAATACGCCATTGACGAAATGGCAGCAAGTCAAAATAAAACTGTGCTCCGTTTACCTCCATACCATTGCGAGCTCAATCCCATTGAGCTCATATGGGCAGAGGTTAAAAATTATATAGCTAAGCACAATACAACTTTTAACTTTAACTTTTAACTTATGTGACCTCAAAGGACTTTTCAAAGAAGCACTAGAATTAATAACAGCGCAAAAATGGGAAAACTGTATTAAGCACGTGAAAGACAAAGTTGAAAAGAGAATGTGGGAACTGGACAATATTTTAGAGGAACAAGTCGAGCCATTCATTATTGACGTTGGTGCTTCAGGCAGTAGCGATGATGAAAGCTCATCAAGCTCATCTTTCCAATAAAAGATGTCGTTCATCAAATTCGGTAAGTTATAAGTAATTATAAAGCTACTGTATTTTTTAATTAATTATTGACATTTTTGAACCCATTTTGGCAAAACCTATTCAAGAATCTACTTTCTGACAATGTTCAACCATGCACATTTTTTTACGTTTTGAACGTTTTAATTTGGTTACATATTTACCTAGAAATCAAAAAATATACTAATCAATATTCTAAAAGCAATTTTATGAGATATACGATTATTTTTTATTTAGGCTAATTTAAACGCCATTTTGAGATTGTATTCGACTGTATTTCACCAAACATCAGGCGGCATCCGAAGCTGGAAATCGAAGCGAAAATTTTGAAACCCTTTTGTATATTTACATCATTATATATTTCTTACCCCACCCCCACATGATCCTATATCCATCACCAATCGTATACACATCTAATTGTGCTAATTTACTACAAAGTTACGCAAAGCAGCATCTACTATCTAAAATATGTACTGCGTGACTCTTAATACGTCCCTGCCGAATGTTACAGCGTTCGATGATCACGTGGTCTTGTTTATGTCCGGTCTATCTCTTATCTGAATATACTGTAAATGCACCACATTAGCCATAACTAACACAATACTGCGACTAATCAACCAAAGATCACTTAAACAAGCCCTTACAAATAGATTTTATTAAACGAAAATGCACAAAATTAAAAGATGCAGGCTCTAAGATGCCTGGACAACTAATGATAAAATGAGAAAAGTTGCTGTAACCTAGATTCCTTTTTTTAGAAGCAAATCCTTTAGTTTTTAAGCAAATGCTTCTTTTTATAAATAAGAAAACGTTAACACCTTTTACTTTACAGAAGCGAGACCTTTTCCTTCACTTGTTTTTATGCATATACTTTGAAGGAATTGCTTTATTTTAAAAGGTAAAACTTTTTGTTATAAATATGGACTATTTTATTATTATTATTATTATCTTCAATACATCAAAAAGTCCCTATATTTCTGGAGTCTTACAAAACTCAAATTTAATCTTGGTGCAACAGGCCATTAGAACAATGTAATAATCATAATTCTGATATTATATGACATGAATAATTTTTTGAACATCTCCCCCTATCAAATTTGACTTTTGGTCTGAATAAATTTGCCCAAAGGCGCCCGAAAACATACGAAGATAGTTTCGGTTACGGTTGCAGTTTCGGCGGTTTTTCTGCTGAAACCGAAACTGAACATAAATATTAAAGTCTACCTTTGGCTCACGTACTTACTAACACAAGGTGTTTCTTACCAATATTCAGATTTTCTGAAAATTAAAACACCTCTGATTTTGGTCCAAAACTGGCCGAAACCGATAGTTCGATCGGTCTGTGAAGTTAGCCCTGTTAAAAAACGATGTGCCGTACGATTTTCCATCGTTTTACCGCGTTTTTCCACCAACATTTTTTGTTTTTCTACCATTGACTTAAAAAAAATTGGAAACAGAAATTCTGGGCCCAGATTTTACAGATTATTCAAAACGATCAACACAGATTGTTTCATCATCGTCTCACCACGTTTTTCAACTAAAAATTTTCGTTTTTCCACATTTAGGTTACAAGAACTACTAAAAAACAACAACAAAGGACATGTGAAGTTAGCCCAGAATTAGTCAGATTAAAAAAAATGAGCACACATGGATTTTTCATCGCGTTACCATATTTTTCCAATCAAATTTTTGGTCTTTGAATAACGAAAAAATGAGAAATTATTATTCGGGGTCATTTGAGGTTAGCCTAGACATTTCTGAGTCCCCACGAATTCGTTTCTTTACAGCCTTATTAATCATCTTACTACCTACTAATCTTCACCACATAACAACTTTTTCATCTAAATGATGATATCATAAAATCACAAAATCATCCACTTCTGCCTCATTTCATTTCCATTTTACCTGATTCCTATGAAATGTATACGAAAGAAAACTTCTTTCAGCGCTGGCGGATATGACATTTTCTTTTGCATGCCCGTACTTCTAGATTGAATAAACCTGGATTACGTGCTATTGAAGCCGGGACAAGTTTAAAGGAGTTTGAGTTAATATATAGGCTATCTACGTGTGACCATGAAAGGTAGAAAACTAGAATTTTCTGGTAGAGAATCGAAGTGATAGGATGGAAAAAACTATCTGTGATGATTTCCACGTAGCCTGGAGAGGCATAAACAAGTTTGTGTAAATACACTCTATCTACGTGTGACCCTAACTTCTTGTTGAAATTTTTATGCAAGTCACAGTTTTTTTTATACAGGGTGTAAACTTTATGATAGTGATTATTTAAATGAGTGTTTTAAATAACATTTTTTTATAGAAAAACGACTTTAAAGTAAAATAAAATCTGACAACGCCGCAATGCCAAACGCAAATTACGACGGAACGCAGTGTAAATAAAGATGGAGTTTTTTTATTTTTGGCTCTTAGGTATTATTTCATTATTTGATAATGTACTCGTAAAATGCAAACAATTAAAAAACGGATTTACCACTAACTGTCTTAGCGCTTCACCTGGTGTGTGAAAGTTTATTGAACGTATTAAAAAAACCACTTATGAATAGGGAACCAATTTTTTATACATACATTATTTTTCTTTTTAAAACCCACTCTGCACTTTAAAGGTGTTCAAAATGTCGTCCTCCGCTTTCCACACAAGCTTCATTACGACGAACCCAGTTTCTTCTTACTCTAGTTCCTCGAAGTTGTCCATTTATTATTTTAGCCGCATTAAAATTTTCTTCGCGAAGTTGTGCTTCAGTTGTTATAGGACCAGCCCCATAAACCATCCCTTTAAGTTCTCCCTAATACCAGAAATCGATCGGATTGAGGTCAGGAGATCTTGCTGGCCATTTTCGAGGAACAGGAGCATTTCGACCGATCCAGCGATTTGGATAATGTTCATTCAAATACTGAATGACGCCTCTAAAAATGTGTGATGGTGCCCCGTCATAAAGAAACCACAGCTCCTGTTTCCGTTGTAATGGCATGTTGTCTAAGGTCTGTTCCAAAAGTTCTGGTAGGTTATTGGCTAGATAGCTAAGGTATCCTTCTCCTGACAACCTTGGGGGTAACTTGAAAGGGCCAATTACCTGATCCTCAATAATACCCGCCCAAATATTTATTTTAGAACGTTGTTGGAAATGACCTTCACGAATGGTAAATATTTTCTTGGGGCCACGTGTGAGTACTATGGAAATTTAACATCCCGTCTCGCGTAAAAGTACATTCGTCCGTCGCTAGAATGTTTTTAAAAAAATACGGATTTTCAATGTTTTTGTACAAAAACCACTGACAGAATGTTAGTCTGCGTAAACAAACACCCCGACGTACGCGAACAAAAACAAAACAGCATACTAACCACTGTTACCGTTTGCGATCGATTGCCGGTTCGATAAGAGTGATGAAAAACTGACGCGCTGTTGTCATGTGTGTTTTAAATATTTAATTTAATGAAACTTACTTACTTACTAACTACAAATTTTGCCTTAACTTAGTTAAAACTTAATGCCATTTATTTGTTAATTAGCCAATTTAAATACGTTTTAGATTAGATTATAAAAATTAGTAAGATTGTGGTCGATATAAAGCACTTAAAGTTGTAAAGTTTAAAGCCATTTAGGCAAAAATCTATTGACTTTTGGATCATGGGTCATGTGAACTTTTTGACTTGTTTTGACCCCCCTATTACCCATTTCAATAATGACTACCATAACGTTTACACCCTGTATATTCAGAGAATATCTGGAAAAACGAAAATCTCTAGTGGAAAGAGAAGGTTATATGACGAAAAAACGATTTGTGATGATTTCCACGTAGCCTGAACAAGTTTAGAGAAGTATGAGTTAATTCGGACTATCTACATATGACCTTGATCTGTTATATCCAATTTTTCCATTGAATAAACGTGGAAAAAGCGTTTGGTGGAAAATCAAAATGCTAGGATGGGAAAACGATTCGCAATTATTGAGTTGAGTTTGAGTTAGTTGAGGCTATTCACGTGTGACCTTGATTTATTATTTTTAATTTTTCTCATTAACTAAAAGTGGAAAAACCAAAATTTCAGTTGGGAAATCGAAGTGATATGATAGAAAAACGATTTGTGATGATTTCCACGTAGCCTGGTCAGGTACACAAAAGTATGAGTAAATGCAGACTATCTAAGTGTGACCTCAACTTCTTCGTTTCAATTTTCCATATTAGTCGAGTGGAAAAAGTTGTTTTGTGGTGAAAAATAGTAGGTAGTATGGTAATAATGAAATCTTAGGCTGTAAAGAAATCAGTTCGTGGGGATTCCCGTCAGAAATATCTAGGCTAACCTCAAATGACCCATAGATTTTTCATTTTTTCGTTATTAAAAGATGGAAAAGCCAAAAAATTGGTGGAAAAACATAGTAAAACGATGGAAAATTCATGTGTGCTTTTTTTTAATCTGACTGCTTCAGGGCTAACTTTACATGACCTTGGTTATTTTTTGAGGACTAAAGGTGGGAAAACGAATTTTTTGGTGGAAGCACACGGTAAAAGGATGAAGAAAAGATGTGTAATGATCCTTTTAAATAATCTGGAAAACCTAGCCTGGGTGAACTTAGTCCAGAATTTTTATTTCCAATTTTTTTAAGCTAATAGTGGAAAAACAAAAATTTTTGTCGGAAAAACTTGGTAAAATGATGGCAAATAAATTGTTTTGGTTTCCTTATTTCTATGTTTATTTCATTTATACAGGGTGTTTCAGTTTATTGTTGCATAACTTCAAGATTCGATAGAACTTTTAAAATTAATGCATAAAGTCTATATAAACATGGGTCGAAAAATGCGTGGCTTCCGAAATACAGGGTGTTTAAATGTACTTTCTAAAATAGTTTTTTTTTTAATATTTCGAACAATATTTGATGTATAACAGTGAAAATTGGTATACAAGGGTTTTTTGGTACGACAAAACGAACCATGGGCATAGTTTTACTGTGGCCGCTAGAGGGCGCTCTCTACTGTACCTGTAGTGTATTAAAATGACCGAAAAAATTTTCTTAGTGCAATTTTTTGCTTTTTGAATAAAAAACTGATTCTTCGCACTTTTCAACATAAAATAGCTCTCCTGTGAGTTTTCGTTATAGTTAGCCGTTTTTGAGATATTTCGATTTTTAAGGTTCGATGCATTTTTAATTATTTATGGGAAAATAATATTTTTTTTACATTTTCGATTTGGGCATTACAAGTAATTAAGATGATCGTTTAGATTATGTTTTTAAACACAGCAATAATTCCTAACTCCAAATAAACACAAAAAACAGAATATTAATTTGTTTAATGTTCCAATATTATTTTTAACAAAGTAAATCAATTATTTAGAACTAATTGCTATTGGATAGTTAGGACAAACATCAAAATCTAAAGTAGTTGCTCGAAATGTAAACCCAATTGTTCAATACACAATTCACATCTACAAAATAAGGCCTTATTTCATCACATGAATTCCTGATTCTGTCTATTAGCATATCTCTTGTGGTTACGGGAGTCTGGTACACTTTTTCTTTTAGAAATCGCCACACAAAGAAATCTAATGGATTTAGGTCAGGGGATCGTGGAGGCCAGTCGACTGGTCCTCCACGGCCGATCCATCTTTCTGGATAATTTTCGTCCAGCCAGTTTCTAACTATTCTCGAATAATGAGCTGGACAACCATCAAGCTGGAACCAGGCCAATCTTCTTAAATCTAACATAACATCATCCCACATATTTGCATGTTCAGCCTTTAAAAATTCCAAGAAGGTCGCAGCATTTAACCTTGCAGGCAAAAGGTAGGGTCCAAATAGTCGATTACGGTAGATACCAATGCACACGTTCATACAAAATTCATGCTGAAAATTTCTTTCCCGAACTGCATGCGGATTTTCATGCGACCAAATATGTTGATTATGAAAATTTACCACTCCACGTCTAGTGAAGCATGACTCATCGGTCCATAAAACGTTACTTAAAAACTCCCTATTATTATCAGTTCTATTAAGATTCCACTGACAAAATGTGATTCTTCGTTCTCCGTCCCCTGGCTGTAGTCCTTGCACAGGTTGCAAATGGTAAGGACGTCTATGGTCATTTCTAGGAACACGGTGAACATGGCTTGCTGAAATTCCCAAGGCACCAGAAACTCTTGTGGTCGGATCTCTATCAAACTCACGCAGAATCATACGGGTAAATCTGAGCTGACGAACATTTATGTTTTGATTCCTTTGGAGATTTCCAAAACCATTTTCAATTATTTGGCGATGCAGTCTTATAAATATTGAGCGAGTTGGATCTCGCTTGTTTGGAAATCTTCGTGCGTATTCTCTGGCTGCTTCTGCTGCGTTTCCATTTACAAAGCCATACACAAAATGAATATCGGCTAACTCTTGATTGGAGAATAAAAATGGCATTTTTATAAAACTTACAAAAAAAAAACAGGTAAAAGAAACTAAATTTCGTGCATTCACAATTGCAAAAAAACGTTTCAGGTTTCAACAGACAACAAAACTAACT